TCTGGCAGTAACATTGGTACTTGTAGCGTTTGGTGCTGACACACGGTTATCAGACGATGATAGACTTTGGCTTGTAGAATTTTGCTTACTCGTAGTACTAGTAGTAACTGGGGCAGGTTTCTTAGCCATGTTATTCAAAGTTTTGTATTTAACTGAATGATCATGTGAATATGATCTGTGTTTATTTTGATTAGATTCTTGTTTTGTGTACGTGGCTGCGTATGGATTCATATCCGCATTAACACGCTCATATAGCCAATCCTGCATGTCAATTAGTGTGGGATCACGTAATTTCACAATTCGTTTTGAGAATTCGTTCCAGCTATTAATTTTATCAGTTGGAAGTCTTTTGATACACTTTAATAATATTTCACTACTCATTATGTCCGACATGTAGTTCATCTGACGAAGTGTAGTTATGCTGTCTCTTACAGAAACGTAAAAATGTCGTAACGCAGCTGGGTCGTTCCGTGCTATCTGCGGTCCGCTTATAATTTTGTCTAATACGGCTCTGGCTACTTTAACACGATGTCCAAAAGCAGACTTTAATTCTTGTAAGGCTAATGCATAATTCCTACCACTGTAACCAAGTCCCTGGATGTGTGACTTAGCCTCGCCTTTAAGATGTGAAAGTAATAGGTCCATCCTGCGAGTATCATTTATTCCGGGTCTACAATGGATCTGCGAGTGTACTTGTTCTATGAACTTAGGCCATGACATAGGTGAACCAGAAAATATTGGTAAGTCTACTTTAGGTAGATCACGCTCACTTTCAAGTTTAATAAGCGTTTGTGTTAATTGATCAGTAGTATTTGTCAATGTGTTATGTGGTATGACAGTTTCTTGACCGGGTACAAGTTGGTCTATCCACGCATCTATAGGCCCACTAGTAGATTCATGGTTCTGTATATAGCCCTGTGGTGTGGCATAATCACTATTATTGTGACATGTAATAGGTTCATAAGGTGCTGCAAAAGGATTCATTTCAAATTGTGGTGGTTCTTGCACATTGTTATTGTTTATGTTTTGCAAAAATGGATTTCTCGAAAACTCTGTATTTCTTGGTGACTGTCTCAGTGGAGTACTACTTATAAACGGATTGAGACTGTGCTGCGTTTCCATGTGATGCTGACCATTTTGAGATTTAACATTATGTGTTTCCAATGTTGTTGTTTGGTTGGAGTTGAAATCCTGATTAATAACCCACTGGCCTACATGTACATCTGAGGTATGACGGTTTTCAGGTACTGACGGTGGTTTGTGGTAATCACGTAAACATTGTTCTTTGTTAAGAATATCTTGATAGATGTCAGCTTCTAGATTAGCAATTTCCACAGCCTGCCAAGCCCTTTCCTTTGCACGGTCAGCCTCAAGGTCTGCTGCCTTTCTGGCTAATTCAGCATTCTTGACAGTATGTTGTGCCTTTAATCGTGCCATCCCGGCTTTAACTTTCAGAGAGTGGCTACTGTGGCTTTCACTACGTGTATGGTATGAAGGAGTACTAGGCCTACTTTGTGTCTTATTACTACCTTGAGTTGATAATATTGACGGCGATATCAAGTGACGGTTTGAGTTATGATCTGACATTTTAGTACGTTTGTATGTGTAAAAAAGGGTAATACATGTAAATAGTAAACGTAAATAGTAAACGTAAACAGTAAAAGCGAGTATCCCTACTGTGTCTGTAAGTCGAGAAAAACTTTCTATTCGTGAGAGAAAAGCGAGATTTCAAGACGTATAGTTTAATTTTGTTCAAATTAGTTCTACACTAGTAAGTACACAACACAGTTTACACATTTAGAGAAATACACTAAAAAAGTAATTATGGATATGAAATTCACTGAACATAATAATGCAGGTATTGTCACTGGCATAAATAAATACTGTGTCCTTCACATCATAATTGTCCTTGTTTAATTTGTTTTTCTCGGTGAATTCATGTAGGAAAGTTCACCTTTACTGTTTAGTTCAGTTTGTTTATGATTTTTACACGAGGAAGTTTTCTAGAAAAGCACCGGAAGTTGTAATACTAAAAGGGAGATAAACTGTGGATAATTTGTGGATCAAGACCACAGCGATAATCAATAAGCTACAAGGCCTTAAAGAGAGTAAACACGAACATCTACGGTCAGCCATCTTTTTGAAGCAGAAACAGACTTAAGGTTGGTAAGCAAGCCGTATACCTTGCTTGGGACTTGTGCTTAGATTGCCTATGTTTAAGAACGAAGTTGTGCTTAAACATGCATTATGCAAGAGCAAAATCTGCTTATTACAAGTCTTTCTTTAGGCCTGAAATGTTATCTAAATTATCAATTAGACATTAATTAACTTATCCAGACCATAATAAACTCTCGATGTCAAGGCTAGCCTTCGATGTAGGCTGGATTAGATTCCTATATGCCGCTGACGGCCAAAGATAATTAAATCAGAAAAAGTGGATAATCGAGACTATGCTGTTTATATTAATGATTTTAGTAATGATAACCGAGACTATGCAAAAATTTCACCGGCTTCTTTCTCGGCTCATAGTGGATCAATTTGACTGAAATTGTCAGCAAATTACCTTTACACTATCTAGTTTTTAACTATTATAGCGAGTGTAGCACCATAGGTCTTCTGTCTGACGTGGAAAGCGGGCATATGTCGGAAACCGGTCGCCACATCCTACATACGACCCATGCATCTTTTCTTACTACATATTTCTGTAGCCTTGTGATCGTCTAGAATTTGTCTCTAGCTGTCTTTACTTCTGCTTCACGTTGTGTATTTACTTCTTACAGTTTCTTAAGACGTTGTCTTACCAGGAATAACAATGCGACAGTTTGCTTCTACATTTTATATATATATAGCTGAATACAGGTATACAAGCATAATAGATAACAATACTAGCTAAAACCATTTCTCTACCCTAGCCAGCCTCGCGGCTGTCTAGGAACTCAGATGGAAACTCTCTGGAACCTAATAGAAGTCTGGCGAATTCTCACCGGTATTGTAATTTTGTGTCTACTGGTTTTGGACATTCAATTATCCAATTGGTCAAATATGATGTAAATAATTATAGAGATTGGTTAATTGAGCCCAATGACGTCGACAACCCACCCTTATATGGTGGAATGGAATTTTACTGAAGAATATTCTCATGAGATATCTGTTAACATGTTGTTGACATAGAACCAGTTATGTTATGGCTCTACAAGTGTTTTCATATCACAATATGTCATTCAAACCCTAAGTTGATTTAAGTATTTTAAGTACATATCACATATTATGCGAATATGTTATTTCTCTAGCAAAAATTCTACTAAAAGTATTACACGAGAACTACCATCTCTTTATCTTATCTCCCATAATGTATCTTTAAGTTTTTTTCTTTGAACGCATAATAACGTTCTTGTGCTTACAATGAAGTCTACTTAAAATCTAAGCACAAGAAGGTTCTTAAGAATTTTCTGGGAACACAAAATAAGTAAGTTTACTTAAATGTAAAGTCTACTTAAATTTAAGCACAAGAACGTGCTTAAGAATTTTCTAGGAATCGGGCCTGATCTATATTTTGTTTCGTTTTTTTTATACTTGCTATGGCCTACACTATATAGTAAAGACAAAACGAAATTTTGAACTATAAAATACGAAACGTGTTTTAATCAGATTGTGTTAGCTGAATTAGTGAATTTAAAATAAAATCTCACAATAAAAGATATAAGTAAGAATAACGGTGACTTTAGAAATATGTTTATTTAAAATACACTTAATTCATTTGAAAATATTACTTAAAAGTATTATAGGGAATGGTAATAGTATAAAAATATTCTGTTTTTGACGCATGGTTTCCCCTAGTCAGGGGTGCAGGAAGGACGGCCAGACAAGGACAGCCGTCTAGTCGTTCGGAAGGGAAGAAAAACCGAGATCCCGTGTATACATTAGCGTGCACGTAAAATATCCCTTAGCAGTTGGAAAGCCGTAGCGACGCTCTCCGGGCAAAATTTCTCCCATAGCACACTGTATGGCGTAAGCCCGTCTTCATTAGCCCAGTTAGAGCAAGTCAGTAGGACGTTTCATTTCATTTCGTTCTGCTTCGACTGGACTAATGAAGACGGACGTACGTGATTCCTCTTTACAGTGGTACAGAACGGAGAGCCTGGCAAGGGATAACGTATAGTCTTTAGAATAGGACGAAAAATCGAGCACATATTAGCCTGCACGCAAAAAGACCCCCTGGAAGTTGGAATTCAATGTAATAGTAGGCCGTAGCGCCGCTATCCGAGCAAAGTTTCCCCCACACTACACTGTATAGCGTATGCCCGTCTTTATTAACCCAGTCAGAGCTAATAAAGAATACCACTGTTATAGTTTCAGATGGGATTGGGTTTTCGTTGAAAGGTGGGGGGGGGGGAGATCATTGTAAAATTTCAACATGGAAATAGAATTCTGTACATTTGATAGCGTATTCAACAATCAATATACCAGTAGTTTGGTGGACAATAAATAAACTATCAGACTTAGGTTACCTTGAGTAAATGTAATGACGATTCACTTTCTGTAACTTATTATTCAACGGTTTGGGTTATTGCATTGGGTCTAAAATAGATCCATTTGGTACGCCAAAATGTAATACATGTTTTTTTTCCATTCACCTGATTTGATATATATGTTTGTTGTTTATTGTTTGAAATGTCTATGTATATTGTGTGTCTGTCCGTAGGTTTGTCTTGTTTATTGGTTTGTGTGTGGTCCTCCTGCACTTACTATTATATATATTATACAATAACTATCTGGGTCTTTGTTTATTCACCTTTTCATGAATACTTCTAAAACATGATTAGATTATTAAATGTGTACTATAAAATTCCAATAGAAAAATATTAAAGTATTCTGTACATTTTGATATCGCTTTCTGTTGGAAACTTTTCAAGTTCGGACGTACGGGTCGATGTATGGGGCCATATGGTACGTCAAAATGTATTACACATTTTTACAAAAACAATACTAATCTGGGTATTTGTTTTATTGATATTCTGTGGGGTTATATTAATTCATAGTTTTTATACATTTTAAATGGTGGTGGACAGTAGAGATCTGTACAGTTACCTCCAGTTAAAACATCAAAAAACTGATAACAACAATTATCATACTTCTTCTGTACACAGTCTTTAGCTACCATTACACCAGCAGCATGACCAACTCTGTCAAAATAAAGCAACAAGATGTAATCGTCAAAGATAACCGTACAACAAAACACATACGATGCCACGATCAAAGCACACAGATATTATCAAAAACCTCTTTAAGATGGAATGGGACAGTGTAATCTCTAGCTTACTTGGAACGAATTCCAAATTGAAGTGCGAAGATACAAAGAGATAGATATATCACTACTATTAGATTGTTACATCACCACCCATTCCAATGTCTACCAAAATAAAAGGCATGTTGTTCAGTTGAACTGTAAATTTTACGTTACAATGTTTTAGCCATAAATTATAGCCCATACCCACAGCACCACATTCCATTTTCACTACAACTACATTCGAGGCAAACATCAGTTCGGAAACGTTCGCCAACTCCCAATTCTTTATCTTTGTATGTGCAGAAATATTGTACTGAACCATTCACTACAAGTTAAAAAAACATACTACAGGGAAAAATAAAGCACATTATATAGGTCTTATTTTTACTATGTAGCCCTTAAATATTGTTAAAGGAATATTGTGCCGATATAGTAGTCCCTAAACATTAAGAGGGGGGTTGGATGGCTGAATGGTTAGCGTGCGCGCTCTGTATCATAAAGTCTGTCATTGAGTCGACTGGCGTGGTTTCGAATCCCAGGTTGTACGTGGCAAGGAGTATGGTCGCCTGTCCAACCTCATGGGTTTTCTCCGGGGCCTCCGGTTTCCTCCCACTGCTAAAGACCCCTACGCGCAAGCGAATTATGTAAATAAAATTAAACCGTATGTTAGTCCCGAAATGACCTAGTTTGTGTCGAGTGGACGTTAAACCCCATTTCTCTCTCTCTCTCTCTCCTAAACATTAAGACAATATGGAAATGGAGTGAAATGGGTTTTTTTTTATTGTTCTGCGCCGTCTGGGCTAATGAGGACGGTCACACTGAAATGAAATGGGGTTTGACGTTCCCGCTTTTCTGCTGTGAGGAAAAAGTTCCCGGAGAGCGGAGCTACGGACTGCTCTTATTCAGAGTATTACCCAATCAAATCATTTTGGCCCCACCCCACCCCGAAACTCTCGCCCAAAATTAAAGAATAATTACAAGCTTATGTCAATTTCAATGTTCATTAGTTTTATTGAATTTGCAACGGCATATTAAATTTACGCTCCTAAACTAACTTTAAAGTACATGGTATCGGAACATTACTTATGAATGTGTTGTTTTAGAGTATAATAAAAATCCCCGTTTTCATTAGCCCAGTTAAGATTATTATTGTTAAGCTTTTATGTATAATATGGCATGTTGTCCCCTTTATTCCTTCAAATTGAAGGTACCGAATATCTGAATTAACAACACTTAAATATATCCACGCTTCATTTTCTTTAAAATAATTAATTTAAAATGATAAAAATGAATGTTTACCAATTTTAGATTGAACAGGACTCATGATACATGCTGAGTATGTTGTGTGAATCAAACCAGCAGCCAAGAAGAAAAGTGCAGCAGCTCGCGCCTCCATTATCTGTAAAATTACATAACGAACTATTTGCCATTAAAAAAATATAATTATTTACCGATCCTAGATTGTAGTAATTGAGCAAAGCAGTAGCATTCAATGGTTTGAATACAGGCGAACGCCAATAAAATAAATGTCACGGCCTGCATTGACATCACCTTCCTTGATTATTCGAACGCTAAAAAGAAAACAGTTGAAGAGTTACGATAGCTCAGAAGAACCAGGCGCTTGGAAGACTCGACTGCCCAAGCCGTTGTCAATCATTTCCATGTCAATTTTCGGACCATCTACAGGCTTCAGCAACGCTTTCGGGCCACCAACACCACGGACGATCGTCCCCGAACTGGTAGACCAAGTGTTATCTCAAGGCGACAAGACCGCCTTGTTGTGCGACAGCACGTACATAATCCCTTCACACTGGCACCTGAGACAGCACGTTAGACAGTGGGAACACACGGAAGAACCATCAGTACCGATACATTGCGCCGACGTCTCACCAGAGAGAACATCCATTGCCGTAGACCTTGTCGTGGACCGATCCTCATCCCTCGCCATCGACGTGAACTTCTACAGTTTGCCCAACAACATCGGAACTGGCAAAACAGATAATGGAGAACTGTTCTGTTCACAGCGTTATTCTGACCAATATGTCATGGAACGAGACTCATGGGGAGGTCCAAGCATAACGATTTGGGGTGGAATCGGCCTGAACCAGAGAGTGGGTCCTGTGGTGTTCCAAAATCTTGGTTCAGGGAAAGAAGGTGGCATCACAGCAGTGCGCTACATCGATCAAGCTCTCAGATCCCACGTCATACCACATTTCGCACGTAATCGAAACGTTTTCCAGCATGACAACGCCCGTGCCCACACCGCCAGAGTTACTCGGGACTTTCTACAGCAGAACGGTGTCAACGTTATTCACTGGCCAGCCATTAGATTAAAACCCGATTGAACATTTTTGGGATGAAATTCCGAGGAGACTTAACAAGGTCGTACCGAGACCAAACACTGCCGATGGATTGTGCCAGGCTTATCTGAGCGTGTGGTTCAAGGTGCCAATGGCGTCATCAATCGTCTGGTCCACTCAATGTACAGACGCTGCGAGGCTGTTGTTGACACTCGAGGTGGACACACCAGATACTGATATTTAGACTGTGTACAGACTCTAAACCTTCTCGTAATGTCTTGGAATTGTGATGAATTAATTATTACCGTGTCTACATACTGTTCACAAAAAATTGCTTTGATCCATTTAGTAAGACGTTTTCTAGAATGGTTTGATTAAAGTGCCTCTCTGATTTTGAAATCGTACTGACGTTTAGTGGGTTTTTATTGTTTTTTTTTTTTTTTTGTTTTTTTTTTTGCTGTTTAGTATATTTATATACTTTACCGGGCTCGATTTACTTATAATCTGACGAGATTTGTCATGATTACGTCAGGCTCTCACCCATGGACCGTAAACAGCAAACGAAACAACATGTTCCTGAATCAACGATCGTGAGTTTTACATCTTTTATCCGATTTTCCTGCGTGGTTTCCCATTGTCAGTGGTGCAAGACGTAGGGCCTGACATGGACAGCTATCCCGTGTATACATTGAAGTGCACCACGTAAAAGATCCCTAGTCAGTTGGAATTCGATATAAGAGTAGGCCATAGTGCCGCTGCCTGGGCAAAATGTCCCTCATAGCACAATGTATGGCGTTTACTCGTCTTCATAAGCCGAGTCGGAGCAGAACAAGAGGACGTTAAGTCCCATTTCATTTCATTTCATTTACATCATCTAGCCTTGATAAGATGTACAAAGTTACGCCAAGATAAAACCTTATTTGAAGATGGTGGAATTGCCGTCGCCAAAAGATATATTTATTTACTCATACGCGTGAAAACTCGACCAATCCAATAAAATACTTTGTGTTGAACTAAATTAAAAAAGGTACAACTCCTTTGACTATTTGGAAGTAATTTAATTGAATCCGTATGGCAGGAATTCATGTTCAGCTCTGAAAGTGGGTCTCATTAGGGCGAGTGTAACGAGAACTTACGTTGAGCGCTAATCTAGTAAATATTGTGCAATATTTCAGCCCCAATCTCACCGATATTCGTCAATGTTATTCGGATTTTGTTTACATGGCGGGTCTTGATTAAATAATTCACTGCAATAATATAGGTGGAATTGGTTGCACCGTATTTACATACCTTTCCTGTCAAAATCCCGATAGCATGTGTTGCTTACACATAACAACTGATCACACAAAAAAATATTTAGTATGACTAAAATCCAGATAAGATAAGAACTTTTAATCTAGTTTCATCTAATATACCACTTTCTCTTTAATATTCTTCGATCACTGCATTGACCAAGAAAGTTCATCGTGATTTTCCGACGTGGTTTCCCCTTGTCAGTGGTGCAGGATGGAGGGATTGCAAGGACAACTGTCTAGTCATTCGGATGAGACGAAAAACCGAGGTCCCGTGTATACATTGGCGTGCACGTAAAAGATCCCGTGGCAGATGGAATTCGATATAAGAGTAGGCCATAGTGCCGCTGCCCGGGCAAAATTTCCCTCATAGCACACTGCATGACGCTGACAAGTCGTTCGGATGGACGTAAAAGATCCCTTGACAGTTGGAATTCGATATAAGAGTAGGTCGTAGTGCCGATTTCCCTCATAGCACACTGTATGGCGTATGCCCGTCTTCATTAGCCCAGTTCGGAGCAGAACAGTAGGGCGTTAAACCCCATTTCATTTCATTTTTCATTTCAGTTCTGTATGGCGTATGCCCGTTTTCATTATCCCAGTCGGACGTTAAACCCCATTTCATTTCATTTCATTTCTTTGATATTCTCTGCTTGCGTGCACTAGAATACGCGTTCTTTCTAGAAAATCATCCCCATGATATGAAAAAAAAAATAATTCCTTGGTTTTGGCGAAAACGCGGTTTTCCTCCACTAAAACTAAGTGTGCCTGTATGCCAGCTTGACCTACAGCAGGTGCATGGTAGACAGATACTCATGTGCAACATGATTTCTTTTTTTTTCTTTTTTTTTTTAGTGATTTTCTTTTCTTTTTACTTTTTTGAGGTTAGGTCTACTACTTAATTACTATCATTATCAGAAATTTATATTTCACACACAATTTTGCTAAAGAAAAGGAATAAGAACGGATAATAACAACGTCTTTCTAGGCGAATCTTTATAATTGTGAGCCTGCAACTTAAGCTTGTCACGTGATCAGTCACATCGTGAGTCCCTTTTGCATAACTTTTGCCCATATTCTCGTATTAATTCAAGTCAAATAGTGCAACTAAAGGGTTTGGGTTTTTTTTTTTTTTTTAAATTATCGATAGGCGGGGTGACAGGGTGGAGCCTACTGAAACTATGTACCTCATCACGCCAGGCCAGCTCTGAATATGCCGAGGTCGGGTTCTGAATTTTTAGCTTGGGGGGGGGGGGGGGGCAAGAAGGGTACGTGTGCCCCCCCCCCCCCAATAAATTTGAAAATATGGAACGCTGCATATGCCATTTATTCTAACTCTTTGGGCTTGAACCTCCCTACCTAACTTGGGACTGGGCAGGACCCTTTCCATGTGTCTGCGCCCGTATGCGGTTGCTTTGATTTAGAAAAGGCTTTATTGACCTAATTAACGTGGCTTTGGGGCAATGTGGACGTCAAAATCGCGATGATCTAGTAGAAAATCGCTGGATCCGACATCATTTTTTAGATATTCAGTTTGGCAATCAAGAGGAGGTAACTCTCATCAATAACTTGGAGGTCAAGGAGTGCCAGAAAAATATATTGACTGTTTATTAAAAATAGTGAACGTAATCATTAATCTCAGTGAGATAATCGTCATTATCTGTATTTTACTTTGTGATAAGCATAATCGTGCGGTAGTTATGGTGATGTTTGAGGTAAAGATACCGCTTTAATCATAACTGACGTAGGGCCTACTGCTACACAATACACATGACATGTAAATGACGTAAGTAAGTAAAATTATGAAGTTGTTTTTCTCTCATCAAGTTTCAGTTTCAGATGAGATTAGCTTAGTAACTTAGTTTATTTGCCAATTTTGCGTGCTTAAAATTGTCCAAATTTCTGTCATTAATTAATGGTATATTATTACTAGTAATGAATAAAGTCATTCCAAGTACACAGTCACATAGTTACTTTATTAAAGCCATAATATAATTATAATTTAAAGATGTCTGATAGAGGCTAGCCTCTCACCGTTATACTGTCTGTCCTTACACACATGTAATATGAAAATAACGCTTTACAACACCTCAGTTCTAAGGCTATTTTTCCCTATGATTCTTCTTTGTTCGTCAAAAGGAATCATTTATAAACACATCTTACACAAATTTGTAATAATTCAACACTAATTTCCAGTAGAATTTGCAATTCCAAAACAAGTTGTTTGTGTTTTTTAATTACAAAATTCTACTTGAAAATACATCACTAATTATTGTAAGTTATTATAAATTTGTGTCAGGTGTATCGAGAAAGAAGAATCCCTCTGAAAAATAGATGGTAAGGATTCCAAAATAGCCTTAGAACCAACGTGATGTAAAGCGTTATTTTAATATTGTAAATATTATAAGAACAGACGGTAACAGTAAGAGGCTAGCCTCTATCAGACACCGTTAATAAAGTAACTATGTGAATGTGTACTTTGAATGACTTTATTCATTACTGGTAATAATTATAATATACAATTAATTAACATTTTGCCAGTCCATATTATCGGATAACATTGTACAATATTTTATTTAGATTTGTATCTGAATGGGGATTGCGGAACAGGCATAGCCTATATTAATTACCCTAACATATTGATATTAGATAAATGGATTTACATTTTATAATTAAACAATGTACCAGTACAAGTAAAAAACATGAATAACTCTAATGCACTATTGTACTATTGATCATGTACATGTACACGATCTGATTTATCATTTCAGAATGAAAAAGACAAAAAGTAAAAAAGAAGGTAAAGTGACACCAGATGCAACAAACAAAGAAAAAGATTTAGTAAAGAAATTACCTGAAAGTGAAAGTAGATTTTCAAATGACTCAAGAGCTGTATCAGAGTCTGGTAGTTTATTTGATTTAAGAAGTACGATATCTGAAGACATGCAGCTACACCTATCATTATGTGGCTGTGGATTTCTGGGAATTTATCATCTTGGCGTGGCTACTTGCTTAGTCAAACATGGCCAGGGTTTTTTGTCAGGTGTTGAAAAATATGCTGGAGCCTCGGCAGGATCACTGATATCAGCTATGTTGCTTATAGATCAAGATAAAATAGATGTAAGTAAATCAAGAATAAAAAACATAATATCTTGGGAGACTATAGCAATATAACCAAACCTGTTACTATCCAAAGAATAACAGAAGTTGTAAATTTGGTACAGTAATTATAAACTCGGGCCCAAATGCAGAAACTTTGAAAATAAAGTGTCATCAACATTTTATTTTTTTACTGGTATAGACCAACAACAGCCTGATCACCTTTTTTTACAAATGACCTTGTATATTAATCTCAAAATTATTAAAGACATTACTCCAATGGTAGTTAGAATTTGATAAGTATGGGGTGAAGTCCACTAAAGAGGCATGAGCACTTTGAAGATCTTTACTGGGCAATAGAAAATAATTTTCAAACATAAAGTTATTCAGGCAGTGTTAATATATGTATACATTACAAACTTTCAGTCAGATCTGTGTCGAAGCATAGAGTTTCAAGATTCATTTATTGTTCAGTTGATTCATAAAATCCTTTGCTCTATTTCGTACATGTATAGGGCAGTTTACTGGAAAAAGACTAGTAATTACTCCCCCTGATTTCATGACAAATGAATGTAGTTCATCTGTTTATAGCAATTCTCTTTCTCTCCCACTATTCCCCCTGTTTCATGGCAATTTCTTATGACTTTGTTCCAGAATCGAAGAAAAGTGTTTGAATTTATGGGATCATTTTGGAGAATATTTGCGATTTTATTTTTGCGGTGGAAGAATCAGGCGTTAAACAGACATGGTTTAGGGAAATCATGTATATAGATTCCTTTGGCCATGTTTAGACCATGTCAAACACCTTCAATATTTTTAGGAGATGATTGTGATATAATGGAGCTGTTGGGAAAAAAACAGTTGTAACAATAAGCATCCTTCTGTCTATGCTTTGGAGTTCATATCTCTCTAAAACTTTTTTTTTTTTTTTACAGGACTGCACAACATTTACCTTTAATCTGGCGAAAAAAATCCGCTCCAAACCTTTTGGAGCCCTCACTCCACGTTTCAACCTCTTAAAACCAGTTCGGGAATTTCTAGAAGAAGCTTTACCAGTTAATGCCCATGAGAAAGCGACAGGAAGATTATTTTTATCATTAACTAATACACGTAGTAAGAAGAATGAAGTGATGTGTGAATTTGATACAAGAGAAGAGTTGATACAGGTATATTGTATATTGTGTAATATATTGTTGAAAAGGTTGTATCCAAGTTTTGGCAAATTGTTTACTAGCGCCAAACATAGAATAGTGGTTAAGAATCAAAAGGTTAAATTTTTTGATAGCTGCATTTCTGAAATTTTCTAAATATTGCTATAAAAAATGTGCCGGTAGCCATTTAAACAATGGAAATATCAGGCTAAACATCTGTGGCTGAAGAAATCAGGAGAAAAACATGTATCTTGGAAATAGATTCACTGTTAATTGCTTATATTCTATAGATATCATAAGGTAGAGGCTCAACAGTATGTTCAACAGCTATAGTAACTATAACACAATATTAACTACTTTCAGTTTGCTTGTAATGCCTTGAAAGGGTGCCCCACACAGTCAAAATTTTCTCTATTAAAACTTGTACACGCCACAGCGAATGTGCACGCTTCAGTGACTAGTCTCGAACTAATTTCTGGCTAGTCACACAGTGCAAGAATACTTGGGGTATAGTCAGTGATGCTATAAATATCCATAGCATGTGAAATTTTCCACACATCTGTCGACTATTAAAGTCGTAAAATTTCTATTGTTAACAATTCTGAATAACAATAATATTTTTGATTCGTTGTTACAGCAGCTTTGGAAAATTATGTTCGTTTTGTTTTTCAATTTGATATTTTATGAACTTTGCCGTTAGGACTCAAGATCAGTATCCTTTAGTTTAGTAAAATTAATATTTCTGAACTCCTTCGTTAGGCAAGACTAGCATACTAGTAGTATCTTCCTTTTGTTTTTACAAGGTTCTCAAAATAATCGGTGAGTTGCCTTACGTGCGCGTTTCTAAATTAGATTTATTGATCTAGCTTTCTGTAACGTTTCATATAAAATATTCTTGGTTATACCAGTCTGTCGATCAGCCAGAGAATGGTCTGTAGATTGGTTAAGAGGAACTATTTTCATATCAAGGGCAGATAATCTATTTTGCACTAAAAAATGCCTAGTTTTATTGTTTTGTTATTTTAGGCATTAATAGCTAGTAGTTATATACCATTTTATGCTGGAACTAAACCACCTACAATAAGAGGTCATGTAAGTATACATACAGTTCAAATATTCCATTTCTAAAGTTTTATATTATTAAATATCTGAGGTCTTTTTTTCCATATACTTAAATATGTTCAATTAAGAATTCAGCATTTGGGGACAGCCTAGAGTTTATAGTTATAATCTGACTGACTTGATAAACAGTGTTTTAACCATTTCCAATACTGATAATTATGCTAAGAATTATGTCCCTTAACCAATGTGATCAAAGTAGAGGCTACTGCATTATCTAACTGACTCGAAATTTATACACAATGTTCATTTTCATGAATTTCCGATAATTTATGTCATAGTTTATTTCTAATGGATCAAATATTTGTGTAACATTTCAATGAATTGTTATATTATATTGCCTACCTCAGTCCTTGTTCATCCACAATTTCTTGTAAACACTTCATGACTTGGTTTGAATGTGTAAAAGAAACCCCTATTGAATTTCAAATTTTCTGATTGTATGTTTTGCAAAGTAATTTTAGTAGTACATTTTGATATTTTAATTAAGCCTGTAAACAAGGATATAGAATAAAAGGTTCTCAATGAAAATTTAGATATTTTGTACATTTAAACCTATGTAATGCAAATTGGGGAATTCCCCAGTTATATTAAAATTTCAAAAATCTACTTCTTAACAGAATTTTAAAAAACTTGGTGAGGGTTTTCATTGGGATATAATAAAAAAGAACCTAATTGATTTTCAAAATGTTTGCATCTTCAATTTCAAAAAGTTACCTTTCTCCTTGCATTTCTACTTTTAAAGCTAGAGACACATTCATTGTGAAATTTTTATAGAAACTTGTTTGGATGACAAGCCCCCTTTTGTATTCCTTTTTTTTTTTGTTTTCCAGAAATTCATGGATGGAGGCATGACCAACAATCTTCCAGACTTCCCTTATGGGAGAACAATTTCCGTTTCTCCATTTTGCGGAAGTCAAGATATATGCCCACAGGATAAGAAAGGAAAATCATGGTTCATCAGCCAGGGCAACCAAGACTACCAAGTCAACTGGAGCAATATATTACGAGGATCACATGCTTTTTTCCCCCCTTCAAGGAGAATTTTGCAGGAATATTTCGATAAAGGTGAACGAGATGCAGGCAGGTTTTTAAGGAAAGAAGGCTGGTATGAGACTAAGGTCCCTAAACCTGTTAAAAAAGAATACATGACATTGTATGAATCTGCTGTTTAATAATGATAATATACAGTACTCAGATAACTAACAATATGATCTAGTTCATAAAAATTATGTACTATAAACATGGATCAAATAATTTTTTTGCTTCCTTTCTTAATCATACTATTTTCTCCTGCTAACAAAATTTGAGTTAACTTTGTCTTAATATTATTTTGCAATGTGCAATGGTTAAAGGAGATGGTCTACTTACTTTTATATTCTAACAATAGATAATTGATTACTGTTGACATTTATAACATGTATGATCATACAATGGATCAGGAAATGACCATGTTGGATGAAATTAAAAAATATAATTCACCAAATCGATGCAGAATTGTTCAAAGAACAAGCATGCCAATTTTCATGTTGATTGGACTTGAATTGACAAAGCCTTAGGCTTTTCCGAAGAGTGTCACCCCAAGAACAACAAAAGCAAGAAGAACAAGATGAGTAGTGGTTAGCAACCAATTCTTTGTCCCAAAAAACTTTCTAGTTAAACTTGTACTGGTTAGGAGTTTATCCGAGTATTTGCCATCAATATAATAATAATAATAATAATGTACATTTATATAGCGCTTAATCCATCCATGAGCATGCTCTAAGCGCTGTAAGTTAATAGCTTCTGTGGATAATACATCGTGAACATATGCGTCTTAAGTCTAGATCGAAATTGAGCAACTGTTTCTGAACACTTTATTTTGTCAGGTAAGTCATTCCATAGTCGTGGACCATATACACTGAAGGCTTTATCACCAAAAGATTTTAATTTAGTTGAAGGTACAACAAGTGATAGATTATTCTGTGAACGGAGTGGTCGGTTTGGTACATAAGGCTGCATAAGATCTGTGATATAGGATGGAGCTGAAATATCTATCTATTGTTATTAGAGTAGAAAAACAGATGGATCATCTCCTTTAATGTAGGTTAATCCTAGTAGAATAGAAAATCTGTATTTGTATATAAATTAGAAAAATTATGTATATCATATTTTTAACTTATCATCATGTTTAGTAACAAGAGAAGATTCCGAGTTATCTGCTCCTGTTTAAAATCTCAGTTCAGTAGGCTACCTTTTTCAATTACAGATTTTAAGGTATTATCAGTGCAGTCAGTGGAGATAGGTAGGATGTAAAGCCTATTTCATTTCATTTTCTGTCTGCTGTCCTTCAGTTTGGTCATACAAAATAATCGGTCTAATAGGACTGGTGAAAAATGCACCTGCATTTAAAACATGATTGATGTTTAAGATTTACAAATTTAAAAGTTAACATTTAGTAGTAAAAGTTAAGTCAAGACATTGATTGTAAAATGATGAGGGTGGTGTATTGATTTTAGAATTAAAGAAATTACAGATGACATATAAATGTAAATAATGAATTTTGACTTTCTTTGTGATGTTCAGCTCTGTAAATTTATAATTATTCCAGTTAATATCATTGAAATCAGATGGTTTTTATGACAGTGTTCAGTATGATCTGTAAATCTTATTTACAGGTATTTCAGAAATATTGATTTGACATTAATCATTTGGAACATTCATTACACTTTATAGATTTCCTTGGCAGTGTTCTCTAAAATTATAGTTATTCCATTTAACGCCTTGTGATAGAATGTCTTTTTGACAGTATGTTCTGTGATCAAATGGTTTTTGACAGTATGATCTGTGATCAGATGGCTTATTAACAGTGTTCAACTGTTCAGGATGATTTGTCAGTATACATTAAAAAGAAAAAGTAGGCTGCCCCACACAGCTACAAATGAGCTCTAAGTTGAATATAATTCAATAAGTGGCAAGCTCTCAAGGCACACATTTATTAGTGTTAGCTAGTATTCACCTGTATTCTCTATACAGGTATGCAATAATATTTCGGTTGTCAGTTGTTGTGAGAACCTTAGAAATTATGCCTATTTTTTTTTTTAAATTTACTATTGATTGGTTTAGCAGAATTTATCTATACAAATAGCACACTTTTATAAGATTATTAAAATATTTTAGATAGTGTGACCAATTTCAAACAAAGAGCAAGTAACAGATGTAGCTCTGGAAAATAGCCGTGTGGAGGAGTCAGTAAGGCATTATTATCAATATATTTAAGGTTTTATTTCTATCGTGGTTGATCCTTAAGCTACTAGAGGTTATGTAAATGATTATGAGATGTAATATGATGCCTTTTTGGTTCTGTTCAAGTTTTTACGCTTCTGTCAAGAATTTCATGTTTTACAGCCTATCTGTCAAACTGATCTGTAGCAACTGTTTGCATGGTCGCTACGGTCACTTAGAGGGGTCTGTGTTATTAATATTTTATTTGCTGAAGATAAAATTCTGAAACTATTTTTTGAGTTATTGGGACTATATAGCACAGTTGATGCTTACAGTTAGCCCCTGGAGCCATTCACCTGATTTGATATATACATTTGTTGTTCATGGTTTGAAATGTCTGTGTATATTGAGTGTCCTCCACAAGTGTATCTTGTTTAATTGTTAATGTTTGTTGTGGTCTTCCTGCACTTACTATAAAAAAATAAAGAAGACATATATCTCAATTTCTATTCACTCAAGCATAAAATAAGTAAAAAGTGACAAATTGATAACTAATTGAAGATCTTATTTTTGTGGAAATGATAAAAAGATTGAAAAGTTTTTTATTTTAGCATTTACTTTTAGGTGTGTATATAAAGGTTGTCCGTGTAAATGATATAATATTTTAATATTGTCTCATTAAGAATCGCACAGAACAGTGTAAAAAAATAAGCTTGGAGTGAACCCAAAATGAAGTGTTAATGTGTATAACTTTTTACTTGAATATTTGTTGTTTTTTTAAATATCTTGGAAGATGCACTTATCTAAGACTAAAGTGAGGATAGATATATGCCCTGAATGGCCGCCATATTAAAAAAATTAGTAACCTATTCTGTTATGTGGTTCAAATCCGTTTTACATATTTCATGCACAAAAAGACTTAATGGAAGCAGGATAAATACTTCTCAATATTCTCTAGGTATACATATTGTCTTTGATTAAAACCATCAATGTGTAAATTATAATGTTGGTCAGTTAGTTTCTCAAGAGAAGTTAATTGTAAACAGGTGGTGTCACTTTCATACATAAAGTGATAAAAGTAATCATTAATCATAATCATAGTTTTTTGTGGTAATCATAATATACTTTCAATCAGTAATGAACACATGGTAGCTTGCATGGTTGGTTAGCATGACACCACTAGAACATAGAATGTTTATTCTATACCCTGGCTCAGAATCTGCTTTAATAGAGGTGTTCAATTTATTTTTTTATGAACAAGTTAAGAAATTCAGGGATTATTTTTCTTTACTTACAATAGATATAGATTTATAGATCTATCAGTTTTATATTTATATCTACTGTACTAATTATTTTAATTGAGTATAATAGTTGTAGTTAATGGATATTTTACTATAAAATAAAAAAGCTATTGCTGCAATTTCATTATTCAAATTTGTTATATATATTAATGTCCATGATTGATAATAAGAATAATTTTGTTATATTTTGTCGAAAATGATGTTCATGATTTTTCGGAATAGTTTTTAATGGGAATAGGTCGGATGTTATAAATGTTTGAATTAATATTGTTGTTCTAAATACCTAGATTATAAGTAGTTGTTGAAGTTGTTAATTATAGTCGTTGGTTAGATTTGTTTGTTTTAGTATATGAATATCTAAAATGAATTATGACATCAGATCATGTGTTTAGTAAAACCAACCCAAACATTAAGCATACTATGCCTTTTACACAACACTACTAGTAATACATAGTAAAATAGTGATAGATTGACCAATACAAGTATGCATATTATATTTTGTAAATATTGTGAATTATATAATCCTCAGTATCCCCAGTGGTCTTATTCCGGGTTAATCTATAGGGGGACACATTTTCAAGTTATCTGCCCTTGATGATTGTGCTGTTTTTATCGACCAATCCCATAAATCGTTATTTGCAAAGGAAGTTGGTAAAGAGAAGTAACTCTCATTGGGTAAAATAAGCAAAACGCAAAGGCTCCCCTTCAAGGGACAAGGTTACGAATTAGCTAGAAGGTAACCTAAATGAGAGAAGTCCAAATTATACTAAATGCGTATTTATTAATAATATATTACAATTATTATGTAATATTTTAATGAAGACTGGACAGGTGTTTATATATATATGTAGGTTCAAGAGTTTTATTGAGAATCAAAATGCCAAGTATCATTTCAACAATAATAAACATAACAGAATGCAACATTTTGGACACAGAACGAATAGTAATAATAATAATAACAAAAGTCAAACATATAGATGTTATCTACCCTTATAAGTTTGTAAACTGATTTTTGATTGGTTCGTAGACTTTAGCTACAATCAAGGCCAGGGCAGGTAATTTGAAATCGTGGAAACCCTATGGATTAACCCAGGGTATAGTGGAGACCACTGGGAATACTGAGGATGGAATTATATATACCTATAGGTTGTTTTGTAAATATTGTCAATTTTATTTAGAATATATAATAATGTTGTTGTAAATGTTTGTCAATTCTATTAAGAATAGATCATATCATATATTTTAACATGTTAGATTTTTTCAAATCCCATTTGTTTACTTGTGTATAAAGAGAAAGAATATATATTATGTTAAAAGATCATGTTATATGGCTAGGTTTAAGGACCATTTTATCATCTTACATGGCTAGGGTTAAAGGCCATGTTATTGTGTTACATACATAGGTTTAAAGGCCATGTTATTGTGTTACATACATAGGTTTAAAGGACATGTTATTATGTTACATGGCTTGATTTAATGGCCATGTTATCATGTTACATGGTTTGGTTCAATGGCCATGTTATCATGTTACATGGCTTGATTTAATGGCCATGTTATCATGTTACATGGTTTGATTTAATGGTCATGTTATCGTGTTACATTGTTTGGTTTAGTGGTCATGTTATCATTTTACATGGTTTGGTTTAATGGCAATGTTATCATGTTACATGAGTAGGTTTAAAGGCCCATGTGTGCTTCCCCCCCCCCCCCCCCCGAACAAAGACTTATCTCAGAATAATTACAAATACATATATGGATCTGATAGTTTCTGTCACTCCAGACTAATTATCCATTACCATGAGACTCTCCAGTTTATTTGGGATTCTGTGGATCTTTGTATTTATTAGAATGATATTGTGTGTTCACTATTGTATTGTACATTATTGTTGTGTATTGTTGTCACCTGTGTCCACAAGTCCGTCCGCTCGTCTGCTCAATAGATAATGTTTTGGAGAGATGCTCCACTGGCCAGAGTTTGTGACATTTATTTTTTATTTTTCAAGCTTGGCAAACAGAAATTTAGCCTAAGCCATCAATTCTATTCATAGTTACTGCTCCTGACCCTGAAAACATAAAAGACAGTCTTCAAAGAGTTGTTGTTGGGCGTATATTCATTGTCATAGAGTATTTATGTAAAAATTTAATTTCATATTTGCTAGCATTAATCTTTTAGCTACATGTAATACATTGGCTTATATGGTATTTCAAAGGAAAGATTTATACATCATCATATAATACATATATGTATAATTTTTCATATAAAAATTTGTATTTTGGTAAAACCTATCATATCATATATATATATAGAGAGATATTAAGCTTTGGTATTGTTGATAACTTGATATTAGAAGTATTGAAATCATTTATGAGACTTTAAAATAATAATGGATATATTGTTACAAAAAGTATTTTAATCTTGATTTCTTCAGCCCACTTTGTCTTTGCTTCCACTGCAACAAATATAAGTCTTGAAATCATAATATCATTAATTTTGTACTGTATGCAATAACTAGCTGTCCACTTAATATAGAGTTCATGCAGTGACTTATTAGAAATGTTGTCTCAATCTACCAGCGAATTAGTTTGGTTTATACTATATAGACATTTTATGCTGTTTATTTCAGATCAGCATTCATTCCAGTTGGAATAGAGATAAAATGGGCTGAATGATAATACTAAAAGTATATTTTCAAGAACTTATTTCTGTGCTTCCATTTCTAATTGCTCATTTTAATTTTATATTTTATTAATTTATATGTAAAGATTTATATTATGCCAAACAACCAAGCCTAGAAATAAGGCACCAGTTACAAACAGTGTCAAGCCGAAATCCAGGATTTCTCTGGTGCCATCAATTTTGTCAGGCACTGATTTGTCTAAATTATCAATGATTTTAATGTTTACAATTCAAGTCCCACACAAATGTCAAAATATTAGGCACTAGTTGATTAGTTATGGCATTTTATTAGACACCACTAAAATTATTATTTCCAGACCTGAAAAATAGGGGTTGCCTCATATTTTATCTGTCTTCTTTAGCCCAGGAGCAAATTAATAGGATGTTATACCCCATTTCATTTCATCTATATTTTGTATTCAAAATTTTTGGACGACAACAAAAATTAAGATAATTAGTAATGAATTTATGAATATGGAAGGGAGTTAAAACTGTTTTGTGAACAAAAAGCATATTTGAATTACAAAATCTGTCTATTTTGATATAATATACAATTTCATGTAGGTATATGTTGTTATTAAACCTGTTGTTGAAAATTAGCCTACTAGTATGTAATGATTTATAAAAGCAGAGTTGGGTGCCATGGTTCTACAGGGGTAACAATGAATAACAGACAAGAACCTATCTATAAGCCCTCCCCCCCCCCTCCACAAAAACCCAACCTAACCCAAAACATTACTTCTGTTTACAGTTACCCTACCGACCCAAAAACCCTAAGGCATGATTTTCTGCAGTAAAATTTTGGTTATTTACAAAAGGCTGAATTGGTATTTTCCGGAAAACTACTCCATAATTCAGCTAGAAATGCTATAATTTAAATTATAAACACTTCTATTCAATCAAACCTGGCGAAAAAACAGTTATCATAAACGCAGGATATTTTATGCTGTGGGTGACTGAAACTGTACGCAAAGGACAATATTCTTTCCTTAAAGTGGTGCTAACATTTATGGGGCTCAGAGTATTTTTTATTGAACAAATCTGAATCAGACCCTTGCAACATACCCACTGCATGACTGGATTAAAGATACTTTATGCATGATTTAGATAAAGAACTGTCCATTCTTACTATAATAGTTCAAGAAAAGATAATGCAAAATGAATATATTAAAAATTTCATTCAAATTACTTTATTCTGAACAAAGTTATCAATGTTTGTAGTGTTTACAAGATGTGTGCATTGATTGTTTATTATTGTAACCACTGTGCTGGTTATTCAAGGCTAAGCCTAGCTTTTCCATTTTTAAATTAAATCATTAAACAGCCGAACAGTTCAAATCTTAAAGTCGGAGTTGATTATGGTCTTGTCGTGTTAATAAACGTCTAATTAATGATTTATATAACAGTTAAGGCCTACATATAGACATGCAATAGGCAGATTTAGCTCTTGCATAATGCCTCTTTAAAGGGGATGGGGTTACTGGGCTGCAGCCAGGGTACCCAATATTCAAGTGGCCCCAAATTAGTTCTAAAACATTTTGTACCATAAATTAATGTCATATGTTACGGTAGGGTTTAACACAAAAACTTTTCAAATTGCATTTGTATGAGTGTGGCGGACAATGACCGGAATATGCCCCTTTTCACTGTTGATGCAACGACACCAGTGGCATTTTCAGCCATGCAAGTTAATCCGGCCCTGCTACGGTCTGATCAACTTTAATAAATCTGAATGAGTAGGTTAGCATAACTAGCAACGGATTGCGGACTGGGTATGTGACGAAAGCCTGTTTGGCCGTTGGCTTTGTGCACAAAAAATAATGTGTCATTGTATTGTTTAAGGCATTAATTCTGTGTTACAGGGTATGATCCTGTCAACATGTAACCTGATAAAATTATATACCAACAATATTTCTAGAAAACCAAGCACTTTCATTCCTACTAAAATGTCTAACACTTCCCATGCAAGGTTCGGAGATCTGAACAATTTTCACTTGGTTCCTGTCTCTGGGCACACCTTAAATCAAATTGTTCGATAAATCAGAGATTCCTAACATTATGTTTTCGTGTAATACCATTAAAGAATTGTCTGTTTTGCCATTGATCAAAAACATGATCTGGACAATATTGGATTTAATTAATTCGTTATAAGAATTGGTTGATACACATGCAATGGCGGCACTAGACGCCCCTCCCCCTCTTAAATAACAACAGGCTTATGTTATTCTGTTTCTATGAAACGTGTAAATTGTAGGTTTTTGTTGGTTGGGGTGAACCAGCTGATGAAATTGAACGTTATATTTGGGTCCATATGTGCTTCACAAACCAGATGTGCCGATCGAGTTGCGCTGACTGTATAGTGTTTTGTAACCAATCGAATACCCGCAAGTTATATATTAACCAATCACAGGCTTGTATCGCTAAACGCTTGGTGGGTGGCTGTTGTTTTATTTTAGATCATTGAACGCAAAACTTACATAACATCAATTTATTCTAAATGGGTTCTGTATCAATTAAATGAATATAGGCCCTATGTAAATTTGTCGTTCCATACATTATGAGACACGAACAAGATCAACCGAAACAAACTGTCTTGGTAAATGTGCGTAGCTTTCAGATTCAAACAAAGAAAGCTAACATCCGTCAACTGTTCTTCAGTTTTAAATTTAAACATGCATTATGCAAGAGCAAAATCTGCTTATTACAAGTCTTTCTTTAGGCCTGAAATGTTATCTAAATTATCAATTAGACATTAATTAACTTATCCAGACCATAATAAACTCTCGATGTCAAGGCTAGCCTTCGATGATGGCTGGATTAGATTCCTATATGCCGCTAACGACCATTGATAATTCAATCAGAAAAAGTGGATAATCGAGACTATGCTGTTTATATTAATGATTTTAGTAATGATGACCGAGACTATGCAAAAATTTCACCCGCTTCTTTCTCGGCTTTCCTTAAGCATCTTTTCACTTTAGACAAATAAGACGAATCCTTCGACTCAAACAGGTTAGTAAACCTCAGCTTTCTTTTTTTAAGTATGTAAGTTATAGGCTGGTGTATGGTCCGAGTAGTCTTTTTGTTCGGTCCGAGTGGTCTATGAGTTGGCCCAAGTGGTCTTGGCCCGAGTTGTCACGAATTCTATTTATTAGACAAATTAATTGCTACTTACAACTGAGCGGACTGCTTATGATACGCGGCACACTACTTAAACAGGATTGGTTTTCGAAAGGATGGGTCTTTGTAGGTATTTGTATTGGACTGGGCGGACTACATAGCGGAACCTATTTGAGTCTCATAGATGTCCCTGTTTTACCAGACTAGTCGGATCAGAACTCCCAGATCCGTGACCATTTCTCGGGGAACAAGGTTTGACGATGGTTTCTGATAGAAGGGACCCTAGTGAAAATATTTGTAGCTTGCTACCTCTGAAATCTACAGGCTTATTCCAAGAGAGCCGAAAATCCAAAATGGCGGTCAAAATGGTCTGATTTGGACTATGACAAACATTGTTAGCCAAATAGCCCGTGTAATATATCATTTTATAGGTGTTGTTGGTCACCGGACCCATTTTGCACAGTTTCCTATTCATTTCACAAACGGTTGCTCCAATATGGCCGCCAAACTCCAAAATGGCGACAGAAATTGGCTCGAAAAGTATTTTTTCAATACCAATAGAAATGTGAGAAAAGAAACATTTCATATAATTATGTAAAATCAGATGAAATAAACCTTTCACAACAAAGATAACAGCGATAATTTAAAATTTCACCAAACTTGATTTTGATTTCACTCTTTGATTGAATTACCCATAAAATAGATGCCTGGCGCATGGACGGAACTGGACAAGATCCACTCATTCAACATACCTACCAAATTTTATTGAAATCAATTAAAGGGTTCACAATTTGCTCAATCAAGGTTCTTTGGCACCAAAGACAATGGGATCGAGCAATTTCATTAGACTAAATGTCAACAACAGCACCACTCATCAACGGCGATGTAATTTTTAAATTTTTCCACTCCGTCGCAAGGCCCCTTTGAAACGAGCCACTACTCCGCTCGTTCCGATAACCTAATCCGTACTGCAAATTAAAAAGTCTTTGTCTGTTGAAATATGTCTGCTGGCATGACAAAATACTGCCCGGTGTTATAAATACAAAAAATAAAACTGTTTATTTTTTACAGACGCACAGCAGTGTTATGGTGCCGAATGATCTATATGATGATGATAACCACAGATACAGGAGAACACAGAAAGGGTAGGCATTAATACCAAATAAAATAAAACCAAGTACGAAAAATCCAAACCATAAGACAGAATTTGAAGTCCTAAAAAACGTTATGGGCAAAATAGTGTATTCAAGCAAAATAGTGTAATCAGCAAATGGACTGCTCCTCGTGTACAAAATACACGACAAACAGTGGTAACAGGTGTCCGGAAGAGTAAGCTTACTCTGCCTGGCGCCACACCCGCCATAGCTGCATCCAAATTATTAGGCGAAATGTCGGTAAAATAGTATGATTGGCCAATGAACTATAGGTAATAGTAATAGTAATAGTATACGAATCACTAAATATATCTAGAATAATAGCCGAGAGAGACACGTTATATTTACCAATCAAATCAATATGACGGCCATAAAACTTTTTAAAGGTTTTAATATGTTTAGTGCGCAAGTATCCTTGTAGTTGAAGCTTAGATGACAAATGCCTCGATCTACTTAAAAAATCAGAATAAAAGGAACAAGCTCTCGCGTAACGAATTAGCTGAGACACAAACACTCCATAAGCTGGTGATATTGGAATGTTACTACTAATAAATGGAAAGTTAACAATCGGAAAGTCAAAGTCATCACGTTTATCGTACAATTTAACACTCAGTTTATGGCAATTGTCAAAATCTAGACGCAGATCCAAGTAGGAAGCGTAATTGTCACTGTCAGTGGTGTTTTTAATTTCGAGCTCATCAGGATATATGAATTCTACATAATCAATAAATTTAGGATTATGAAGTGATAAAACGTCATCGATATCGATAAGTGAAATTAAAAAGTCTGACTGATCGTTTATTAGCTTTTACGAGCGTCTGTATGTAATCGGCTTCGTACGAATAGAGAAACAGATCAGCAAGCAAAGGTGCACAGTTGGTTATTTGTAAATAATGGCAGAAAGTTAAAAAATAATGCATTCAAATTAAAATTCATTTGTTCGCATCAAACAGTACATGTTGACTGTTGACTCAACGCATTGTGACGTTTGAAAATTGGTCACTAGAATTGTTCAATGGGGATTCTGTTGGTTTACTTTGAACGAATCATACTTTAGCTGCGAGCTGATAGATTTGTCTAGTCGCGTTTGTATTTTCAAAAACGTTTCAGAATTCAACAGCTCTATCCATTTTAACATACACTTGGTTTGTTTTTCGTCATGTACATTACACGGCGAAATATTCATTGTGTTGTACAGATCGGCAAATTGTCGACTGTGTCCTTTTTAAAAAAATATTATTTGAATCGAGTAGACGTTAAACCCCACTTCAATCTCTTTTCCAGCAGTATCATGGATGGAGTGTAAAGCGGTCGTTTATGGTTCCAGGAATTAGATTGTGCGAAAGGGGGCTTTAACAGGGAAATTCTAGAAAGGCAATGATAGGTTTATATATGTATGTCTAATAGGTACAGTAAAAGACATTATGTTGACAAGTTTGAAACACATTTTTATATAGGACCTCCTTGGAAACATTGACTTTTATTTGAGCTTGAGGCGTAAAGCTACTTGAGGGACTGAGTCTACCTGTTATGTCTACGCTAGAGAGATCAACATGTCATAACTATACAGGCTGAAGATGTGTATCTCTTTCAGGAGAAAACACACCGATGAGAAGATGAGATGAACAGTTTCTCAAATCTACATATACAACATAAACAGTCTCTTCTCTTGTCCACATACACAACAACATGGGCAATTTTGCTTGTCTTGTCCACATACACAACATAACTGTGTTTTCTTCTCTTGTCCACATACACAACATATACAACAAGATTCGGGATTTCTTGTAGTCTGGTGCTCCTTGTCAAAAATTGAATCCTGGAGAGTGGGTGCATGCACTGCAGTGAACTTTTATCAACATGGTATAAGTCAGGGTCACTAACTCTGGAACTGCCTTTGGGAAAACTCTTAAAGTCGGTTTGGGCCATAATCACCTCAAAATGAAAATTTTAAGAGACAAGGGCCATCATTACCCCCCCCCCACACACACACACACACACACACACACACCCACACACACACACACACATTATTATTGCTGAAAATTTGATGGAAATCGGTGAAGAATTAAAATCTGTACCAATCTGTATGGGTCAGGGACCATAACTCTGAAACTATCAATTAATTGTCTTAAGGCGGCTAAATTTCTTTGATTTGCGTCAATCGAAAGAATTGTGTTCTTTCGATTACCGATGGGGCAAGCATCAATAGATTAAGCGATAGTCGGCTTATGCAGTTTACATTTTGGCTCATATCTCATGGCTCATATGATTAAAATACACTTACATTATTTCTAGACGTAAAATTAAAAAACAAAAACAAATCAATACATAAAATCGAATGAATTCAACACTTTTATTTTTGAACCAGACCAAAGATAATATTATCTAGGCATTTTCATTTTCATTTGAATTTAGGCGTCCTTAAATATATTGTATTTTAAAGAAGCTTAAAATCAAATAAGGATATTTCAAAATAATTATTATTTATTCACAAAGATGTTAGTTTTCAAGGACAGTACACGTCTGTGCAGTTGATAGCAGGGTTGGACGCATTCACAAACCGATAACAACAGTTATCCATCTTCAACTGGTTACATCCAGCAATATACATTAGGCCCGCGTTATAACCAATGCTTAAACGAAAATAAAATATTTACTAAGGTTTATAATCGTATCAACTAGTTTTTATTAGATTAGTGAAGTTAGGTTGTACAATTGTTTAAATATGTATCTTAAAAAGTCCATCTTACCCACATATTCCAATATATTCCACTCCACAACTATATCTTAAACACTGAGTGTAGGAATTAATAGATTCTCCAACACTCAGATTACCAACATCTGTTACACATGTCTCATTGGTACCTATAATATAAATAAATAAAAGAAAATTATTTACCTATTATAAATAAATTGAAGGGAACATATCAATATAATAAAGATAGCCACGCAAAGCGTGAATGTGCCTACAGATCAGCTTTGTCTCAACTGCAGCTTGTTCGAGAGGAAAACTTTAATCTCTAGGGTTTATACTTTTATGACCCATTGCTTCCAACCAAATTTGAAAAGAAAAGTCCGTTAAACCTATAGCCGTATCGCATTTACGCGGTTTTCGGCTAAGGCAAGATAACTCTGGTACGGAAGGCTGCGGATTATGAATATCGATAGGGATCGATGACCCCAATGGTTCCAGCCAAATATGAAAAAGACCCATTACAAACTACAGCTTTTATCGCATTATTCCGGAAAAGAGGGCATAACTCCGGAACGGAAAGTCGCGGAACGTTGAATATCGCTAGGGTTCATCCTCTCGTGACCCCAGTGATTCTCACCTAATTTGAAAGAAATCCGTTATCGCGTTCACAATGTTTTCGGAAAAGAGTGTCAACTCACTAGCGAAAAGTCTTGGAATGCTAAAATCCAAATGCTTCCGACCCAATTTTAAAAACATTCGTTAAAAACTACAACCTCTATCATGTTCCAACAAAGGGTGGGGGTACTTTGAAACGGAAAGTCATGATATACTGATTATCAATTGGATTTGTCCTCTCATGACCACAATGCTTCACACCACAGGTTTATAACTCAAGTTCACAAGCCAATTGTTGACGGACGGACAGGGTGACGACATAATACGCCCACAGTTTTGGCTGACCAACAACTACTCTTTTCAATCGAACTGCAGGTACCGTATATTCACGAACTTTGTGTTAGACTATTCATTTGTAGTATAGTTTAAAACAGATGGAAGTACAAGTACAGTTATGGTTACATGTAGATAAATACATACAAACAAATACGTCAACCACTTTTTTATCTTCATTCTGATATATTGTCTGTCCGCCCTAAATCATAAGCTGTTTATCTTCAGTTGTTATAATGCATTTATTTATGACACATTGGTATATTAAATTAGTAGCCTATACCAGGGCTGGCTGAAAAGTTCTGTACAAAGACCTGTACAAAGTCGAAGATTTCCATTTATTTTTCTATATGGTCCCCTTCGAGGTGAACACATTTTTGCCAACAATGTTGCAGGGCCTGGATGCCGGTCAAGAAGAAATTTTCTTCAGTTACCCTATAAAAAGTCGTAAAACAGCTGACATGACATCACCATTACTAGGAAAATGGTTACAAATCTGGCCAAAACATTAGCAGGATCTGCTTCAAAGTGGCGCAGATTGTCTGACACGTTGTTGATCCGCAGTCAAGGGCTTTTACACCCATCTTGCAGAAGTATTTTGACATTCTTAACTCGTTGGCGATAATGTGCTCAACCCTCTCATGAGAGATGCCCACAACACTGGCAATATGTTGAGTGGTCAATCGTCGAACAGTCATCATCATGTCATGCACCCGGGGTAATGTTTTCTTGAGTGGTTACTGTTGATGGCCTTCCAGAACGCGGGCCAGGCTCTCTCTGCCACGCTTAATTTCCGCAGCCCACTTCTTTGCTGTGGACAAGGGGCGTCATCCCTTAACGTCGAGACCATGTCGGTATGTATCTGTGTTGTGGTTAGTCCTTTCAGTTGCAGGTACTTGGTAACTGCCCTATAGCCAGTTTTGTCCATTTCTGGTGATTTCAATGGGTAGGTTGACAAGATGGTCTGGCGCGCAGACAATAATAACACTACAGTTGCAGTTCTTATGTATATGATGGCAAAGGTTTGTTCTAACCCAATTCATCTATCCTTTTCAGGCTTTGAAGTTTTCAACCAGCCGTTGTGCGTGGTTTTTATCAGGTTTGTCATTCCACGTACCGATGATTAAGTTGTATCAGCTACTTTTAAAAAAAAGTTGATAATTGATTGTACATACTTACCAGAGGGATCCTTAAATTCACCATAGCAGAATGCTTCAAATTCATAAACTGACAGCGCCAAACCCACGACTAAAAGCAATGCACTGGAACTCCTCATTTTCTGAGAAATAAAATAAATCAATATAGTTAACGTTGCAAATCAATTACTCAAGTGACCCTTATCTGTATTACCTGCGTACTGTCAAAAATAATCGAAAATAAATTTATTTGGGATTCATATTCTATATATGTCTATGCAATTGGCTAGGTTTTATCGTGTATAGTTTATCAACAATTTCAATTTGAAAACAAATTCGTAACTTACCACTGGATCAAGAAAACACGTATGCAAGTTTGCAAGGTTTTCTGATGTCAATGTTTGAATTAATCCCCCAAAATAAATATGCAAATCTACTTACGGTTTTTTTCTATGATCACTAAAGTATGAAACAAATTCCTCGGGGTGTAATTATTTGTAATTATTGAAAGGTGAAAGGAGTTCATTCAGGATACTAGATCAACATTTGTGTCCATATTTTGTCATTTACATTATTCTTTATTAATTTGTTTAAAACTACATTTGGGCAACTTTATCTGTAAACTGTAATCCCAGCTAAGAATGCAGGTAGACCAGAATGTTTTTTAAAGCGAGAATTTCATATTTACTAAGAAAATCAAAACATAATTATTTCTATGTCTTTTGCTCAATAGGTTATCAACTCACTATTATACGACCATGGGCATTATTTCCCACCCTCAAAAATCATTGACACAGGAAATAAAAACACAATTACCTCCCTTGTTTTCCCATTGCCCTCCATGCATTAGCCAACTCCAAACGTTGGAATTTGAAGTTGAGAATGATATTTTTGCCAATTTCTCAGCTGGCAATATTGAATTATAGGATTAATAGGATTATCCTTTAACAAGGTAGGACTGTTTCTGGATACCACCTATTTAAGGCTTTATTTTAATACATTTTAAAAAAATAACTTGAAAATTTGAAATTGGAACTTTAATGTGGTTTTCTCAAAATCATGGAAAATGACCTGCCGGTTTTTTCCATGTCACCAACGACTGGAAGATTTGTATACTCATGCTAGTCTCTATCATTAAGAAAATTTCAATATTTAATTATCTGTACTGATATAATGGAAATTTTCAATATTTTAATATTTGTAATTTAGAAAACATATTAAATAAAATAATATATTCAGAAATTTCTGAATTTAGCACTCTGTATAATATATATATGCACAGATATCGCAATTCTGAAATTCCTGAATTTGGCATTCTGTATAATATACAAAGCTCTGAGTTTGGCACTCGGTATAATATGCACTGATGTCACAATTCAGAAGTTAGGGTTAGCTTCGTACATATAGCCTACATAATATATTTACACAGATCGTCGAAATCAGAAATTTCTGAATTGTGTGATTTGTACATATGCCAAATTCAGAAATTTCTGAACGTTGAGCTTTATGTATATATAATATGTCATACAGAATGCCAAATTCAGAAATTTCTAAACTTTGGGCATTGTATTATACAGAGTGCCAAATTTAGAAATTTCTCAGTTGTAAGCTTTGTAGGCCCTATACTAAAGGGGCTAGAAATTGACACAAATGGGTCGCAACGCATATAATAATGTAATATGAATGTATATAAACTGATTTACATTCAATCGTTTCAGTTTTTATACGCCCACATTTTCATGTGGACGTATATTGTCGTCGCCCCTGTCCGTCCGTCCGTCCGTTCGTCCGTCCGGACATCCGTTCATGAAAATCGGCCCAAACCTGACAGACAAAATGGCCGCCCCTCGTTCTCAAATTGCGTAAAAATATGGTATATCAAAATTGTGGACCCTATAGAGGTCACAATTTTTATCAGATTTTGTTGAAACTTGAAATGTAAGTTCATAACACAAAGATCTCGGTTCATTTCGATATTCGCGCATATCGGACCGTAACTTCATGAATTATGGCCCCTTATTGTATGAAAAATCGCGTTTTTAGCTTGTGGACCCTATAAAGGTCATAATTTTTATCCGATTTAAAAAAACGTTTTATTATATCACCGTTAAACCCTAAGGACGGTTGAGTTCGAATTTCGTGAAAATCGGCCCAAAACTGACAGACAAAATGGCCGCCGTTCATTCTCAAATTGCGTAAAAATATGGTATATCAAGGTTGTGGACCCTATAGAGGTCACAATTTTTATCCGATTTTGCTGAAACTTGAAATGTAAGTTTATAACTCAAAGATCTTGGTTCCTTTCGATATTTGCGCATATCGAATTGTAATTTCTTGAATTATGGCCCTTGATTGTAGGAAATATCACTTTCGTTTTAGCTTGTTTTCTATCCATCTCTCGAAAATGTGGGCGTATCCTGTCTGGCAGCCGCTGGTTACTCTTAATTTCAAATCAGCTATGTTCGGCGAAATACACCAGATGTCTCAATCGAGTGGCAATCTCTAGCTTCTTGTTATTCCAGTCTACACCGATAGTATTTATTGCGCATGCTCTCCAGATAAGAATATGCCGTCACCCTTTGACATGACTTGTGGAATATGTCTAGCCTCGTTCTTGAAGTCCCTTGTTACAAATGGCGCTGAAACGCCTTGTGGTACAAGATTCGTGTACCAATGGTAAAATGTTTATTTTGTCTTAAATATTGGATATCAGAAGTCCATATTATCCCGATAAGATCACAACATCAATGTTGATTTAGATTGACAAATAATTCGTTTTTTCTCAATGTTGAAGACTTACAGATGTGCTGAGTTAGGGACTTGGCTACTTTAATATATTATGCTTACATATTTTTCTACGAATATATGAATTCAGAAACATACCTTATATAAGTACAAACAGAACAAATGGGAAAATGTCTGAATTTATAATTGCCCGTATCTACGGTTTTTATTAATCCTAATTCGTCGATCGGTTCATGTTTGTTTAAAATAATGCATGAATTATATGGGATTTATTTCGGAAACAAGCGCAATAGAGTTATTTCCATTGAAATGCAAAAACCCATCACACCATGTTTGGGTTTTCGAGACGCATCTTTAGAATAAGTACCGTATATTTAACTTTTTCTCAAGTCACACATCCCTACAGTTACGTAAAAAGCAAACTGGGACCCTTCGATTTTACCAATTTTCTATCTTCAAAAGAGCTTTAAATAGTCACCGAGGCTTAAAATATATATAAGAGCCTATCACACAATATTAACCCGTTTTAGTCACTAATCTTGAGCAGCACCATAAATCGTCAATATTTTATCTTGTTACGGAAATCAAATCATACTTACGTCCTTGGATTACGTAAATCAAAATAGCGGTATATTTATATAATCCTATTGTTCACATCTGCTGTGCTTCTGACAGACTTATAATATCAAAACTGTCAAATAAATGCCATTACATTGATTATTTTACTATTTAGGTGCATAATTGATATCAACGTCAAAATGACACCCCAGATGCAACAGAGTCGATGAATAACATTGTTGATTCATGAACGTCTATCCTGTGGGACCACCAAAACAATGACCCAGGTGACTATATCAATAGAGATCTCGGTATAACGCGCGCTGAAACTTTTGAAATTAAAGTCAATCCAGTGAGATCAGAGAGACAATAACCCGGGTGACTATATCTCTAGAGATCTCCTGCTGTACACTTTTGAAATGATAGTCAGTCCTGTGAGATCACAGAAACAATGATCCTTGTGATTATATTTCTAAAGATATCATCGGTATAACGCACACTGTATATCATATATCAAACATTTAAACTAAAATATAAAATGAAATGGGTTTAAACGTCATACCGAAGGCGGGCAACCGGGCTAATGAAACGGTCTTGTGCCATGCGAGAAATATCGTCTTGAGAGTTGCGCTACCGCCTATACACTTATTTGGAATTCTAACTGTCATGTACGCCACCGTGTACACTGGGCTTGATTTTCGGTCTCATCCGTCAACTGGCGTGGTTTCGAATCCCCGATTGTACGTGACAAGGAGTAGGGTCGCCTGTCCAACCTCGTGGGTTTTCTCTGGGTCCTCCGGTTTCCTCCCACTGTTAAAGACCCCTACGCGCAATCGAATTATTGAAATAAAATTAAACCATATGTTAGACCCGAAATGACTTAGTTTGTGTCGAGTGGACGTTAAACTCCGTCTCTCTCTCTCTCTCTCTCTCTCTCCGTCTCATCCGAACGACCAGACGCCTTTTTTTGCCAGCCACTGGTTTCCACTTGTCAGGGATGAACTACTGAGTGTCTGACAAGTAACAGTATCTGGTCGTCCTTGTTGGGCGAGATCCCGTAAAATTCCCCTCATAGCACACTGCGTGGCATATGCCTGTCTTCATTACCCAGGGCCCGCGAAAGCCCCCCCCCCCACCCCCACCCCGGGGGGCCTGGGACAAGAAACTCGGGGAGGTGGGGTTAGTCTCTAGCGTCATTTTAGCCCTATATCTGCTGTAACTGGAGGTTACTTTGCTAAAACACATAACGAGATTTAACACAATATAATAAATTGGCCACTTATATGGAAAAATCTTTTTAAATATTACAAGAATCCTACTAGTATTCATCTTGATTTAAAAATAGCTCATAATATAATTTGGACTATGGATACAATATTAGTAAATTTTTTAAGAATAATAGGTCAAATTTTATTGATAAGTTCATTAAGCGTCATTCCTTATAATATATATGTAGATAATGGAAATATTAAATTAGATTTTTGAAAGATTTTGTTGTACCCTCGACTTTTACTTTGTAAATTACCCCTTTTAATTACTTTTAATGTAAACACGGTAAATATTGCCTTGAAAACTGTTCATACTTATTCCTTATGCCCTAAGGACGACCTCTATTATTTTTGGTGCATGCCCGACCCCCTGGAACAGAGCCACGCCAAACTTTTGTGTGTGTCTGTGCCTCGCCTACAGGCCGCAATTCTTAGCAGATCATGTTAAAACTTTGCATACATATTCCTTATACCCTAAGGATGATCTCTAATGTATTTGGTGAATGCCTGACCCCCAGGGATAGAGCCACACCCAAATTTTGTCTGTGTGTCTGTGTTATGCCTATAGGTCACAATTCTTAATGGATCATCTTGGAACTTGGCATATATATTCCTTATACCCTAAGGACGACAAATATTGATTTTGGTGCATGATTCCAACGCCCCCCCCCCCCTTTGGGCGGCGCCAAAACCACTTTACGTTAATATTTTGTCTGTAAATGATATACAGGCTGAAATTATTAACAGATTTGGATCCAACTCGGAATGAAACATCATAGGGTTGTACCTATTTATATTGGTCCATGTACAACCCCAGAGGCAGAGGCACGGCATTACTTTTGTCGGTGAAGAACAGTACAGTGATCCCCATTTCATTTCATTTCTTTATATACATGTATGTACTTTATATTTCTATTTTCAATAGCTATACAGTGTGTTGTTACTATATAGTTGCTAGTTTGTTTTAGAGTAGGAGCTTTTATGTCCTAAAATTGTTTTTGTCGAATATCAACAACCAAGTCTACTTTTACATGAGCGCCAAAAAATATGTAGCACAATGGACTTTCATAGCCCGTGTTTAGCTTACGTTGGTATTGGTGCCATATCTAATGTATATTTAATTTCAATAACATAACAGATCTATTGATCGTCGATACAAGTAAATTGTGTACACATTGGTGATATTAATTTAAAGCTCTAGGGGAAGTCTATACATTGTATAATATTATTGTTTCTCTACTCTATCCTATTAGTTTTATATACCACATCTTAGACTTTTTGTCTAACTGCTAACACTATTTATTGAATAAATATTCATATAATATAGAAAGATACAACAATTAATTGTGGGGTCTGAAAGCCTGGGCTTATATAAATTAATCTCCAATAAGAAATTATTAACAAAAAAATAAATATACATTATAATTATAAATTATATAACGAATTAAATAACAAATGAAATAAAATAAATACATATTGCTAAAAGTTATAATTATAAATTATTTAAAGGATTAAATTGCAAGGAAAAAAATAAATATATTGTTAAAAATCATAATTATAAATTGTATAAAGATTTCAATTACAAAGACGAAATATAAATACATTGTTTAAAATTATAATTACAATTAATGAAAAGTTTAAAATACACAGACAAAATATAAATACTTTGTTTAAAATTATAATTACAATTAATGAAAAGTTTAAAATACAAAGATAAAATATAAATACTTTGTTTAAAATTATAATTATATATCATATAAATGGTTAAATTACAAAGAAAATGTATAAACACATGTTTAAATTATAATTATAAATTATATATAGGATTAAATTACAAAGACAAAAAATAAATATATTGTTAAAAATTATGAATATAAAGGATTAGAAGGATTAAATTACAAAATGTGTAATCTATATCGCAATTGATAGGATCATATCGGATTTATCGTAATGAGTTAAGAAAGTAATTAGCGACATGGTTATCTAATGAAATTGATAGTAATGGAAGGGTAAGCGAACCTAAAGATGCGGATGGGGAGATAAAAAGGCTAAAGACTATAACCTGGTCTATCAAACTAGACAGAAAAAAACCCAAAAAAACTTGTCTGCGATATCACATCGGTGGAAGTGGACGTAAAATACAACTAACTCACACGTAGACAGAAAAGAAACTACTGGTCGAAACAAAGAAAATAAAAATGGGGCTTAACCTTGACTTGACACTAAACTAGTCATTTCGGTACATGCATAAGCCTGAAAAGGATAGATCAATTGAGTTGAAACAACAAGTGCAATCGTTGAATGAGTCATAGACAGAAGAACTGCTAATGTAGTGTTATTGTTGTCTTCGTTCCAGACCAACTTGAAATCCCCAGAAATGGACAAAACTGGCTATAGGACAGTCGCCAATTACCTAACCCCAACACAAGTACATTTCGACATGGTCTCCACTTTGGGGTGTGATGCTCCTACCTTTTTCCACATCAAAAAAGTGGGTTGCGGAATTTAAGCGTGACAGAAAGAGCCTTAATTGACGATGACGTGTCGTCTGGAAAGCCAGCCATTTGATGGCTGAACGACATTTGACCACTCGACATATTGCCAGTGTTGTAGGCATCTCTCATGATAATGTTGAGCACATCATTGCCAACGAGAGAGAGAAATGGGGGTTTAACGCCCACTCAACACAAAGTAGGTCATTTCCGGACTAACATATAATTCAATTTTATTTCAATAATTCGCTTGTGCATAGTGGGAGGAAACCGGAGGACCCGGAGAAAACCCACAAGGTTGGACAGGAGACCCTACTCTTTGTCACGTACAATCGGGGAATCGAAACCACGCCAGCTGGCCCACAACGCGCACGTGCTAACCATCCCCCCCCCCATTGCCAATGAGTTAGATATGACAAAAGTTTCTGCAAGATGTTTGCCAAAGCTCTTGACTTGCAGACCGGAAACGTACCAGATTCCAATAATCGAGGTGGCCGAAATTTAATACACAATGGTTACAAGTACCGAATAAAGTCAAGCAGACCAAATGCCGTCCAATACATTTTTATATGTGTAAATTATTTAATGTTATTTAATAAATGTTAAATTTGTTAAAATCAATACTTTTTTATGTGTAAATTATTTAATGTTATTTAATAAAAGTGAAATTGTTAAAATCAGTTTTATTCTTAAAAAAGATATGGACTATAGTTTATAACACCATTGTTCTAGGATTAACTCTGGATTAGCGGCAAAATTTGACATCAACGCCTGCCGGCAAAATGGGAACACCCTTTTTTACAGACCGGCAAAAAACCTCATACATGTAGTTTTAATTGCGCTTTAAAGGACAACGACCGCTTTGCTTCAGGTCAATAACGAAACTGTCTGTTTAGTAGATTACGACAATATTGAGGTTTTGTTTATTAGTTTAAACAAACATTATGCAAGAGCTAAATCTGTCTATTGCAGGTCTTTTCTTTAGGCCTGAAATGTTATCTAAATTATTAACTTTAATTAACATACCCAGTCCATAATCAACTATTGATGGCATCGCTAGTCTGCGATGTTTATTGGATTAGATTCCGATTTCCTGTTCGACTTCCATACATAATTTAATTATGAAATGGATAGTCGAGACTTTTTATTGTACTGACTTTAGTAATGATGATCGAGACTAGGCCGAAAATTCAATCGCTAAAATCTCGGTCCAGCGTGGATCAATTTGACTGAAATTTTCAACAAATTCACTTTACACTATCTATTTTCTAACTATTATAATGAGAACGACCAGCTCTTTATCTAATCTCCCATAATGTATCTTTAAGTAATGAAATACAATGACCTCATATATTCAGGTATACATTTTGCTGAAGTGCCAGCCAAAAATCACATTTAATCTTAAAACGCCTATGTTTCAGCAATGGATCTCAAAAATGAAATGAAATGGAGGTTAGCGTCCTATTTTTCTGCACCTTCCGGGTTAATCAATCCAGACATACATCATGAGTGTGCTATGGAGGTAATTTTGCACGGATAGCGAGGTTCCCGCCTACGCTACACAGAATTCCAACTGTTGTTCTTTATTGTATTTAAATATCAATTTGGTCCTCGGCGATGATGGCTGCAGTCAATATCTGTGGCCTATATGGATAAATAAATTTATAACTGTGTTTGACCTATGCAATTCACTATACACATAAATGTCATTCTTGTTGTTTATAAATGTTACACAGTTTCATCACATAAAATTAAATAGGACAGGAATTTTATTCCGATGCGTGTCAGCATGTTCAATATTCTTTGTTGTTTCTGCTCTATAAACGTGGCAGATTGTTCTCAAAGGGAAATAAAATTTCAATTTATTGTTTCAAAAAACATTAGAAAATTGTTTGCAGTGACAATAAACTACATGATAATCGATGATTGCTATTAATTTACCAAATGTGTGAACTACGGAAGACCATAAGGGTAAATCAAATGAAAAAAATCTGATTATCTTATAATTACAAGATAGCGGTCTTGTAATTACAAGATACGGAGAAGACCACGAGTAATTTATTTCAAGGTCGCCATACACTGATTTATCGAATAGCTAGACCAACGCCGTACTTTATTTTTTTTTTACAGAATCAGCACATTCATGTCATGCTCCCATTAATATCATTCGTTATTTTCATGCCTGCATTAAAATCATAAAGTTCATTCGCCATTTCGTTCGAAAAAAATGAAATGGTAGTGGTACGGTTCACATTCGCCCGAATTCGCAACTTTGTAAGATCAAACAGGGACTTTTTTTATATTTTAGTTTATGGCATTCTAATCACGCTCGTCATAAATTCGTCATTTCGGGTGAATATTTTATCCAAAGTTCCTCATTCGGCCATGGTGTTTAAATCAAGCCCAAAACTAAATGAACACAGGATCTCAAATCATTACAATACAGTAACTCAAAAGTAAAATGATAACTTTTAGTCCAAACGACCATAGACCGGCCATGATGGCCATAAAATCAAAACGACCGGTTAATATTTATTATTTAAAGCGGCATTATGGTAGATTAGATACAGATCTGACAGTTCCCGCTATAATTGTTAATATGTAGATAATGTAAAGGGAATATGCTGAAAATTTCAGTCAAATTACTTCATTCTAAGCCAAGAAAACAACATTTTAATAACATCGTAGCCTCAATTGTCATAGTTACCGGTGTTACGATAATAAACAATATCTCGATTATACATTTATAAGGGTCTTGTTGCGATCTTGATTTTGATTTCTTTAATAATCAATGCCATATATGTACATTCTAGCTTGGATTAACAAAATTTTCTGGAAAATTTAAACAGCATTCAATAGACTAAAAAAAAAAAAATACACTGCAAATCCAACGAAATTGGATGGCGCCATAAAGTCTTACTCAAATGCATTTGTAATATTCGCTCCAGCATCCCTTGATTGGAAGCGAAATTATGCAGTATGTGTTAATAAAAGGAAATCGACCTTATTGTTCACTGCCGTTCACTTTTTTTTTTACTTTGATGAGATTCTCTGAAAAATAAAAATAAACAGAGAATAGATTTAAATGAGTATAGAAATCAAGTGCTCCACAATTATTTATTTTATTTGTATAAACTTATGTTTCTAACCAAGCTATGCAGAACAGATGATCGACGAAGCAGAAACAGATGCATAATGATAAGAAATAATCAGTTTGTTACACAGTAAAATGCTATAACAGAGTGTTAAGTCAAACGTGTGACTTTCGAACAATTATATCATAAACTAGACTTGGCAAAGTGCCAAGTTCAGAAGTTTTTATACTAGATTATCACAAAATTATACATTAATTACAAATATATGGTAAAGTAATGTATGTTGTTGAACTTGACTTTATAAAATTAAAAAAAAAAAATAATAATAAATGGCCATCACCGGGAGCGAATCCTTTCCTCCCTGTTTTCGAGCGAAATGGCCCTATGGGTGTTATATATATAAATTCAAGTATTAGAGAAAAAACACTATTAAAATGGTCTGACGATTCGTTTGATAACAATGAAAGTAATAGCCAAAAAATTAATTTTTAGTGTTTTTTCTCTAATACTTGAATTTTACTTATATGTTTAACTGAGAGTTAGATCATTTTATATAACCATTCGGCCACCCAATATAAAATGTTGGAAGTTTAGTCTTTCCATATAAATGACTACTCAATTATCAAAGAATAAATATAATTCACGTGTAGTTTTAATATAAACGTACCATATATTTGTTAGTAATATATAGAGAATATTTGTCGTTTGAGAGTGAATAACATATTTTATTTCATCAAGAAGCAAGAAAACTTATATTTTCACGAATGCGTAGCATGAGTGAAAATATAAACGTTTTCTTGTTTAGAGATGAAATAAAAAATGTTATTCACGACAAAACGACAAATGTTCTATTTATTTTATGATTTTACAATCATTTTAGGTAAAAACAACTAGCCAGTGGAATAACACTTTTATTTCACTGATAAAACGCAGTATTCCACTATTGATTATAAAATAAACATATATATCATGTAACAAATAAAACAGTATTCAGTACGCACACGTAGCCTATAGCGGCCAGATATAAGATGCCCGGGCGAAAACCCCGATTTGTCATTTCATCTGTATCACCGATAATTTATCTGAGGTTACCCAGTCTGTCATTCGAAAAACTAGCCTTCTTCTGGGATGTAATATACTCTTCAAAAAAAGTAGGGGATATTCAGAAACCATATAAAACTGCGGAAATGCACTGCTGTTTTTGTTTGAGGTAATCTGTGTAATACTATGTTAATAACAGGCCAATTTCCTACACATGAACATAAACAGTTCATATGGGCGGCTTATCTGACGGATCCATTTCACTCACAAAGAGATACACCGTCAAAAGTGAAAATGGACGTTTTTGATTTTTGTCTTAATAATGAGTAATTGCTTCACCAATCCTCAGACATTCAGCAATTCGTCGTGGCATGCTCCTAATCAACCGTCCAATCACGATTTGGGGCAATCTGACCCACTCCTCTTGCAGTGCCACGGCCAATTCTTGCAGTGTTATCGGTTGACGTTGACTTCGACGAACACGTCTCCCGATCAAATTAAACGTAACACACTAAAACAAAGATACGCTAAACAGTTAATATTATGCAAGAACCGATAGGAAAGCAAACATGGATAGATAAACCAGCACGCGGCAGTTTTCATCAACCCTTCCATGAAGTGTCAAATTTGACAATGAACCCCTACCACTTGTATGGCGCTATTGCGTGTCGCATGTGCAGCTCAGTGGTTCTGGTGGGGCGATAAGTTCTTCATCTGTGAACATACTCTCAAAGCATATCAAATGTCCAGGACTATTTATCATATCGCAACCTGCATAGGTATTTGCATTCCAATATCCCCTACTCTTTTTTTGAAGAGTATATAAAATTGACCTACATGGACAAGGCAGACGGACATGTATGCTATACGGGAAATTTTACCCGGACAGCGGCGCCCCCCCCCCCCTGCTTTTAATTCTTTATGCGAATTCCGGCGCTACTGTCTACTCGTATTTCGAAATCAAACTGCTAATGAGTATTATTATAAGTATTATTATTATTATTATTATTTCGTATTTCGAAATCCAACTGCCAAGGGTTCCTTTTGTTGCACGACAATGTGTATTATTATAAGTATTATTATTGTTATTATTATTATCGTTAACATTTATAGAGCGCTATCTTCCACATAACGTGTTCAGATGCGCTGTACAATACAATTCAATAAAGCATGCAATAAAAATAAATATACACGTAGGAAAACTAAATAAAACTATGAAAGTAAACTATAACAGGGTAGCTTAGAATAAAATCTGATATCACAAATATGTTTTATAAGTAGAATTGAATTGTAGGTCTAATTTAAAGGCTTTCTTAAACAAAAATGTCTTAAGAAGCGACTTGAAAGAGAATATATTGGCGCACCATCTTATATTAAAAGGTAAAGAATTCCATAATTTGGGTGCCTGGACGGTAAAAGATCGAGCTTCAAATGATAAAAGTCTTGCCGATTTATTTACAAGTAAAATGTGATCAGAAGAAGAGGGCGGAGTGCGGCGGAGTGCGACTCGGTGTATACATTTCTAAAAGTGAACATAAATATGACGGTGACATATCATTTATACATTTAAAAGTTAAAAGGAGGATTTTAAATTCAATTCTAAAAATAATCGGTAACCAATGGAGTTTCTGTAAAATGAGAGTAATATCATCATCATCATATTTACTTCCGGTGATGAGCCTTGCTGCTGAATTTTGAACTTTTTGTAATTTGTTAGGGATGCGTAAAGGAGTGCCAATCAATTAGTAAAGAGTTACTAAGTCTTGGGAGATAGATTCTAACCAATCTGATTAAAATACTGATCTATATTTCGTTTCGTTTTTTTATACTTTCGATGGCCTACACAACATGAAGATCTGACAAGTTATAGTGGGAGTTGACCCTATGACTTCAGACATTGATTAATCAATCAGCGTTGACGTTTCTAGTGGTTTACCAACAGTTCCGTGTATCAAAAGGCCAAGAACTCGCCGTAACGGACCGTTTCATTGGCTAATCCCTCATATCTACCAGAACATGTCAATGATAACAACTCTTCCAGATCCTAGTGTAGTAAAGACAAGTGAAACGATATTTTGAACTATAAAAACGAAACGAAAAATGATCTGTTTTAATCAGATTGGATGCTAACAAGTTGTGTTTCTACTGGAATAACGAGCTGTTTCTTATTATCGAATAGAGAGAGAGAGAGAAATGGGGTTTAACGTCCACTCGACACAAACTAGGTCATTGCGGGACTAACATATTGTTTATTTTATTTCAATAATTCGCTTGGGCGTAGGGGTCTTTAGCAGTGGGAGGAAACCGGAGGACCCGGAGAAAACCCAAGTGGTTGGGCAGGCGACCCTACTCAAGTTCGAAACCACGCAAGTTGACTCAATGGCAGGCCTTATGATACAGCGCGCACGTGTTAACCATTCGGCCATCCAACCCCCCTTATTATCGAATAACGAAACCCAAGCTAGTTCGTGGTTCGTTATTCGCCAATAACAAACATTTAGCTTTATTCATGTCAGTATAATTATATAGCTTTATCAGTTGCTTTCTACGTCCCGATATGGCGACAAAACAAATAGATTAACGTCCCGTAGACACTTTACGGGGGGGGGGGGTGAATTTAAGCCTAGCATGCTTGCGAAGGGGGGGATTTTGACCTCATCAAAATACATGTGACAATGGGTCTTTTGCATGTCCGCCATGGCAATATGTGTGTTACGGATCTCTGATTTTCCTCATATCTAAACGATTTTATAGACACACTTTCCTTGTCACTACCACAGGCGCCACCTAGCCGAAAATCAGGTGATACTTCCCGCAAAATACTTTTAAAAAAATGTCCCACAAACCTTTTGAAACGGACAGATCATGTAATTGCTTGTTAATTTGCTCTAATTTACATTTGTCAATACTTTTAGAATTCTTCAGTAAGAGGCTGATGGCCATCAGAGGGAAATCTTCACTCTCTGTCATGAGATATAATAACATGAAATTGTGAATGTTGTCATCAGACCATTCCATGATAGGCGTTTCTTCCCTCGCAAGCCTTCTCCCTCTCAAACTTTTCTGTCTCGATATTTTCTGTTAAATAAAAAAACGAAATATGATAAATATGAAAGAGATAGATAGCTTAAAGATACATGAAATGAAATGAAAATGAAATGAAATGGGGTTTAACGTCCTACTGTTTTGCTCCGAACTGGGCTAATGAAGACGGACATACGCCATACAGTGTGCTATGAGGTTAATTTTGCCCGGACAGCGGCACTACGGCCTACTCTTATATCGAATTCCAACTGTCAAGGGATCTTTTACGTGCACGCCAATGTGTACACGGGACCTCGGTTTTTCGTCTCATCCGAATGACTAGACAGCTGTCCTTGCCGGGCCCTCCGTCCTGCATCACTGACAAGGGGGAACCACGCCGGAAAATCTGTATGAACTTTCTCGGCCAATGCAGGGATCGAACACCCGACCTCCAGGCTAGCGAGCCAGCGCCTTACCCACTTAGCCACCGTGATCCCCCTTAAAGATACATTATTAGAGATTTAAATAGAGAGTTAGCCATTCTTGCTATAACAGTTCAAAAATAGATGATGAAAGAAGAATATATTGAAAATTTCAGTCAAATTACTTTATTCTGAACAAAGTTATCACCATTGTAATTTTTGACTAGAAATAGGAGTCAACTCTCTCTTCACCGTCTCCGAGAATGGCCAATAGTTTGATTGACAGGCGTTAACTCCACCTACATAATCTCGATTATCAAGTAACGTTTTCAAAGGCTGTTGTACCGTTAGCCTATCAGGTTTGAGACCGGGTTGCAATTCAATTCGTATCACATTTATTTTTACTATAAATTAAAAACAAAACTTTTAATATAATAAGAAGCGAAAGTTTGAAAGGAATGGACCAAATCAATGAGGCATAATTATAGCCGACTTCTAGTACTCCTGTACTGTAACTGGTAGGCCTACGTAACTCCCGAAGCAGACACATACTGAATAGGAAACTGATCCAATGGGGCTGCAATTCAACTGGGGTGATGTTAGCTGCGATGTTTATCAATTACCATAATTTTTCTGTAAACGCAAGTGACAAAAGAGCGTATAATATCGACATCCAAACTCCCATTTTAACCACAACTAAACATAATATCAAGGCCGTATATATCGAACTTTCAATCAAATTGACTGACATGCAGCCTCGCTCAACAGCGGCCTCGCTTCGTACGCGCTATCATTTAGCCTCGATCTAAAATTTCCGGGAGTATGACGTCAACGTAACGGTTAATCTCAGCTTACGACGCCATTTAAAAATTTATTGAATCAATGACATTCCGTTTAAATCCAAGCCGAATCCAAGCCATCCGTGGGTCTACAGAGTTGATTTTGTGCTTGTGTAAATAAAGATCTAATTTATAATTTCTATGACATCCGAAGCCTAAATAAAGACTTGCAATAATCAGATTTAGCTCTTGCATTATGTAGCCTATGTTTAATCCGTATCAAGATAGATATGGATATATTTATACCAATACAAAGCAAATAATGAATAGTAGCTGCATAATTAAAGAGATCGCCACGAGTATACAACGCTAAGGGGGGGAGGCCACAGTATGCGCCCCAAAGATGCATTCGAAATGTACATGGGACATTTTCGAAAGTAGGCCCTATAGGCCTATATTCGACCCTTAATGATAACATCCAAGAACTAGTCCACTTAGACCAAAACATTATGCACGAACGTCCGCAAATTTCCATCATAATCTATAATGTGCGCGATTGACAATTAATTCCTGTCCTACGCTGGCAGCCACGGTGGCTCAGCGAGTAAGACTTTGGCTCGTTAACCTAAATGTCCCGTGTTCGATCCCAGCGTTGGCCGAGAAAGTTCATCGGGATTGTCAGTGGTGCAGGGAAGAGGGTCTGGCAGGGGACAAAGTATAGGCGTTCGGGTGGGATGAAAAACCGCGGTCCCGTGTATAAATTGGCGTGCACGTACAATATCCCTTGGCAGTTAGAATTCTATATAAGCGTAGGTCGTTGTGCCGCTGCCCGGGCAAAATTTCCCTCATAGCACACTGTATGGCGTATGCCCGTCTTCATTAGCCCAATCAGAGCAGAACAGTTAAACCACATTGTCTCTCAATCACAAATGGTTCTTCTTAAGAAACATTGCTATCACTCTCAGTGGAAACGGATGTTAACACTCACTAAATAACGAACGGGGAATTATTTTTTTAGCGACCTACAAAGATTGGTAAAGCACTAATCAAACCGTCAAGGATTCAGTACCGGTGTTTGCCGAGAATGTTCCTTGGGATTTTCCAGCCTTATTAGCTGTGGAGGACGCGGGGTCTGGCAAGGAATTTCAGAAAAACACCGAGGTCCATCCTGTACTCGTGGACAGTCGCGGCATGCTCGTCTTCACTAGCACATACATAGCCAAGAACTTAAAATCAAGCAATTAAACATATTATACATTATGCAAGAGCTAAATCTGCTATTTGCAGGTTTTCTTTGGGCCTGAAATGTTATATAAACTATTAATTAGACATTTCTTAACATAAAAAGACCTTAATCAACTCTCGATCACATCTCGTGTGTCCGATTTTCACTGGATTTGAATCCGGTTTGCTGCTCAACGCTCATTGATGATTTAATCCAAAGTTGGTTAATCGAGACTATGTTTTTTAAATCTTACCGACTTTAGTAATGATGATCGAGGCTAGGCCTAAAATTTAAACGCTAACATCTCGGTTCAGAGTGGAGCAATTTGACTGAAATTTTCAGAATATTCCCTTTACATTATCTAGTTTTTAACTATTCTATAGTGAGAACTGCCAGCTCTTTATCTAATCTTCCACAATGCCGCTTTAACAATAAACAGCTTGAGCATCCATTAGTAGCAGACATTTATCGTTTGTTACTAGCATACGAGTTCATAAGCAAGGACATTTGCCTTTCTTAAAGTTACATTATGGGAGTTTAGATAAAGAGCCGACAGTTCTGACTATAATAGTTAAAAACTAGATAATCTAACGGGAATTTCAGCGATTTAATTTTCGGTCTAGCAGTCCTATGTCACACGTTTTGCATGTACATTCCCTGCATTCTGGCCCTTTAAATACATATCAAAATTTCAATATTCATCACTTCGGAAAAATGCCACGCCTTACACAAGAAAACAGGAACAGAGCTATTGGCGTGCTGAATTAGGGGCAAAACAGGTAGCCGTCGCCAGACTCTTTAATGTCCACCCATCGACCATTGCTCGCCTCAGACAACGCTTCCACGCCACTGGAAGAGTTGCCGATCGACCCCGACATGGAGCGCCACCTGTAACAACCGCTGCTCAAGGTCGTCACATCCGACTACAGGTTACAGTCAGCTAATGCTACTGCCAAGGGAACTGTTGGAACACGGCAACGTCAGATCAGCTCTCAAACAGTCCGAAGGCGCCTGGCTGCTCTTGGGTTACGCTGCCGTCGACTATACTAAGGTCAAATCCTTTTGCATCGTCATCGACTTGCCAGACAGCAATGGGCCGCAAATCAGGGGTATCTGCACAACACACCATTGCGAAACGTCATCTTCTCGGATGAATCCCGATTCAACCTCAGTTTTCCTGATCGACGTCACCGTATCTACCGACGTCGACATAAACGTTTTGCTCGTAACCCGATCGGAACACCTTTGGGATGAACTTGGACGACGGGTTCGAACTTAAGTCGTGCCACACGAACTGTTGCAGAGTTGGTACAGGCACTCCAAAATCATTGGCACACAATCCCACAGTGTGTAGTGAGACATCTGTGCCAGTCCATGCCAAGGCGACTTCAGGCATGTGTAAGAGCTCAGGGTGGACATACATGTACCAGATATTGACTTCAGAGGACCCCTGCTTTGTTTCATGGTTCTCTGACGTTTCGGTTTAGTGCATTTGTAGTGAATTCTTTCATGAAATTATCCACAGATGCTTTTTATTTCGATTTTGTCAATTGTTATGTACATTTGTTAAAAGTTGTTCCTGTAAATAAACTTTGGATTTGACATTGCGTTTTAAATGGCTTTGAGTGGATCTTGCAGTCACCAATTAAATCTCTCTTCTAAGACTGGCCCAACTCCTGTAGAACCAACAAGTCGATATATACAAATTGATATACATCTTTCGGAACTAAAAGCCACAATTTTGAGTGATGCAAGCTTTGTACTATCCATAAAAATTATAGTCTTTTTAAAATTTGGTTCATTCGTTTGTGACGGTGCGCCATTTAGACCGATGGGTTTTGTCTATACTTTGGTTTCCTCCCACATCTAAAGACACATAGAAAATTATACCGCATTTCCTTCCAAAGTTAAAGGCACATCGCATTTCTCCGCACATCTAAAAGACACATCAAAACTATACCGGATTTCCTCCAACAACTAACACCTCTTCATTAGTCCAGTCGGAGCAAAACAGTAGGGCGTTAAAACCTATTCAAAATATACCGCATTTCTCCTTATCAAAGTACATGTGTATACCATGTGTCTTTTTCTTTCGCCCCAATTTCATTATGATCGTAGGACTAAATACAATTTGTTTAGATAATAAACACAGCGCCTATTATGAATGAATTAGAATCATAAAATATATAAAAATATATCAAACCTGACAAATACTTTTGCTAAACACAAATTTTCAAGTCTGAAGTAACACCCGTCAAAGTGGATACACTATACACGCCTTAACAACAAGTCTTTCTCGCCCAAATGCTAAGCTAATATTTAATCAATATCTTTGTAATGTTCCAATATGTGTTGGTAATTTCCGCAAATCAATTGCCGAACTATTGACACGGAACATTTTTATGTTTACAGTTATGACAATAAAACTTAATTAATAATTCATTGGCCCTTTCTTTGTTGTCTGTTATCTATTACAAGAAATGTAGGTCTACCATGACAAATATTCAAAGAAAATTTTTTCGGTTAGGTGCTAGTTCATATAGAACTAAGTTGCTTTCTCTTCACGACTTTGCAACCAATCTATAGTAAAGGATGTTGATCTGATGTAATTGGGAAAGCTGTAATAATATTGCTAGAATTTTTGCTCTTGAAATAAGATGCCTTTATATTTCATTAATTAATATCTTTGGCAAGTTAGTAATTTCAAACATATTCACATATATAGTGTACATTAAATCAACTTAGTCTGTAATTGACAGTTGACACATAAAAAAGAGTTATTTATCGAAAACATATGTCACTCATTTACCACCAGAATTACACGTGCGTGGAATTATTCTAATTGCATCATTTGATTTAAAGTAACCAATCATTTTGTTAATTACACAATTTCAGGGACATGATCACGCTTTATGGTGCCTGATATTCATTTATTTTTAAACGAACCCGGGGAACCCTGTAAGTCAGACTTGCATTAGATTCCAGAGATCGAGGGTACATCTGACAGCCGAGAGGCTGGAAAGGGTGGAGAAGTGGTTTTAGCTATATAGTATTGTAAATTGTGCTATGCTTGTATACCTGTATTCATTTATATGCTATATAAAATGTAGAAGCGAACTATGCATTATTATTCCTGGTAAGACAAACGTCTTAAGAAACTGGAAGAAGTAAATACACAACGTGAAGCAGAAGTAAAGACAGCTAGAGACAAATTCTAGACGATCACAAGGCTACAGAAATATGTAGTAAGAAAAGATGCATGGGTTGTATGTAGGATGTGGCGACCGGTTTCCCATAGACGCTCTCCACGTCAGACAGAAGACTCATGGTGCTACAAAGCTCTACCCAACTAAATACGCGAATTTATCTATAGACGTAAAGTAAATTTTCAGTGAAGACAGATTTTCAGCACAAAAAACCAATCAGATACAATCCAGTTCCATTGACAGTTTTATTCTTGATAAAAAACCTTTAATTTAAAGAATATAATAATTATGTCGATTTCTTTGTTTTTCTCGGCAAGAATTTCCTATGAATTTTAAACTAGCTTAGTCCACCATTATGCTACACTGTTTGATCTCGCGGATAAACACGGATAAAACAACACACCCAATTATGGATGCAGGGTTGTCAATGGTGATTTGTGGCGGATATCTGGACTCGAATATAACCTTCAGTTTCATCAGCTGCATCACCACAACCAACAAAAAACTCAAATTTACATGTTTCATAAAAACAGAATAATAAGTGAATATTTTATACTGCCTTTTAGAGGGTCGGGCCCCTAGAAGACCCACATGGATCCGCAACTGAACATTCCGCGCGTATTTTCCGTCATCGGAATTACTAGGTCTCGGTGTACTTGCATACGGCACGTTTAAAAATAGTAGTAACTAGAAGAATGCCCGGCTTCGCTCGGGGGTCATAACCCCGAAACCAGAAGTGGTAGACTTACGCCACCTGGCCTATGTTACTCCCCGGTCCGAGCTACGCCTAAACCCCAAATTTCAGACTCGGGGCAGACCTAGTGTAGCCGCCAACCCCGAACAGACAGACAAACGACAGTCACAAATATTAGTATAGATATACTATTCAAAAAAAGTAGGGGATATTTGATTTTGGGGGCATAATACTAAAATATGCAAATGACTACGAAAAAAGTCACTATAGAACCTAACAGAAGAAACATTTCCAGTTACATGTGACGCCCAAACGGACCAATAGCTACCGCATAGAATGCAGGTGATGCTTGGGATCATCATGGGGGTCCAAACCAAGATTTGCATGACTCTGACTTTGAATGTTACAGTCACTGTGGCATTGAATTCCAGGGTGGAAACATCAGTTTAATTGTTTTAGTGACCAGAAAACAAATTTTGATATGCGTCGGCTTACCCAAAATGAAAGGTTACGTGCCCTTGGCATGCTACAGATCGGCACAACACAGGCGGTTGTGGCGCGGACGATGAATGTTTCTCAGTCTGTCATAAGCAGGCTATGGTCCAGATACCGTGATACACAATCTGTACAGGACAGACCACGCTCAGGTCGACCAAGGGCGACAACTCAAGCCCAGGATCGATTTATCCGTACCTTGGCCTTGAGAAATCGTGTCATCACAGCAAATCAGATCAGCACTCGTCTTCAAACAGACACTGGTGTGAGAGTGAGTGGCCAGACGATTCGGAATCGACTGCATAGGGGTCACCTTCGCGCCCGACGTCCTCGCGTGATCCCTTGTTTGAGAGATCATCACATTCAGGCAAGACGTCGTTGGTGTAGGGATCGTCAACACTGGGATAATCGACGCTGGAGCAATGTGATGTTTTCAGATGAGTCAAGGTTCACTGTTGATTTTTTGGACAGACGTAGGAGGGTGTGGCGTCGTCGAAACGAGCGCTTCCAAGACGTTAACGTCATCAGACATGATCGATTTGGGGGTGGTTCTGTTACGGTGTGGGGAGGCATCACTGTTGCTGGAAGAACGGCTTTACATGTTGTTGCAGGGCGTGTTACAGGCCAGTACTACCGGGACAACATCTTGGCAGTCCATGTTGTGCCGTTCGCACGACGTCATGGCCGCCGTTTCATCTTCCAGGATGACAACGCAAGATGTCACAGGGCCAGGATCGTTACAGGTTACCTCCAACAACAGAACATCACCACATTATCTTGGCCAGCACTGAGTCCCGACCTCTCCCCCATCGAGCATGTCTGGGACATGCTTGGACAGAGGTTACGTCAACGTCAACAACGTCCTGCCAATGTCCAAGAACTTGCTGCTGCGTTGCAACAGGAATGGGACAATCTGGACCAAAATGACCTTAGACGTCTCATTAGGAGTATGCCACGTCAGATCAATGCTTGTTTGGCAAACAGAGGAGGATTTACCCGTTACTGACTTGGTTGTGATGCTGTGGTAACTTTGCTGTTTGACCCCGGGTATCATTTTACCCTTATAATGTTCAGTCTGTGCCTTACTTAGTCTAACGATCATTTGGAATAAATCGATGAATGTGAACTTCATTTCATTTTGTCATTTGTTTCTTCGTCAGTTTCATTAGGTGACTTTAATAACACTTAAAAATCAAATATCCCCTACTTTTTTTGAATAGAATATATAATAATGGCAACCCATATCTAACCCTTATTATCTGTGTCATAGCAACCCTAATAGGTTTACATGGAGAATGGGGAGTCGCGCTGGCTCAGTGAGTAAGACGCTGGCTTGCTAACCTGGAAGTCCCAAGTTCGATCCAGGTGTTGGCCGACAAAGTTCATCGGGATTTTCCGACATGGTTCCCCCTTGACAGTGGTGCAGGATAGAGGGTCTGGCAAGTGACAACGTACGCCGTTGCGCCGCTGTCCAGGCAAAATTTCCCGTCTTCGTTAGCTCAGTCGGAGAAGAACAATAGGACGTTAAACCCATTTTATTTCATTTCACCCGGAGAATGTTAAAGGACGTGTATTCGTGTCTTAATGACATACTTTAACATTAATTTATGGAAAAGAAACGTTGCACGCACAAATGTTTCTTATATGGAGACGTGTGTTATTCCTGATAAATGAGAGCTGGGTTTGAAACAACAAAGTAACCAAAGAACAACAGTTTCCTTTTTACTGTTTAGTATGTTAAAAAACACGTATTACGCCAGTTAACCAATTATAATGTCCACGTGACCACCATCAACTGAAAAAAAGGTTGAAGACTCGTTATTTTTTGAACTAATACTTGATGTTTTTGGACGATCAAGTGGATATGGATCTGAGGGAAAAATAGATGACCGCGTCGCCGAGAGAGGCGTGCCCTGCATTTCTAAATATGATTTCCGTATTGTAACGGCCTTTTCTCTTCTTAAAAAATAGTTTCGATCGCTTCAGCCCATAATATTTCTTCTCCGACTGCAACGAATTTTGGTCTTCGAATCCGCGACATTTTATTCGAAAGTCGAGTGCACGTAACCACCTACTCTACCGCCCCCGCCCCCCAACTCTTCACACCTCCGTCTCACGCTTGACTAAAACACACGATAATTAATAATATTTGTTTTTTTGTATTTATCGAAAAACACTCACGATGACTTGATACTTTCACACTGGCGCCATTTTTGCTTAATGTAAAATTATGTGTGTTTAAAACGGCGTTTCCATGTAAAACTGATACTTTATAATCTCCATTGAAGCCTCTCATGTGTACATTCCCGCCAACTGGTAACGGATGAGACTCGCTTGTCTGCCATTCTTTGTGAATCAAATCTTGAAACATTTGTCCGGATGGATTTATCTGAAATATTAAGAAGCTGGATTTTAAAACCAGTTCAGAAACACAAAAATTACTGGTTATTAAAATTTACCGGTCCCTATCATAACATGGTTTTATGTTTGATTACACGGTCTTTTCGCCATATCTCGTTTCACACTGATCCGCAGTGAATATTCGCTAGGCCGTGAAACAGATTGATCTCGTTTGTCCAGAATAGATGTGTATATATACATAAATTATATATATTCCCCACCCGCCAAAGTATTTTCTAAATAGGTAATAAGAAACCTAAGATTCAAATTTAACATGTGATATATTTGTGTCAAGAGGTCGTCGACATGTACGCGGTAAGGTGGCTTTTTGATTTTCGCAAATCGCACATGGGGCATGTACTTACGGTATATTCATGACCATTAAAAAAGGGGACATGTAGTAACGGTAACATCATGACCATTAGATAAAGGGACATGTACTAACAGTAATACAATGACCATGAAATAAAGGGACATGTACTTACGATAGCATCATGACAATCAATAGGGGAATGTACGTATGGAAACATCGTGACCATTAAATATAGAGGCATGTACGTACGATAACATCATGCCCATTAAATAAAGGGGTATGTATTTAAGGTAACATCATGGCCATTAAATATAGGGGCATGTACTTATGGTAACACCATGACCAATAAATTTAGGGACATGTAGGCCCTACTTAGATGGCATCATGATTATTAAATAAAGGGACATGTACTTACGGCAACATCATGACCATTAAATAAGGCCGCATGGGGTCGCCAGTGTTGTTTATCCCAGAAACCCCACACAAGTACACCTTCAACTGCTGGATGACCAAAGTACAACCTCAAAAACTGACCATACTTTTTGGCCATTTTAACCGGGTCGCCATAATTATAGTAGTCTAATTCTGTGATCCATAATGGCAGCCCTGTTTTAGCAAGTTCATCTAATCGATACTGAAATATAATTGATTGATATTTTTATATTTCAATATGTTACAGATCGATTTCGCGTTCAATGGGATTCCGTTAATTTGTTTTTACTAACTATGGCCCTTTGTTGATTTACATGTAACGTCACAGAAGATTCAGTTTCCCCGGATTTTATTACGGTAGTAGTAGTTCTTGGTGTTTAACGTCTGCTTCCACATAAGTGATATCGCAGACAAATTTTTATTACGGTTAAACTTTGATTGATTTATAGACTAAGCCTGATTCTGCGTTGTATTCATTGCATAAATTAGTTACCCTCATGGTGGGCAGATCGCTTGGATCCCATAGATGACTCTGTATGCCTAAACCATATAGAGGTGCTCCTGCAGACCGGAGGAAAGAACTCTGATGTTTCAGTGCCTGGAAAGTAAACAATGCAAGAGGCTATTTACGTTGAGAAGTGGTCTAAAGTGTTCTTGAAAAACCACGAAAATATTTAGTATATCAAAGTGGATTGGGAGGGAGGGAGGGCAATCCTTAAAACGTAAACCGACATTTGATGTTTGGGAAACTGTGGATAAAACGGGTCCGTTACTAAAGTCTTTCACAGACTTTGTCAATATTATGTAGTGCGCAAAACCTCACGAAATTATCATTTCTTTCAAATGTTTTTACAACGAAGCAATATTACAAAACATGGTTTGCCTTTCTATAGACTATCAATTATGACTTTCCCCGAGTAGCTTTGTCTGGGTAATATAACTGTTGTTATAAATGTTTGTTGGGGTTTTTTTTGGGGGGGGGGATGAAACCTTTCTTGCGCCTTGAATACTATTTAGTTATGGTTTCCGCTAACACATAAAAACAAAAGCTATTTGGGGAAAGCTCAGTAAGTCAGGCGCTGATTCGCTGACTCGCTAACCAGGGGGTCTCAGGTTCGCTATTTGGGGGAAGCTCAGCAAGTCTGACGTTAATTCGCTGACTCGCTAACCAGGGGGTCTCAGGTTCGCTATTTGGGGAAAGCTCAGTAAGTCTGACATTAATTCGCTGACTCGCTATCCAGGGGGTTCAGGTTCGCTCCCTCGGGTTTTTGCGGCACGCCCCCCCCCCCCTTGTCAGGACGAAAAAACGCGGTCCAGTGTACACATTGGGATGCACGTTAAAGAACCTGACAGTTAGAATTCGAAATCCGGGCAAAATAACCCTCGGAAAAGTAGGACGTTAAACCACATTTCATTTCATTGCGAAAAGCCAATCCCATGAATACATTGCCGCACACGCGATACGCCTGTCCGGCTTAAACGAGTATAGTTATGGAGTTTGTTTTGAAAATCCACCCGGTTCGATTAAAACAATTCACTCACGAATAAGGCCTCAGGTGGATTCTTGATAATATCTTGATCGTTTAAAAAGAGTTTAGCATTTGGGTCGGCCTTATGCGCTTGCTTGAACATCCAGACGGTTATATTCGGGTCACCACTCATTGTTTCAAATGTATCAGCATGGAGATTTTCATTGTTGATATCCCAGTGTTCAACTCTGAAAAATAAATATTCTTAGCTATTTGAAATTCCCGAAAAAATAAAGGTAATAACACATTCTGCCCGTTGCCAACACTAACCACTACATATAGCAAACCCGTGTTCTGTAATATGTTTTGCCAGAGTATTAATTGCGATCTTAATATTAAAGGACAATATTGGTGTCAGTCATTATCACATATGTGATAGAACTGGTTAAACACGTTCCAAATAAAATTTTAACACAGAGATCATTGCTACGATAGATAAGTAATACAGGTGTCATGAATCGGAAGTGACGATTGATACTTACTTTCCTTTCAATGGAACGACGACATCTTGTATTCTCTTCTGAAAAGCTTTCATTACCTCGTCTTTGGTGAGCGTTTTAACCCAAGCAGGTAGTCTCCCTTTACTGAACAGATTATGAGCTCGGACTTTAATCCTAAATAATAAAATATATATACAAAGAGGAATTAGTGCCTAGTGGATAATCGCCTGTCGGTAAATTTAAAGTAAGGGGGGGGGGGCGGCTCGTGAAACCTTTTAAAAATTCCGACAAGATATGCTATTTGTGATAGGTCTTGGAGAAGGGGGGGGGGAATGTGTTAAGATTGGGTACGCGTTTGGAAGCACAGAAATACTGGAATAGGATTTAACGTCTTGTCAACACAATACGTTTACGCCCACCGTTTATCGAATTCCAACAGTCAAGATTTCACGTGCATGCCACGTAGGCAGACCTTTAATCGTTACTCCTAACTTAACCAGGCTTAAAAAAATCCCATGCCGGATTTCAATCACGAGACATGTAAGTGATAACCTGACATCCGCATGCAAATAAACTAAACCATATAGCATTATAGTTTTATTTCTTAAAGATACATTATGTAAGATTTAGATAAAGAACTAGCCATTCTTGCTATAATAGTTCGAAAGTAGACGATGTAAAATGAATAATTTGAAAATTTCATTTAAATTACTCTATTGCAAGCGAAGATATTAGCCTTTGAAGGTTTGACAGACGTGTGCAATAATTTCAACCACCGTACTGGTTGATCGAAGCTAAGTCTCGGTCCTCCATATTTGATTAAATCAAAGTATCGCTGAACCATTCTAATCTATTTAATATCGGAGAAATCTGATGCCATCGAGAGTTGATTAAGGCCTGGATCAGTTAATTAATGTCTAATTAATACTTTAGAAAACATTTCAGGCCTAAAGAAAGACCTGCAATAAGCAGATTTAGCTCTTGCATAATGCATGTTTAATTGTGAATGAATCGAAGGTATTCAAAAAGTAATATCTAAAGCACTAAGTAATAGTAAGCTCCCAAAACCTCACAATATGTTGTATGATTTTGTTTTGTATGTCAAAATTATCCGAGACATAATTTTATCATTTTGTAAAACCTACCCTCTACTAATGAGGTTGTCGATGGCATTGAATTGGTATGTTAAATGTACGTCACCCTGTAAGCAAGATAGAAAATTACAACAAAAATAAAGAAATGTGTAGGGTTTAACGTCTCTTGAATACACCAATATGTCTATAAGGCCGAGATGCTAGGGAGCAAAATTCTAACTGGCAAGGTTACTTTTTACGTGTATGCCGATATGTTGGCGGCTGGGCTTTCGTTTTCCTTCCTGATCTGACTTTCCTTTTCATCTAGACAAGAGCATTTAAGTGTGTTTTTTTGTGCAAATAAGCGGTTTCAAGTATAAGGATAATAGTATAGGCCCTACGCATGTTTATTTACATGTAACTATAACTTGTAGTATAAGCCCTGGCCGTTGCTGTCAGACCAGATCGCTTAGATTCACATGAGCGCAACACTCTCCCAGCTTCACTTATATAGGTCGGCCATGGCTAGTGACATTCAATAACTTTTTTGAATTATCATATATACTCCTACAGTCTCATATAACAACTTTTGGTCTTCGAAGGAATTATTATTGAGCAGAAATTCGCCAGTGTATCTGTTATCACCCGTGTGTGTGAACTAGCTTTATTTAACGTCCGCTTCCACCGATGTGATATCGCAGACAAGTTATCACTCGTCACTTCAGTCAGTTATATAGAGGAATAACTCGTGTTTTCCTTTTGCGTTTTTCACTTCCCTCTCTTGAAATCTTCATAACGCATCTATCCTAGCAATGATCTCAGTGTTAAAATTTTATTTGGAACGTGTTTAACCAGTTCTATCACATACAGTATGTGATAATGACTGACACCAATATTGTCCTTCAATGATCGACGATATTTATAAACCCGACTGAAGCCGACCTCTCTAATTTATAAACAGAACTGAGTTAAGAAAATATTGCTAGTTTGCTGTCATACTTTAGTACCTGTGTTTTTTCACAGCTTCCCCATTTTATAGAGTCTTCGGTGACGGCCCATTCAAACAAATCGTAAAATCTCTTTTGATATTCTGTATTTTCATAATCTGTACTCCTTGATCGACCTAGCGAGATGGCACTTCCAAATGCAAACTCATGGCGTATTTGTTCAACCTAAAAACACACATAGTAAATGGTCGTTTTATTTTGTGTATAGAGCATAATTTTATTGGGCTCGAAACACTTAAAATTAAATAAATGTATTTGCAAATACCCGCAGATTAATGCATACATACTGTTGCATCTCATCTGCCACTTTTGTAGAGTGATATTGGTCGCCATGTTTTCCGGTGTGTCTGACCTTTGTGATGACTATAAACAGGAATATTACCAATTCAGTTTATACCCGATATCTTGATATTATATTTTTAAAGACGCAAACATTCCAGAAATTAATTTGAAAATATTACCCTGACAGTAAGATGTTTAGCTGCTGATGGGTGGTCTTCGAGACTATAAAGTACAAACAACATTCAAATAATACACATATTTTCACTTTCGTCAGTATATAACAATTTAGCGGTCTTTAAACATGACTGTTTAGGTTTTCCAGTATGCATATAGCTGGACACCGCATTGGTTAACAACTGGGCTGGGATATTGGACTTAGTTAGTTCAGAGGTATGAGTGTGATGCTTTGTGGTGGTTTATTTTTCTACGTAAAGGTAACCAGTTATGTTAATTATATAGATTTTCCCAATCAATGAGAAGTGGTGGTGTGGTGATTCCTGAATATTTCAAACAAATTTAAAGTAGCTAAGTCTCTAACTCAATATCATCCAAAATCTTCAACATTGAAAACACGATTTATTTGTCTAATTAAATCAACATTCATGTTGTGATCTTACCGGAAAAAGATGGGCTTTTGATATCCAATATTTAAGACAAAATAAACATTTTACCATTGGTACACGAATCGTGTACCATAATGCGCTTCAGCCCCAGTTGTATCAAGAGACTAGAGGAACGAGGCTAGACACATTGCACCAAATCAAACGGCGCATGTAGACTGAAATAACCAGATGCTAGGAATTTGCACTCGCTTGAGACTGCTGGCTTATTTCGCCGCACATAACTAATTTGAAATTGGAGTAAAACGGAAACCATTGAATGTAAATCAGTTTATATACATTCATATTACAGTATTATATGCGTTGTGACCCACTTTTGTCAATATCTAGGTCCCAAATGTTAGCGATTTAGCTCCTTTAAGTTAAGGAAATTTAAACAAGAAATGGTTTGTAGTTACCTGATAGTAATATCTGATTTTCTATGTTTCTCTATATAGTCATCAGCTAGGGCTTGCCAGTTAGAGTTGTTGGGTAAATCGACTACAGAAACATCATCCAGTAAATAATTAACACTAGTATCTGCTATCTTTAGATACACACGGGCATAACTTTTAGCCTCTGAAATTAAACCAAAGTTGTTTTTTTTTACTCCAGTAACCAATAGTCTTTACTCCCTCTACTCGTGTGCAATGTTCAAGAGACGTTAGCGCTTTTGTGACCTTTACCCGTTGGTAAATAAAAGATTTATGGATCATTGACCCTGATTGGAAATTTTGTTTTATACTGATCACAAGACTTTCGGGAAAGGAGGCGCAGCCCTGGAAAGGAAGGTTACTGATCGATAGGGTTACTGATAGATACGGGCATTGACCCCCCCACCCCACCCTGAGTACGATCGATACGAAACTTTGCATGCTCATCGATTGATGGACTATGATTTGTGATGTTATAGGCTTTTACTGTATTTAAGGTTATGTATAATCATTGAAACATATTCCTTGTATAAGGTCAGTTACATATCAGTAAGTAACCTAATTAAAGCTAAGGGGGGTGGGTGGCTGAATGGTTAGCACGTGTACGCTGTACCATAAAGTCTGTCATTGAGTCAACTGGCGTGGTTTCGAATCCCCGGTTGTACGTGGCAAGGAGTAGGGTCGCCTGTCCAACCTCGTGGGTTTTCCCCGGGTCCTCCGGTTTCCTCCCACTGCTAAAGACCCCTACGCACAAGCGAATTATTGAAATAAAATTAAACCATGTGTTAGTCCCGAAATGACCTAGTTTGTGTCATCTATAGACAATGAAACTATTTTATTTATGTTGAAATATACGTGAGTATACTTACCCCAGTGAAAATGATAATCAGCCCCTATTTCTACCCATTCATTTAATCTAATATACCTGTCATTAGCTATAGTATCATAGTAATGTTTACCTAAAAACAATAATGTGAATCATTCTAGAAATGTAGCTGCGAGGGCCTGCCAAGGGACAACACTATAGTCGTTCGGATGGGAAAAAAACGAGGCCCCGTGTACACATTGGCGTGCACGTAAAAGATCCCTTCGAAGTTGGAATTTGATATAAGAGTAGGCCATTGCGCCGCTGTCCAGGCAAATTATACCTCTTTGCATGGTGTATGTCCGCCTTTATTAGCCAAGTCGGAGCAAAATAGAAACCCATTTCATTTCATTTTGAAGTGTTCAATTTTAATGCTGTTTATGCAGTACAATAAATAGCACATGTTTCTGTATATATTAATATAATAAAAGCAAAGTTATTAAACAATGGTGACTGTAGGTGTTAAAAAAAATGAAAAAAAAAAAACCCAAAACAACAGACGTGACTCAAATAATTGACCGTGTGGGTCATTTCGTGAATTTCGCGCCTATTTCATTATTATCGTTGGATTGAATTCAATTTGCTTAAATGACATACTAACATTAGGCAACAAAGCGCTCGACAATGTATAATCATTGAAATAAAATTTAGCCATATGTTCGTCCCAAAATGGCCCAGTTATGCCGCGAAAAGTATTTTTTACATCGACAGTTTAGTCATTTTTTAGTTTTAGTTTTACAAAAAAAATGTCATCTTTCTTACCATCTTTTCGAATAGTTTCTATCATGATAGAAACCATGTCGTAATGTTTGCCAGTTGGAAGGTTAAGGAATTTGATGAAAGTTTTGATAACCACCCGTTTACTGGCTAAATGACCATTGACGCCCGTAGCTATACCATCAGCATCTTGTCTGCAAATATATCATGCCTTAAAAGCGATTTCCCGGTTGAAATCGGAAAAAATATCTCATGTATTAATTCCGTTTAGTTTTATCTACATTAACAGATATTTTCAGATCGAGTAATCTTTATGAATAATCAAATTGTCTGTATTGGTATTTTTTGTGCTGCATATTATGGTAAATTACAGGAACGCGTATGTAGCAGTTGTTTAGGGTTATAACCATTTAGAAATCAACTATCTATATAAATGTTATTCTTCCTCAAGATTTAGATAATAGAAAGATACCATGCTGGGTAAAAGTCGGAAGGAGAAAAACCCGAAATTGTAAAGTAATTCCGTTGCTCCAAAGCTGTGCTTTTATAGTACTTTAGGTACAGGACGAGGCTTACCGTGCAGACACCATGACACTGTATTGACCATTATGGGGTTGTTTGACTCTAGCCATGGTACATTTACTACACTGCCACGTGTCCATGTATGATCCTTCAAAATCTCCATTAGATATGTATCCACCACAAGTCACCTGCAACAAGCCACAGACTACTGATAGAAGACCGAATAGAGTGGCCATATTGGATAGTCCTGCCTTCTCTGGAAGTACTGTTTTATCTTTTGACAGAAACTTATGTAATCCGTGCTTATCTATCCAAACAAGATAAACTTTATCTTTCAAACCCCGATTTATTCGTCAGCAAAGTTCACACGTGCCGGTTCAATATAAAATCCCTAAAAACAGAAAAGGTTATGATGCCCCCATAGGTGTGTACTTTAAAAATGAAAATGATACTAAATACATCATTTACCTTAAAGGGACTATCCCGAATTGAACAGAGTCACAAAATTAAAAGTCCGAGTACGTATGCAAGTTAAGCGCCAAAATATAAAGAAATGGTGTATTTCCCTGTCTCAAAATTTCAGCTCAAAATATTGAGTCATTTGGACGTGAACGTCAAAACTGCTTATCCGGACACGCAACCCTTTTAAGATTTTGGGTCAATTCTTTCGTTGGGTGACCTGATAATCGATTCCCGTTTTTTTTAGAGGTTTACACAGTGAATGACCCGTGTGCTGTACTTGATAATGAAAGGTAAATTTCACCTACACATTATCATTATAAAATAAACGGCTGGTTTTATTAAGACAATGCATAATACAGCTTTGGGCACCGGTCCCCACTTCCAGATTAAGACTGACGGGTTTAAGTTGTTTGAAAACGTATCAAATATATTGAGTTAGTTGCTCGGCCCTAAGGTAGAGGATTTTAAGTGATTTTAACACAAAATTAACCAGTTTTATTCTCCAAAATATTATCGGGATTGGCCCTTTAATACTATAGTGAAACTTTATCATCATCATCATCACCATTATTATATATCTAGAAGTTCAAACAGTGTAATCTTGAACACATCGGCTTTTAGTGGGGTATAAATATATTACGATAATTGTTTACCGCAGCAATGGACTATTTAACAAGTACGATGGTACTATGGACCAGGAAATGGAATGGGGTTTAACGTCCTACTGTTCTGTTCCGAACTGGGCTAATGAAGACGGGCATACGCCATACAGTGTGCTATGAGGGAAATTTTGCCCGGACAGCGGCAGTACGGCCTACTCTTATATCAAATTCCAAATGTCAAGGAATCTTTTACCTGCACGCCAATGTGTACACGGGGCCTCGGTTGTCCTTGTCAGGCCCTCAGTCCTGCATCACTGACAAGGGGGAATCACGCCGGAAAATCTGGTCAATGCGGGGATCGAACACCCGACATCCGAATTGTTCAAAGAACAGGTATGCCAATTTTCATGTCTATCCGACTTAAATTGACGGAGCCTTGGGCTATTTCGAAGAGCGTCATCCCAAGAGGAACAAGAACGGTTAGCGACCAGTTACTGCTGGTTCAACAATACCATATTCTGGTGTATGATACTCATAACGTGATATCGCTGCAAAAGTCACCATTTGCTGCTGCTGGCAAATATTTAAAAGGTACAAATACAAAAACACAATGATTCTTTATATGGAATACAATCACTGCACACACTTTTCATACATATAGCGCAAGTGTTCTCTTATTGTTTTCAAGCACAAATTAATGATAGTTTGTAAACTGTAAAGTATACTCTTCAAAAATGCATTGAAATGCAAATACCTATGCAGATTGTGATATGATAAATAGCCATGGACACTTGACATGCTTTGAGAGTATGTTCACAGATGAAGAACTTACCGCCCCAACAGAACCACTGAGCTGCACATGCGATTGCAATAGCGCCATACACGTGGGAGAGGTTCATTGTCAAATTTGACACTTCAAGGAAGGGTTGATGAAAACTGTCGCGTGCTGGTTTATCTATCCATGTTTGCTTTCCTATCGGTTCTTGCATAAGATTTACTGTTTATGTATCTTTGCTTTGGTGTGTTACGTTTAATTTGATCGGGAGACGTTTCGTAGACGTCAACGTCAACCGACAACACTGAAAGAATTGGCCGTGGGTCAGTTTGTCCCAAATCGTGATTGGATGGTTGATTAGAAGCGTGCCACGACGAATTGCTTAATTTCTGAGGACTGGTTGAGCAATTACTCATTATTAAGACAAAAATCAAAAGCGTCCTTTTTCACTTTTGACGGTGTATCTCTTTGCGAGTGAAATGGGGCCGTCAGATAAGCCGGCCATATGAACTGTTTATGTTCATGTGTCGGCAAGTGACCTGTTATTAAGATAAACTGGTTACCTCTGATAAAAACAGCAGTGCATTTCCGCGGTTTTGTACTGTTTCTGTATATCCCCTACTTTTTTTGAAGGGTATATATAGTAAGGCAGTAGAAAACGTCATACGGCCCATAGTGTTACAATATATTGTTTGCCCTTGAATTTGATATTCTCGCTTACGAACATGAACGTAATAATGTTATTTTTGAAAGAGATTGCCCATGTTATATGCGCCTGAAGAGACTATATAGCGTCGTTTGCATTTGTTATGTACAATCATTACTTTTTAGATTACCGATCTTTGTGCTTGGTGGCTTCATGATTTCAATATATAAAGAAGGTAGGCTGGTAATTCCCCCTAGTTTAGCCCTTGTATGAGGTTTAGCTACGAAATTTTAAAAATGGCTATAGACATATAACATGGAATTACACTGAAATTAATCTATAAATAATTAGTAGACTTTATGTTAATTTTTGTTTCTTTGTTTGTCTTTAGCGTTTCCCCAAATTTTTGTTGGGTTAAAACTTTCTATCACAGATAGGGTGACCACCCGTCCCGGCCGCATTTCGCGAAACCAGCCAAAATGTCAAGCAATTGCTCACATGGAGGATTTCTGTAACAGTAATATGCGTGAATCTACACTGTTAGAAATTTTTGTAAAATTACAGTAGTACAAGCAGTTTTTGTACATTAATTATCGGTATGTTCACCACAATGTAGTAGTTCTACCAAGTCTGGCGTATTTTAACGGAGTTTCGTGTATGTTTACAGAGTTTCGTGTCTTTTTTTACAATACACGGTGATGAAATCAAAGACACATTCAAAATCAGTAAAAATACATTCTTACATATGTAATATTTCCAAACTGAACTCAAAATAAACAAGCATGCATGTAATTTTACAGATCTTACGTTTATTCACATTATTTTGTAAATTTACTTTTAGGTTAGAAATATAAATAAAATTACAGCAGTTCTCACTATAATAGTTAAAAACTAGATAATGTAATGGGAATATGCTGAAAATTTCTGTCAAATTGATCCTCTCGGAACCGAGATATTAGAGACTGGATGTTAGGCCTAGCCTCGATCATCATTACTTATTAAGTCAGTACGATAAAAAAAACATAGTCTTGATTATCTATTTTTGAATTTAATCATTAATGAGCGTTGAGCCCCAGATCGGACTCAAATCCAGTGAAAATCCAACACATAAGATGGCATCCATGAGTTGATTATGGTCTTTTCATGTTAATAAATGTCTAATTCATAGTTTATAGAACATATCAGGCCTAAAGAAAGACCTGCAATAGGCAGATTTAGCTCTTGCATAATGTATGTTTAACTTATTGGTAGTTATCGTATTCGGTAAATTTATTGTCTCTTAGCATGCAATTTTAGAGATTTTACGTTTACTCACATTATTTTGTAAACTTTCAGGTTAGAAATATAAGTAAATTTACAGCAATTAAATTTTTACCAAAAATGTTCGGAATGTTTACCAAAATGATGTATATTTACCAAGTTTCATTCTTTTTTACAATAAACTTTGATGAAACCAAAGGCACATTAAACCCCGGTAAAAATACATGCGTAATATTTCAATATTGAAATGAAAATAGCAAAGCCAGTAGGTAATTTTACAGATTTACGTTTATTCACATTATTTTGTAAATTTACTTATTGGTAAATTTACTGTCTCTTATGTAAATTTACTGTCTCTTATTTTATTTTAGTATTCCATAGCAACGAACCATTCCTAATAATTATTGTCTTATAGTATTCATTCTAATTTATTAACCATAATATGGACAATCACATTTTGTGCAATTTGGTATATTGCATGTTATATATATTTAATTTTCTTTATTTATACGATCTAAAACGTGTATTATTATTCATCGTACGTTGATCAGATTGTAAGTATGTTCATTAACGTATAAAAAAATGTTTTGCTTACTTGTCATAGATTGTATTATCTCGTAACCAAGGTCAATTGAAGACGGTTAATTAAACCGATTGGCCAGTGTTAGCTTGACTGTCTCTAGAGGAGAGTTACAATGCCTGCAGTAGACAGTACCACAAGCTTACATCTAAAATCCTGGAACGGAAGTTAAAATCATTGTGTTTTATTTTAACATTTGTCTGTAATTTTTCATTTACTGCTTTTAGGTAAATTTACATTGGGAAGTCTAAAAACAAACTTACTGTAACCGTTCATTTACTGTGTTGCGGTGAATTTACAGTTCAAAGTTAAAAAACAAACTCATGTTATTCTCCATTTACTGTTTTAAGGTAAATTTACTCACAAAGTCAAATTACAGAAACTCTGTAATATTACAGCTGAATGTTTATTTACAGTAAATTTACTGGCAACTTTTGCTGCCAGTAATTTTCATGTAAATTTACCAGATTTTTTCTAACAGTGTAGTCTCGCGATAGTCTATTTCAGTATTAGTGTAATTAAAATACTGATACACAAATTCCTTTAGAAGGTTTTTTTGGTACAAACTTGTTGATGACCTTTCCCTGTCCTACATCATATTGAAAATCCACCTAATTTCACCCCGTGGTTACCCCTTGCCACTGGTACAAGGCAAAAGGCCTTGGACAACGTATATTCATTCGGATGAGACGTAAAAGAATCCTTGGCAATTGGATTAGCGCTGGTCCAGGACAGAATTACCCTCAGCTATAGGACTCAATATAGCGTATGCCTGTCTTCATTAGACCAGCCGGACGTTAAACCCCATTTCATTTACACTTAACTCAAAGAAATATATGTTTTAAAGTAATAAACATAAGGAATGGAAAATATTACTCGCCATACCCTTATCTTGCACTATAACTACAACAACTACAACCACTACCACCAGCGCAACCAACAACACCACGGCCGCCACCATACTCAAAGAAAATAAAGTTAAATTATATCATGCAAGAACTAAATCTGCCTATTGCAGGTCTTTCTTTGGGCCTGAAATGTTATATAAATTATTAATTAGACATTTATTAACAAAACAGACCATAATCAACTCTCGATAGTATTGGATACTCGAGATTTTAACTAGATTAGAACGGTTCGCTATATAAAAATTTAATGTAAAAATGGGAAAGCGTTGCTAAGTCTCGAATATACCAGAAAATGACGTAAATATAACGTAAAAATTGCGTAAAGTTTACATTAGATTACCGTCATTTCCTGACGTAAAATTATCATTAAAAAAGAGCAAAATGATGGTAAACTGACTGACCATTTTTACGTAACTTTTACGTAAAATTAACATCATGTTGTTATATGGGAGTGCTCTGGTTACCATACATAATGCACACATCTTGTCAAAACTACAAAAAGTGATAACTTGGGTCAGAATAAAGTAATTTAAATGAAATTTTCAATATTTTCATTTTGCATTATCTATTTTCGAAGTATTATAGTAAGAATGGTCACCTCTTCATCTAAATCTTAACCAATGTATCTTTAAATTAATATAATTAATCCACATCCTATACAAATAAAAAACATATTGTAAAGACCTGCACTACCAGTAGAAATCTCAGTTCTCAGACAATACACTTTCTAAAATCTCCAACTATTTAGTCCGGACGTAAGGGCCGAGAACCCACTTTTGTTTGATATATAATGTTTCTCAGTGGATTATTGTTGGGTATAGTGTCCCCTTGATTTTTCCAGGGTAGGTGTGGTCGTGTCACCCTTGGGGAAAATTAAATATTCAAGATGGCGGCCAAAAATGGCGAAAAAAATACCAACCTATGCCGTGTAATATATCGTTTTATAGGTTGTCGGGGTCGCTGAACACGAATTCGGGCATATTTTTTAACATTTGTCCTATTTCGCTAAATAAGCTATTCAAAATGGCGAACAAATGTTTTAGCAAAAATTGAAATTTCTGGAAAGATTTATCATAAATCTAGCTGTGTGAACTATTGTTTTTTGGGGTTTTTTTTCTCTATTTTTCGCCTTTATGATGGGTCTTATGTTACAAAGATGCCCGAATTTGCGTTAAGAGACCCCCAAAACGTACAAAACGACCTAGTAGGACGAAATATGAAATTCTTGTACTTTTGAATATCCTTGTCGCATTAGGTCGGATGTTAAAAATATGCCTTATTTCGTGTTCAGAGACCCAGAAAACCTATAAAACGATATATTACACGACCTAGGATGGTGAAAAATGATTTTTTTTTTTTATATTTTCCCGCCATTTTTGGCCGCCACCTTGAATATTTCATTTTCCCCAAGGGTGACACGACCACACCCACCCTGGAGATATCAAGGGGACCCTACCCAAAAAAAATCCACCGAGAAACATTATATATCAGGCAAAAGTGGGTTCAGTGATAATTTGGCATTTGAGGTCCCAACTAATTAACTTACAACTTGGAAAACGTGACCGAACACTATGAATTTCTATTTTATATGCAATGGAAAACCATTGGAAGACGAAGGATGTATGGAATTGCTTGTTCCTTTATTTTAAGAGGCGTAAAGTGGCCGAATGGTTAGCACGTGTGCGCTGTATCATAAGGTCTGTCATTGAGTCAACTGGTGTGGTTTCGATTCCCCGGTTGTACGTGACAAGGAGTAGGGTCGCCTGTCCAATCTCGTGGGTTTTCTCCGGGTTCAATGGTTTCTTCCCACTGCTAAAGACCCCTACACGCAAATAAAATTATTAAAAAAAAATAAACTGAACCATATGTTAGTCCCGAAATGACCTAGTTTGTGTACGTTAAACCCATCTCTCTCTCTCTCTCTCTCTCTCTCTTCTCTCTCTCTCTCTCTCTCTATTCAGTTATCATAAAATCTCAATAAGTTTTACAATATTCAGCATGATTAAACATTAGCGATAAAATCTCAATACGTTTCATGATTTAATTCTAACGATAAACGATTCAACTTTCAAAAGGTTCAGTCGCAAAAATTAATAATTTATATATTTTGTTTGAAAGAAAGGTATTTTTACAGCTACAAAAGAAATTGTGTTCGTTTTTTCGGAATGCAAGATGATACTGATTTCATACATGGCATACAAATACAAAAGAAGCTGGTATGAATATTATATTATCACTTGTTGCTATGTATTTATATTTATATTGTTATCCTAAACCATTGGAACACAAACCAAGCTTGTGCGGATATTTCATAATTTGATTGTCTATTGTTGCTATGTGTAAAAGTGAAGTAACTATATATATCAACATTTTTATGCATCGTACACGTTCCTCAGTTTTTTTTTAAAAAAAAGATAATGTACCGAAACTTGATCAAGCAAAGGTGGTCACCCTAACCACAGATGAGGCATGATGTTGCAACGCAGTATTTGCCCAAAACCCCTGGGGGTTCACCGACTAACTATTTAGATATATAACCTTCCCCAGTACATTTCCCCAATACATTTCCCACACTGATCAACAGTGAATTTTCGCTTGGCCGCTACAATCACCTACGTTCAGAGCTGAACTAGGGGAGACCACGCCTGAAAATCAAGTGAAGGGTGGGCCGTAGCGCCACTGACCGGGGGAATTTTCCTCATATTTATTCATAACAGACTGTATGTGCTATGTTCGTTTACATCAGCTTGTTTGTAGGACGTTAAATCCTATTTCGTGTCATTTCATATAACTAATTTTCCTCGCGATTATTGGGAGTTGCCTCCCTCTAAAACGAACTCTTCGATCTAAAAAGTCTTCTGCTTACAAAGCAAGGAGAAACGTAAACATGATAAGGAATATATTTTTATTAAGACGCAAAATTCATCGACGATGAATAATAATTTAAGTGAACAAGTGCATGAGCATTTATTGAGTTTTGAGCTCAGTATGGTAAAAGCTTTATACTATTTTTTACTGAATTGAATTGTTCTTACTCATGTCCCAAGCCAAGGTTAGGTTGCAAAGCCTTAACAATAGAGAATGTCAATGTAAGAATACCATTGAAATTGGAACAAAGTTCATGGTAATTTGGTAAACAGTCCAGCAATGCCAGTGACAACCTTTTCTTCCCTCATATAAGGCAAGCGAAGTCCTTGCCATTCAAGTCAAGATATGTAGTCCAAAATGTCTTGACTCTCTCTGACATAATACATATGTTTATGTTATAACTTTACTTTGCATCATTCATATAATAGTTTAGTTAGGCCCCAATTATGGCAGTCAAGAAACTAGATGGGAATACTTGAGCTTCAAATGTTTTTTCCTTGTCAAAGTGCCAGAAGAGTATACTTTTATCAAGTATATATCATTAACCTTTCCAAGGCCCTTTCCAAGGCCCTTTCCAAGGTTGCACTAATTATATTATTATGAATCAAAAAAGTTACAATAACAAGGTCAAATGATAAAAATGACAATTGGCAAAGTGTTATAAATAACAATAGGTGATACTGAAAGCCTTTCAACATTTGTTCTTGGTAGAAGGGGGGTTACTGTCTTGTATAGGTAGATGATTTAATGAACAATTTTATGGTGTGTCTCAGACGCTCAGAGATGGAATCTAGTGCAAAAAAGTTTAGTCTGCACAACCCATTATTCACTTACCAGGTAGGTTACAAATAATAATTAGCCTAAAGGTAAGTTGCCGTATTTCATAGAACACTTATAAATGAAGTTAATAAAATCAAATGAGATCAACATAATTCTTTTCATTTATTTTTCTAGATAAATATGATATTTTGTTTCTTTCAGAGCTTTATGATAACTCTTATTGTGTCTGCTGTTACAGTTATTTTGTTTGTCTATTTTGGAATAAGGCGATACAGACCAAGAGGTAAATTTTTGCTATAATTTTGTGGTGTTGTTGCTTTTAGAACCATTTTAGCCAAATACACTGATAAGACTTGTACCATTAGTTGTGGTATGCTACTTTTTTTGTATGCATTGTAGCTTACTTCGAGGAATAGTAGTATAGACTGCTACATGTAAGAGTTAAAGTAGACAGACATTTTTGATTTAGATTAAAATTGTCAGTTTCATTGGAATTCATATGTTCATTTGTTTTATAAGTTGTCTGACTATCTGTGTATTTATAAAGCTAGTACCTTGTCTTCCAGTTTTCATACAGTAAACCATAACGTTGACTTTATTCAGTAAACAATCCAACTTCTGCCCCATCACTACTTAATCAAAATAATTAACCCAAATATTGTACATTGATTTGATCTAAACTAGAATTATAAATGAACACGTACATGTATCTGTTTAGGTAATCTGATCTGTCTGTAATTAATATGCAATATATTATAAAACAACAATTTCTGGTATTCTTTGCTTTCAGCACCACCATGTCAGACAGAAGCACAAAGAAAATACAGATTCAGAAAAAGAGACAAAGTTTTATTTTATGGCAGAAAAATTATGAGAAAGGTAAGTTACTTTTTTACAATGTTTATTCAGTCTTAAAGATACATTATGGAAAATTTGATAAAGAGTTGGCAGTTCTCACTATAATAGTTAAAACTAGATAATGTAAAGGGAATTTGCTGAAAATTTCAATCAAATTGATCCACTATGAACCGAGATTTTAGTGATAGAATTTTTGGCTTAACCTCGATCATCAATTAGTTTTGATTATCCATTTCATGATATAATTATGAATGGAAGTCAGAAACTAATCCAATAAACATTGCAGGCTAGCAATGCCATCAAGGGTTAGTTATGGTCTGGATAAGTTAATTAATGTCTAATTCATAATTTAGATAACATTTCAGGTCTAAAGAATAACCTGCAATAGGCAGATTTAGCACTTGCATAATGTATGTTTAAAGGGATATGAAATGTAGATTTATTAAATATTTTGGTACAGTTTTGTGGCCCATAAATTCTAATCAGTTTTAAAAGTTATTTTAACACAATTTGTTGAGAATTTGAAGTTATTTTTTTACTGCACTTGAGTGCTATTCACTACCAAAAACTGCTATGTGTGATACAGTGATGGGATTTCGCCTGTATATTTGGGACATGTCTGACTCTATTTTCCAAACGTCCTAAATTGTCAGACCAGGAATATGCCCACTTGGACATCAAGGTATGGTGAATAATATTCAAAATTCACAAATTAATATAGTGTACTGAATGAGTTTATAACTACCACTCAAACCGATTATCGTTGATAATAGGCTGGATTGAGTAGGAAATTAAGTGGTCAACGCAGTGATGGGATTTCGCCCACATATATTCTGGACATGTCCGACCCTATTTTCTGAACGTCCAAAATTATTATATGGTGAATAATATTTAAAATTCCAAAATTAATATAGTGTACTGATCAGAGTGTATAACTACCACTCAACCCGATTATCGTTAATAATAGGCTGGATTGATTAGGTAATTAAGTGATCAACGTATTTATCGTGTTATACCATCTATACCCCTACCTTGGTTAACTACTTAATCTGCCATGATTGACTGGCTTAATCTTTTATCGGACAATTCATCAATCTAATCTTAGATGTCACATATCATTAGAGTACATGTATATAACACCCCAAATCAATGGACAGTCATTCTGCGATATCTTTTATGTCTTTCAAGACTCCATATAGAAATTCTCATCAACAGTGACACTTTCCAGCGATCTCGATTGCCGAACGAAAATCGCTTACAAGGCATTGCTTACAATGAAGCTATGTGCTATGAGTCACGTACGCCATACGCTGAAGGACGCTATGCCTTTTTATAAGTAGGTATGGATCGGCAAGCTTTCGTTCTATCGTATTACGAAAACGTGTAATTTAGGAATATTACTGACCTAAATTTGAACACCAAACGGGAATTAAATATGAATAATAGCGAGGTGTTCATATTTCTATTACGCACAGATTTGAATATTTTGTTAACATTTTATAAAGAAGAAAACGATTCTTATTCCGGAAGTTCTGCATTCATTTGCTGCCGTATAAACAAAGACACATAATGCCTCCTATTGTGAATTTGATGCCGAAGCAGGAGTTGTTTTGTAGGAATGTTACTGACATAAATTTGAATACCATACGGGAATTAAATATGAAAAATAGCGAGGTTCACCTATTTTTATTACGTACGGCATTTGTATATTTTGTTAACAAATGATTTTTAATTGTGGTATGAATCTGTCTGCTTACATATCGATAAGAGTTATGCCCCTTTATTTTTGGTAAAATCGTCAATAGGCAGACGAAGTGACTTATCTTCCTACCATAACCTATTGACGATAAGTCACTTCGTCTGCCTATTGACGAAATGTCCGACAAGAAAAAATTTTATATCCGATCACTGGGTCAACGTACTTATCGTGTTATACCGCCTATTAACTAGTTAATCTGCCTTGATTGTCTGACTTAATCCTTTATTTGACAATTCATCAATCCAATCCTGAACAGAAGTCATTGCTTCTCCTTTGTCAGACTATGTATCAATCCAATAAGAGTGATTATAAACTTGATTGACCCATAATTTCTCCATTTTCGGACGTTTCAATCTCCTTGATATCGGTCGACATTTTTACTTACAGAACTTCTATGCTATCGCACTGTGATAGCATATACAAGTTCTGTGAGTAAAAACCTACTACTCAGTTTGAACTTTGGAAAGTGACTGTAAGTGTGTGCAGTATGGGTAGTTTACTCAACCATCTTAAAAGATAGGGAGCTGCAGTGGCTCAGCAAGTAAGACGTTGGTTCACTTACCTGGAGGACAGAGAGCCTGGCAAGAGACAATGTATAGTCATTTGGATGAGACAAAAAACACATTGGGATGCATGTAAAAGAACACTTTGTCAGCTGGAATTTGAAATAAGAGTAAACAGAGTAACTTCCTGATTGCACGAAAAATCATGCTTTTAGCTTGTGGTCCCTTTAGAGGTCACAATTTTTATCCGATTTAAAAAAATGTTTTAGTTTATCACCGTTAGACCCAAATGATGTTTGAGTTCGAATTTTGTGAAAATCGGACAAAAACTGTTGGACAAAATGGCTGCCCCATGTACGCAAATAGTGTAAACATCTGATATATCAAGGTTGTGGACTTCCTAGAGGTCACAATTTTGATCTGATTTTGACGAAACTTGTAATGCATGTTTATAACCCAACGATCTTCGTTCCTGTCGATATTTGCGCATATCAGATCGTAACTTACTGAATTATGGCCCTTGATTGTACGAAAAATCGCTTTTTGAGCTTGTGGTCCCTGTAGATTTCACAATTTGTATCCGATTTTAAATAAATGTTCGAAATGATGTTTGAGTTTGAATTTTGTGAAAATCGGACAAAAACTGTTGGACAAAATGGCTGCCCCATGTACGCAAATAGTGTAAACATCTGGTATATCAAGGTTGTGGACTTCCTAGAGGTCACAATTTTGATCGTACGTAACTAACGTACGAAAATTAATTGGTGGCTAGCTTTTTTTTCGCACGTATACAGTGAATGGCCATTTTGCTCAGTAATCCCAGCCAGAATTTGGCTATTTTCTAAATTTGCGTTAAAGTTTAAAATATTTGTTTTAGAACTGAAATAAATTAACTGTTAGACAATCCCAATGCTAAAAACATCAACAGAATTGATTGTTTATATCTGAAATAGACACGACCGACGCACAAAATAGTGCCAAGATGGCTGCAGACGCTGTCAATAGTGTCATTGAAGACAATGTCAATTCTATGAGTTGTAAATGTTATTTTTGTGAAAAATCATTGGAAGAAGAGAGCACATGTTGGGACTGTACGAATTATATAGTCTTTATGGGTGCAAAGGACACAATGCTGAAGATAAACCTATTGTATACAATGTAAGGTGTTGTTGACCTCATGACCCATTGACGTCAATGTCATGACCTGTGATGTGTAGATCACGTGATATGGACAAGATGGCTTGTCACAATTTTTGTTCCGATTTTAAAAACCGTTTAGATATATCACCATTCCACCATAATGAAGCTTGAATTCGAATTTCAGGAAAATCGAAATGAAACTGCCCTACAAAATGGCAGTGTATAAGTATGTAATACAAAGGTTATTGACCCTCTAGAGGTCACAATTTTTATCCGATTTTGATGAAACTTAAAACATGTCTTTATATTCCAAAAATCTCAGTCTCGTTTGATATTTGCGCATTTCAGACCATAATTTTCTGGATTATGGCCCCTGATTGTACAAAAAACGTTTTTGTTTTTAGCTTGTTCTCTATCCATCTCTTGCAAAATGTGGGCGTTTCCTGCCTGGCAGCCGCTGTTTTTTTTGTCCAACCCCATTTTCAATGATGGCCACGATTGACCTTTTCTTTAATTAAAACTATTAAAATTCAATAACCTTGTTTATTATATTGAATGTGTTAATTATATTTTTATTAAAGATGAAGAATACGATAGATGGAAATGGTCTTGGTAGAAAGAAGTCAAGTCACAGGCAGTTAGCTTTAAAATTAAGAAAGTAAGTGCGTATTATTTATCTATCAAAGCAAAGCTAGTTAATACTAATAACATTTTTTGTGACATTGAATTCGTGAGAAGTAAGTTTGAGTGAACTGCAATGTTATATTGAATAAACACTTTCTGACATATTATTTTTATTTATGAAATTATTAAATGAAATAGAAGGATTAATTTTTTTATACGCTTACATTGAAATATGCTCGTATATTGTCTTCCAGCTTCCACAAGTTAATATCTGATTGACTTGAAATTTATACACTGTGATTAAGATCATGAGACAAAGAAATCTATTGATTTTCAATGATTTCCAATCATTATTGGCTGAGTTATGCTCTACAGACCAAATTTAAGCCGATATTCGATAATTGCTGCCAGAGTTATAGCCCTTGACCTCCATAGTGTTTATGGTCCGGAGAAGACGAACCTTATCGATTATTTTTAACAATTTCTGATAATTATTGGGAGAGTTATGACCCTTGATCATTTTGAAAAATATTGTGGATGCTCTCAAGGTCAAAATTATCATCCGGTTGACTTTAAATTCATGCATAGTGTTTAAGGTCATGAGACGACAAAATCTATTGTTTGGAACTAGAAGCCAAACAAATTCTAATGATTTCTGATAATAAGTTAATGTTAATGGGTTGTTACTCTTCATAAGATTTTAGTATGTTGTAAATGTTTTCATTACCGACAAAAAAATAAATATGTGACATCCCCTGTTGACTACTCAGATGATTTAGCTGCTGTGGGCGTATGTTTCGAATCCTGGCAACCTATCTTTTCTTTTGAGGTACCAGTCAGTAAATTCGCATTGTGTGAACTCAAAACCCAAACATCTATATATACTTTTTACCCTGTCCTGTGGTGTTGAAGGGCACCCCACACAAAGCATAAAAGTTATATTTATTGATAATATTTACACATTTTATTTATAGATTTTTACAAAGGAAAAAAGATCCTAGCCTCTCCTCTTTAAAAGTTAAAGAGCCACCTCAATCTTTATTAGAAGCTGAAAATGATGAAGAGGAATTAGACCAAAGATTACCCCCAGAAGTTCTTTACATGTTAAGAAGTGTTAGGTATGGTTCTATTTTTACAAAAGATTGTTTTAGTATTAGTTTGGTTGTCACCATTGCTGAAAACTGATTCTAACCATCCTTAGACTTGTGAAGAAACACTGGATAATTTAATCTAGCATGCATAAAGGATGATTGTTATTTTTTACTTATTCCTTTAAAGATACATTATGGGAGATTCGATAACGAGTTGGCAGCTCTCACTATAATAGTTAAAAACTAGATAATGTAAAGGCAATTTGCTGAAAATTTCATTCAAATTGATCCACCATGAACCGAGAACAAAGCGATTGAATTTCCGCCTAGCCTTGATCATCATTACTAAAGTCAGTACGATAAACAGCATAGTCTCAATTATCCATTTAATCGTTAAATCTTGAAGGAAAGTTATGCAGTAAATCGGCTCACAATCCACTAAAGATCGCAGGCTAGCGATGCCATCTAGAGTTGATTTAGGATGAATAGGTTAATTAATGTCTAATTAATAATTTAGATAACATTTCAGGCCTAAAGAAAGACCTGCAATAGACAGATTTAGCTCTTGCATAATATATGTTTAAGAAAGCCACAAATGTTTTCAAATAATTAAAACACCTAAAATTTAACGAGTACACGAAAAGACAAAATATATTTGCCATCCGGAAGTGGTAATTTGTATCCAAGGTATGTCTCGTATGTGCACATGCATACATATGAATAAAGTCTTCTTTTGTTCTGCAGAGTGTTTGGACATTTGGAGAAGCCATTTTTCTTGGAATTATGTAAATATATGGAAAGTATCAGTCTAAAAGCTGGTGGCCATTTATTTAAAGTTGGAAATAATGATGACAGTATTTATGTGGTACAGAGTGGTAAAGTTAATGTCTATGTTACTGAAAAGGTAAATATTGAAATGTGATATTGATAATGTGCTCTATTTGAAATCTTCATTTGAAGACTTATAAAAATTCACCAGTTAATGTATGGACAACAGAAGTTGAGATGTCAAGGCTTTCTTTAGGATAACTCAATATTAATTCAGCAGATGGCTCAAAACATAGACCTGCTACTAACAAATAGCAAAACAAAACATCCACAAGAACTCTGTATTCTACGTCCCACTGATCACAATTTTGATTGTTATTTTCTTCTTGTGGCTGCCATTCAAAAATTTTAACACTCTATCCATTGCATCTTTCAGCCTGGTACAGAATATTTAGTAAAAGAAGTCTTAATAGGTGACAGTATTCACAGTTTATTGAGTATTCTAGATGTTCTCACGGTAAGTCCTAAAGATTTATACTTATAGCTTGCAATAACTGTCAGAAACTTAGTTAATACTTTGATTATGAATGACACACTTTTTTAATTTGACAAACTTGTCTTTGTCAGGATAAAGTTCTCCTTCCACATTTAAAATATCACAGATGCAGAAAATTGTCAGTCCAGAATTTTATGAATTGGCAATTGCAATCAAGTTGAACTAAATTGTGTCACATTTGTGCTAGTTCCGATGATAGATGAGGTGTGAGTAGTATTGTGATGTATTCATATACATGGAATGGTGATTAACCGAAATAATATCACATTCAGTTGGTGCATGCTTTGTCACTTGTAATTCATTTGCAGAATGAATAGATTTCAATCGGGAACTGACAGTGAAATACCATTATAGTCTCAGAATGACCTCAGCAAATTTGATTAATGCTTTTGATCCTTTTTCTCTTCATGTAATATAAAAGTTTTAAACTCATTTTTAAGGGTCATTCAGCACCTTATAAAACAGTTTCAGCAAGAGCAGAAGTGGATTCCATTATTCTCAGGTAAGGAAATATTCTGGCTAATTTATTTATTGATGAAAATTAATAACAACTGAATGTTGTATTTGAAATAAAAGTTAATACAGTGTAAAAAATCAAATGATACAAATTTTTTGTTCTATTTTATTTTTGGGTTCTTTATTCCACATCATCTTTGTGGAAACACAACAACATAGGGCACATTTGGTCATACATTGATTCATATTCTTCAACTCCTTATCAACTCCATGTCAAAACCAATGATTCAGAGAATTCTGCCAAATCTTTTGAAATGCTTTTATTATCGTGGCATTTGATTGGTTGTCTAGTCTGTAGGTATTCAATTATTCTGTCACAGCAGGCCCAGAACACAGTATCCTTAAAGAAATCTTTAGATGCCAGTGGAGTGACTAACTGAATAAATGAACAAAAATATCATCCAATTTTACTTAGATTGTAGTCAGTATTTAAGAACCAACTAGATGGTTTCTGCAGATACTCACAACTTCAATTTTTTCCAAAATTAACTAATGCCATCTCTTCTTGAAAGCAGGCCAAGGGTTTAAGCTTGTATTCTTGTAAAAGACAAATTTGATTTGATAAACAATAGGGATTAGTATGCAAGAGATTACAGTTGTTATTGGATTATTTTAAGCATTATTTATGTATTATTAGGTTACCAGCAGAAGCATTTAGATCAATGTTTGATACATTTCCTGAATCATCTGTTAGAGTTGTACAGGTAAAACAATTTATTTGGTATTATTTGTATATATTTATCAAATAAACATTCAGATCCTATTTCTTGAACTGCACATTACAATGTGTTTATATGTACTGACATTTTGAGAGAGAGAGAGAGAGAAATGGGGTTTAACATCCACCTGATACAAACTAGGTCATTTCGGGACTAACATATGGTTTAATTTTTTATTTCAATAATTCGCTTTCCCGTAGGATGGACAGGCGATCCTACTACTTTTCACGTACAACCGGGCAATCGAAACCCCGCCAGTTGACTCAATGACAGACCGTATGATACAGTGCCCGCGTGCTAACCATTCGGCCATCCAACCCCCCCACACTTGCATTTTGAAATGCTTATGTTCTGAGCAGGGATGAAATAGCTTTGTCCATTGTTAATTGGGTGGTTGAGTGGTGTGTAGATCATAAAGTCTGTCATTGAATCAGGTGTTGTGGTTTCAATCAAAGGTTTTTGCGTTGCAGGAAATAGGATTGGCTGCCTAACCTTGTGGGTTCTCTAAAGGTTCTCCAGTTTACTCTCACTGCAAAAGACCGCTCCCTTTGTAATGATGTAGAAGCTGATATAGTTTTAAAATATTTATTTTGTAGATAATTATGATTCGTCTACAAAGAGTTACATTCTTGGCTCTACATACCTACCTTGGACTCAGTAATGAACTCATCAGTTCTGTAAGTAGCCTCAATCAATATTAATTTGTATTCTTATTTATGTGTGTATTCTTATTTGTGTACTTTTTATTTGTTGTGTTATGTGTGACTTTTTGTATATATTTTTTATAGCAGTACAAAATGTAACTGTCATTTGTGTATTTAAGTGTAATATTTGTGTGTATTTTTCTGTTTTTCAGTCAAGTAATACAGACCCTCGTAAATCCATTCGACAGTTATCAACGCCCCAGAGTAGCCCTTTAAAATCTCGGAGATCTTCAACTTCTGCTGTGAGTAGTGCTGTAGATGTCGATCCTGCAGTGTTAGATGAATCAAATAGAAATAAAGTACCATTAAAAGTGCCAGACTGTAAGGAAATGATTTTTATGCTCTGATGTGTAATAGGGGGGTTGGATGGCTAAGTGGTTAGCACATGCGCGCTGTATCATTAAGTCTGTCATTGAGTCAACTGGCGTGGTTTCGAATCCCCAGTTGTACGTGACAAGGAGTAGGGTCGCCTGTCCAACCTCGTGGGTTTTCTCCGGGACCTCCAGTTTCCTCCCACTGCTAAAGCGAATTATGGAAATAAAATTGAGCCATATGTTAGTCCCGAAATGACCTAGTTTGTGTCGAGTGGATGTTAAACCCCATTTCTCTCTCTCTCTCTGATGTGTAATACTATAAATTAGAAAACATTTCATTGTCAGGTCAGATATTGCTATGCATGAAATTATTAGGATTGAAGGAGTGCTGAAAATAAAACAATAGTTAGGTGATTGAGAGATCATGATATAAATGACAAGCAGAGTAAAATGATGAATATTAAACTGCTAAAAATTATTAGAACTTTTAACAAGAAAATAAGTGTAATTAATTTCATGTATCATCAGATAATCCTAATTATCAAAACTCCCAACACTGTCTTAAATCAAAGCAATGTACAAGAGTGTAGAAATGATTATAAATATTGGTGGGACACAGTGTTTTATGAAATAAATAATTGTTGTAAACCTATTTATGATAAGATTATGTTCATAACACAGTGAATACAGAGATTTTTGAATTTCAGTATGCATTTATGTCAACATCTTTTAATATTAAAGTGCATTAATGTCTGGTTTTATTCACTTTTGTTAATAAAATGGGCAATTTCTTCTAGAGTCCTTGATCCTCCCAATCTTGCACATATCTAAGTCAGGGGGTTGGATGGCTGAATGGTTAGCGTGCGCGTGCTGTATCATAAAGTCTGTCTTTGAGTCGACTGGTGTGGTTTCGAATCCTCGGTTGTACGTGACAAGGAGTTGGGTCACCTGTCCAACCTCGTGGGTTTTCTCCGGGTCCTCCGGTTTCCTCCCACTGCTAAAGACCCCTACGCGCAAGCGAATTATTGAAATAAAAATTGAACCATATGTTAGTCCCGAAATGACCTAGTTTGTGTCGAGTGGACGTTAAACCCCATTTCTCTCTCTCTCATATCTAAATCACAAATTCCATGCTGTCTGGGATAGTTTGAGCTGTAACTTTCAGACAAGCTAATGGGAATATTTCTTCATATTCTAGCACTTAACTGTTAATTATTTGTAGTTAAATTAAAGATGGCCGACGATCAAGTTGACAGACAACCATCTGATTTTGATACAGCGTGTATGAGAGCTAGAGTTCAACAAGGAGAGAATAAAAGTGTTATTTTAACAGGCAGTCCAACATCAATTCATAGACAAGTATGCTATTTCTTATTTTATGAACGATTCATTATGTAAGAGCTAAATCTGCCGGTCTTTATTGTCCCCCACCTTTCAAAGAAATTGGGGGACTATTAAAATGTGTTCATCTTTCTGTGTGCCTGTCTGTCCATCACTCTTTTTGGTATACAATAACTCTCCTTCAAATTGAGCTAGAATGTTCAAACTTTGTGTAGGTTTTTATTAGGTGAATGATGGAGTTCAAAAATGAACATTTTCTGCTTAGGGTAAGCAGATATGAGCATTTTGATTGGTTGATGCTTTGGGACACTGTAACTTTAGTTCTAATTAAGTGAGAGTGGTGAAACTTGGTGTATAGTTTCATTACATCAATACCTTGACTAAGATTGATAATGAGCATTTTCTTCTCAGGGTAAGCAGAGCGATAAGCAATTTGATTGGTCAGGACTTCAGAGCTTGATAACTTTGATTCTGATAGAGTGAGAGTGGCGAAACTCCATGTATAGTTTCATTACATCTGTACTTTGACAAAGTTTGATGACGAGCATTTTCTGCTTAGGCTAAGTAAATACTTCAATCTGATTGGTCGAGACTTTGGAACACAATAACTGTCATTCTAATTAAGGTACTTGGTGTAGGTGTTTGTTAGGTGTTTGACAGTGTTCAATCATGTGCATTTTCCACGAAGGATAAGCAGAGTTATGGCCCTTGTTTCACTTTTTTGAACACACAAACAATTAATTAATTGCGGTCTAATTTGTTGATTATGTTCTAAACGTATGTTAAAGGATGGATCTCTCAATCCAATTAACACTGGATGTTTTTTTGTTGTTTTTTTTTTGTGAACATGAGATTCCTTAATGCGTCCCTGAAAGCAGATTATAAATTAGTTATCCATGTTTTAACCTATTTATGTACGTGAGATTTATTTGTTTGATAGATTTCTGAGGATTCTTCAGTATTTATAAGACAGAAAAGTAAAAAAGATTCCACATCAGGTGGGGAAAACCAGTCGCCTGTCAGTGAACATATTATCCTGGAAAAGGCACAAAAAGATTTGACTGAACTGCTTGGTTTAAAGGTATTAAATTCTATATATAGTTAAGTTAAAGGAGCAGTGTTAAGTTGGAATAATTTGTCACCATTAATCAGCCTTTAATCATAATGGTTGTTAAATATACGAGGGACGTCATTTTATCAGACACATATTTGTGTCTTCCCTGTGTTTTTATACATATATATTTTGAAATGTCCAATGCAACTTTCCAGGCCTGCTTTGTTGTTGCAGACATCCTGAGCGTTGTTTTGGTATATTTATTGTATAAATCTTTAGGTTTTATGATAATTGTTAATTTCTGAGTTCTGTTTTATTGATTAGAATAAATCTTTAATGGATGGAAGAATTCATCTTGAACGTATACGTGCTGGTCAAAATCTAGAAACACAAGGCTCACAGGATTCAAATGTGGTATTTGTTGTGAATGGGAGATTAATAATGTTACAAGCTATAGTTGGAGAAGATAAGAAAGAGGTTGGACAATTATTTTTAAAAATTTATGTTGATAATAGCATAATTACCCTATGTTGATACAGTTGATTGAGCGTTCAATTTCCACAATGTATTTTGTGTATAAAATTCCCTATGTTAAACAATAAACATGTGAAATGAAATTAATATCAAAATCAATGGGGAATAATTTAGTGGTTTGTTCCCTACCAGTTAAAAACAATTGTCAGTTGGAGTTATTTCCTCTTTTCAACCAGGAGAATTAGAGGTATTGACTGAACAAGAAAAATTAATCCAATGACTGGAACACATTTGTCATGTTTGTATAGACCATGATTTTACACACAACACCTAGTTGTCAGGATTATTGTTCCATTAATATTACTCCATTCCAATTCTGCCAATTCACAATCGAACAGCCCATAATGTTTCTAGAAGCAAGTGTAATTACTTATATTATTATGGATAATATATTTTTGATTTATTTTTCTCTACAGGCATCGCTATTTACTGCTGGGAAGGGTGAACTAGTAGGAACGTTAGCTGTCTTGACAGGAGAACCATCATTCTTTACTATACGAGCTGATACAGACGTACTTGTTGCCATCATCACAAAGGCAGATTTCTATTTGTGTGTATTTAACATTTATATCTAACTCCAATAAAAACATATATTTACAAAAAGTGGTATTTAATACTCTAATAGACATATGCATCCCCTGCTTTGTTCACCACACCCACCATTTACATAAACTGTTTCATGTATAAACATACATATATCAAATAGGGTATGATATGATGCTCTTGAACTAAGAATAGACATAGTCTCATTTTGCATGACACCCATCATTTGCTTGTGTTTTCTTAGTTACATAACATAGATAAGATGCAGTATCAGTCATCCTATTTGAGTAAACATAGCCTTCCTCATACCAACACATGTCACTTGTAGTTAAATAAAGCAATAGTTTGTACTTGAATTTTAGTCTGGATAAAAATGCTTAATGGTTTACTTATCCAGTCTCATGTCAAAGCACATTACTCTTAGTTAAAAGATTTATAGTTTGTACTTGACTTTCACAAGTCTCTTACATTACTAAGTATCAAATGTTATGATACATGTATTGTTCTTATAATTACAGGATTATGAAAGAAGAACCATTTATAGTATTAAATGCAGCTCACACAACAGTTAAAAGAATGACACCATTTGTCAGACAGATTGATTTTGCTCTAGATTGGCAGAGAATAGAGGCTGGGAAGGCCTTATTTAGGTAAAAAATAAATTAATCTTTTTCTAGATTAAAATATTCAAATTCTTGGCATTCAAATTGAATGAAATTTTGAATGTCATCTGTGCACAAAAGTTGATAGCAATTAAAGCGTAAATTTCATATTTTCTAAGAAAGTCAAAACATAATTATTTCTATGTCTTTTGCACAATAGGTTGTCAACTCACCACTATACAATCATAGGTATCATTATCACACTTATAAAATCATTCACACCGGAAATAATAACACAATTACCTCCCTTGTTTTTCTATTCCCCCTATCTTCAAACGTTTGAATTTGAAGTTTAAAATGATATTTTTGCCAATTTCTCAACTGGCAATAGTGAATTATAGGATTAATAGGATTATTCTTTAACAAGGTAGGACTGTTTATAAATACCATCTATTTTAAGGCTTTATTTTAATACATTTTAAAAATATAACTTAAAAATATGAAATTCTCGCTTTAAATGAAATTGACATATGTAGGCCATATGATGAATGAGCAATTCAGAGTGGACATTTTCATAGCAAGAAAATGGGTTCCAGAAAATTCATTAGATTAAGAATCAGTGTAGATTTTGAATGCATTCATCATATTTATTATATGATATTGACTGTGTATTTATATTTTAGACAAGGAGATACTGCTGATTGTGTATATATTATATTAACTGGTAGATTACGAACTGTTATTACACTAGTTGGAGGTAAAAAAGAACTAGTTGGAGAATATGGTAGAGGTGAACTAGTTGGTATTGTAGAAGTTTTAACACAAACAGAAAGAGCTACTACAGCATTTGCTGTCAGGTAGGAAGGTACCACATTATGTAATGTGCATGGTCATTCCATGGACAAAGGTAACGCAGCAACAAAGTTATTTCATTACAAATTACATGAGTGATAATTTAGTAATAAAGTTAGCTTATGGATAATGATATCCCAGTTACAAACTTACCCAAGTAACAAAATTAACTGATATATATGTATTAAAAGGAATTAGAGCTTTGGAGGTTTTTGCCAGTGGATACAAAATGATTTTTGATTTGAATTGATTTGACTACAGTTAATTGGGAGTGTTCAACTTAGAATGTATGCAAATTTTGATTATTTGACCATATATAGTACATAGTAAAGCCATGTTTAGAAAAAAATATAAAGTTATGTATATTTATTTCACGTTATTTACAGAGATACAGAAATTGCCAAACTACCATCTGAGTTATTAAATGTTATCAAACGTAAATATCCACAGATTGTTACACGCCTTATTCATTTACTAGGGGAGAGAATTCTAGGAAATTTACAAAGTCGGAATACAGTTACTCTCGGTGATTCCATGCCTTTTACCCGTAAGTAAACAAATTCTTACAATTTTCATGAAGATAAGCTAATGAAGTTTTATGATATGACATCCATGTTAAAATATCAACTGTGAAATTTTAGTATAGAATAGAAATATATCAGATATTTTCATCTTAAAATATTAATAATTGTAATCAATCATAAAGACATTCAAAAACAAAAAAGTTCAAGTGAGAGTGTTGCATTTGACATAAAAAATTTAATCTTTAGCTACAACGTTGATTTGCGTCATATAGTAGGCCTTTATTAATGATAATGTGAGAACTGCATGTAGAGAAAATATCTTTGAGAAATATTCACCATTATTATATACCTAGTAGATCTAATTTACTTACTTGATTTCCTCACAGCAAATCCTGCCACTCGTCCAACAGTAACTAATTTAGCTACAGTTGCTGTACTACCTGTCTCAGATGATGTCCCATTAACTAATTTTACTCTAGAATTACAACATGCACTTAATGGCATAGGTAGGTATAGCTGATTGTATTACCAGCACTCGCAGGCATTGTTTTCTATTTTTCTCTATAATCGCAACATGTACTCAATGGCATAGGTAGGTTTAATTAATTTTACACACCTTGGGATATTATTTCCTTTGATCTCCATGCATGTTATGAAACGTATTAACCTGTTGTGATGTCATCAGAGGGTGATATCTGATATCAATCTCTGATGACGTCACAACAGGACACAAATTCTTTTATTCACTTTTTTTGTACAATGTTATCAAACGATTCGGACAATGAACTTTGCCAGGCCCATGTTACTTAGTTTCTTCATCTGACCATCAAGAACTTGTCTTAAAACTCTCAAATTCTGGATTGTGTAGTATATTCACTCCTTGTTATGAATGTCATAATTTTACTCTATAATTACACTGGGCATTCATATATATTATGACATAAACTAATATTATTCTACAATTACACTGTGCATTCATCACTATATATTTTATAACATAAACTAACCTAATTTTATTCTAGTTACACTGTATTTGTATAGGCTATATACATGTAATTTAATTAAAGATGAATAAAGCCAAGTAAGAACCACATGACCAGGTCCTATCAATAGATTATATTTACTTGTAGGTTTAACAACAAGGTTATCAAGTGACATAGTTAAAACTAGGCTAGGTAGTCAAGCTTTAGACAGGTATGTTAATTCCTCTGATTTTCTTATCTTTAAATTAATATGAAATGGAATCGAATCGGCATTTTGAGACTGACATATATTTTTTGATCTGAGGTTGCACATGCAATGCAAGTGAGGTGAATCTTGCCTAATCAGCATTTGATCACTACCAATTATTTGACATCAGTTCTCTATCCCAACTGATCTACAAGACATACTTTTCTTGACATAACAACAAGCGGAAACAGGCTTGAAATATTCTTAGGATTCTTCTTGGCCCACACTAGGGTTGGAACCCCTGACATTCTGATTACAAGTCCATTGTCTATAATTGACAATAGTTTCTTACACATACAAATGTATTATGGTACATGTATGTAAACATATAGTTCAAACTGTAACTTTTCTATTTCGACATAAAGAATGATGTTAGTGCCAAGATAACCTGTAGTATATTTTTATTGTTGTTTATTTCAGTGTAAATGAGTTTCGATTGTTTAGTTGGTTAAGTCAGCAAGAAGATTTACATCGTATGGTATTATATCAGTGTGATGTAGGACATAGTAAATGGAATAAATATTGTATGAGACAAGCTGATTGTATCGTTATTGTTGGTCTCGGTCATAAGGAACCAACTGTTGGCATTGTAAGTAAGATCAACAAATATTTTTGTTTTGGGAGAAGAATTCCAAATTTTTGTAATCCTTGTTCAGGCCTATTTAAATCTTGTTTTGAATGTAGAATTTGTGATTTTTGTAGTCCTTTTGTCTGTTCAGGCCTTAATTATTTTGATTCTAAAACAGTATAACTTGAAAAGGTAGTTTAAGAGTATTTGCAAATTCCACTGTTCTTTCAAAACTTTTCTTTTGCAATGCACGCTCATCAGTAATATAAAAATAAAATGATTGTGTTTTAATATATAAATATATTGTTTGACATAGCATTAAACCTTATTCATTAAAATTCTGTGCTTATAATTGAGCTGTATTTTATATGGATTCTATTAAACTTGTATAGGTTGAAAAACAGTTAGAAAATGTTGCTGTACGAGCACAGAAGGAGTTGGTGTTATTACATAAAGAAGATGCCGAGACACCTAGACGTACTGTAGAATGGCTTAATTCACGTGGGTGGTGTTCATCACATCATCACATTCGATGTCCTAATCGTGTCTTTAGTAGAAAATCTCCAGAAAAAACTGTAAGTTGATATATTAGATTGAAAGCATTTCACAGTTGATAAGTTGATATTAAGTCTTTTTTTGCCAGAAAGTCAACCGACCTTCCTCTCATTTTAAGTAATAAGTTGATTAACCATTTATTGCACAGCCTGAGGTCAGAGTGCCAGGCATGTTTGATGCTATCTCCCAGTTTCCAGTATATTAACTTTGGTGGGTCTGTAGTAAAAAAAAAAACTTAGACAGTTTATGTTATAGAAATGTTAGTTATAAATGAATTAAAATTTATACACACTCAAGTCTGGAAATAAGCCAAAAATCACAGACACTGTCATTTTTTTTCTATTTTCTGTATTTTTGTTGATATTTTCTGTTTTTATTGAGACTTTTAAAAACATGTGGACTAGATTTAAAACTTAATTGTCCATTATCTCAATTGTTTATCTAATAATTATGGCACTTTATATATGTAATTTATTTATAAAAATATTTCATGAATACTCGGTCATGAGATTCGAATTATCGCATTTTTTTGTAATATTATGAAGATGGCTGTGTGTAATAAAAATATTTATTTCAAATTATAAGGGGATACAAGTAACTACTGGTAAATATTACTTCAGTCTTTTTTATTATGTGTTAATTAAATTATGACTTTTTGATTTTATTCATTTTGTGTTTTTTTTCAGATTCAGATGTATGAGAAGTTATTTGAGAAAGAACCTGACCGATTATCTGATTTCTCCAGATTGGCCAGATTTCTAACAGGAACATCTATTGGTCTGGTTTTAGGAGGGGGAGGGGCCAGGTAAATCAGTCTGTTATAAGGATTTATTTCTTGCATATTTAAGGTCTAATTATGTAACCATTTATTCAGACTAGTTGTAAAAATGTATTTGTTGCCCAAAACAATATATATTATAGTTTTTCTTAGGGAAGTCTTTTCTGTTACTGGTTTAAGTCGAAAATTATTGCTGTTATAATTTTTCTATTGTGTCTTGTATGAATTTTTTGCAGATTTAATTTATAGATTTGGAGATAAAATTATTTCTCTTATGGCATATCACAATTTACAATGACAATTTTTCATCCATCCACCTATGACTTAGGCAGTGCATATAACAAAGCTGCTAGTGAGTGTTTAATTGCCTGACAATACTATGTTTTTATATATTGTAGAGGGTTAGCACATGTAGGTATGATTAAAGCTATGAATGAAGCAGGAATACCGATTGATATGGTTGGAGGGACTAGTATGGGATCTTTTATAGGGGCTCTTTGGTGTGAGGAGAGGAATTTAACCAGATTCTTTCAAAGAGCACGAGAATGGTCATTTGTAAGTCAGTTTATATAAACTTAGTTATGTTAGCCTGATAAAACCATATTTACTAAATTCTTTAGTCCTTAAAAGAAAGATATTAGGGTAGAGATCTTTAGTAGTGGGAGGAAACTGGAGAAGATGCACAAGGTTTGACAGGAGACCCTACTCCTTGTCATGTACAAGCTTGGTGTGGAAACCTTATCTCTTGACTCGGTGACAGACTTATGATCTAAATCACACTCATTAGACTACTAGGTCCTTATTTTGCAAAATTTTGAAAAGTTAAGGGGGCTACCCTCAATTTATGTTTGAATTGATGAGAAGAAAATGAAAAAAAAAATAAATAAAAAAATTTGTAGAGGGTGTGACTTTTTGGCTTTTCTTCAATTTTTATTATTTCTATGGAAAAAAGTTCTACATGAAAAGAAATGTTGTTTCCTGGTTAATTAGAATTCCTAGACCTTTACTTCTAGCCCTTCGCATTTTGTTTGAACTTTGATAGACCGTAGCGCCATATTTTTTTCTCATCAATTCCAACATGAATTGAGGGTAGCCCCCTAACGTTTCAAAATTTTGCAAAATAAGGACCACCCTACTACTCTGCTACCCAGTTTCCCAGAATTTCTTAGAACTGATAGAAATATTTTAACACTATATCTCCAATTTTCTCAAATGTTTGAAAACTTGACATTTATTCCCCTAACATCATTTGATTCTATACATTTAATTTTAAAATTTTACTTGACCTTTTGAATTGTTTTATAAAGGATATGACATCACTATGGAAGAAAGTGTTTGATCTGACCTACCCAGTTACTTCCATGTTCACAGGTAATTATATTGTAAAACAAGAAATAAAAGAAAAATAGAAATGATGTGTACTTTCCCTCCTCAAAATAATGTCATTATTGGTATCATAATATTAGACAAAATATCCTATTAAATATAGAATACTGTTTCTTTGTCCAGCAAATTAATTACAATAGTTATTCATTGAGAGGGATATGGGGATAAAAAGACTTAAACCCGTCATCTATGCATTTTTATATGCCCACATTTTCATGTGGACGTATATTGTCGTCGCCCCTGTCCGTTCGTAGGTCAGTCCATCCACAATTTGTTTGTGGACACTGTACAGGTCATAATTTTTATCCGATTTTGACGAAACTTGAAATATGGGTCTATCTCCCAAAGATCTTGGTTCCTTTCGATATTGGCATGTATCGGACCATAACTTCATGGATTATGGCCCCTGGTTGCACGTAAAATCACGTGGACACTCTAGAGGTCACAATTTTGATCCGATTTTGATGAGACTTGAAAGGCATGTTTATAACCCAAAGATCATGGTTTCTTTTGATATTCGCACATATCGTATAGTAACTTCCTGATATATGGCCCTTGATAATGATTGTACGAAAAATCGCGTTTTGAGCTTATGGTCCCTATAGAGGTCACAATTCCAATTTAAGAAAAAAACGTGTGAATATATTTATACACTAATGATGGTTGAGTTTGAATTTCGTGAAAATCAGACTAAAACTGATGGACATAATGGCCGCCCCTTGCATGCAAATAGTGTAAAAGTATGGTTTATCAAGGTTGTGGACCCTCTAGAGGCCACAGTTTTTATCCGATTTGGATGACACTTTAAATATATGTTTTTATCATAATGATCTTGGTTCCTTTTGATAATCACACATATCCGAACATAACTTCCTGGATTATGGCCCCTAGAGGTCACAATTTTTTTTCCGATTTTAAAAAGTGTTTAGATATATCACCATTCCACTATAATAAAGGTTGAATTCGAATTTCGGGAAAATCGAAATGAAACTGCCCAACAAAATGACTGCTCTTTGTACGCAAATAGTGTATTAGTATGTAATACAAAGGTTATGGACCCTCGGGAAGTCACAATTTTTATCCGATTTTGATGAAACTTAAAACATATCTCAGTCCCTTTTGATATATGCGCATTTCAGACTATAACTCTGGATTATGGCCCCTGATTGTACAAAAAATCGTTTTTTGTTTTTAGTTTGTTCTCTATCCATCTCTTGCAAAATGTGGGCGTATCCTGCCTGGCAGCCACTGGTTTACCCAATTTGGTAATTTTCAAATTTTTTAATTGCCATTCATATAATTTGGTACCTTTCTTTATCATGAGAAAGTTTTTATTTTTATAAATAAGAATTGATCAAACCAACCTTTTGTATATGACATAATCATGCACTATTATATATATATCAAAAGTGAAGTTTTTAACCATATTGAATGCTATTTTGTCTACAGGTGGAGCATTTAATCGTAGTATAGAATCAGTATTTAAAGATAGACAAGTAGAAGATTTATGGATACCATATTTTTGTGTGACAACAGATATATCTAATTCTACCATGAGAATTCACACTAGTGGTAAATAGAGTTTAATATGGTGATTGTATATTAGGCTTGAATATGGATTCTATGATGAAATGCAAATTTTTGTGAAACTCGCGTCTATTTTCTACATAGGATATATAACAGATTGCAAACACATTTGGTTCTCTAGCTTGAAACTTTAGATCTTGCTTTGGCTATCCAAGGAGAAGAGTCACCCTAACTCACTATGCATTTTCCACAGTAACATTGTATAGAATAAGAGGTAGACTATTCTATGCCCGTAGAACTGTGGCATTAAGGCTGTGTTAATGCTGTCAGTGGTCACTAGAGTAATACCATAGATTTTCTTCATGTTCTTCAGTGTCCTGCTACTAAAGGAACAATGGATAGCAATCACTATATTATAAACACATGACATTTAAACATGATTTTACCAGTTGTTATCAAGATACAAAATTACGGTCGACTTTGACAGCTGTGTTTCTACCTGCTACTACTTACTCTTTATCCTGCCAACAGGTGGAACTCAGTTTTTTGCGCCATCTGAAAATGACTAGGTAAATTTCCTTGTCAACCCTGGAGACACAAACCCTGACAAATGAGAACAAGGCTTGAAAGATCTTGAATGTTGTTCTCTGTTGATGCTGAAATTCCATCTCATGACATTATAGTAGAGCGGCCAATGGTTCATAATGAATTGATAATTGATTATTAAAATTTCAGGTAGTTTATGGAGATATGTAAGATCAAGTATGTCATTATCTGGATATTTTCCACCACTCTGTGATCCTATGGATGGACATCTATTGTTAGATGGTGGCTATGTTAATAATTTACCAGGTAATTTTATGATAGAGGACATTGTGAACCGTGTTGGCTAAATGAGTCGGAATGTGCAAAGTCTAATAATGAGCTACTGATGAAACAAGTGAAAATATTGAATTTGATCGAAATTGACATTTTCACAAAAATGAGTGAATAAATATACTATCTATCGACCCAAAAGGTCAAACTAGCAATAAAACATTTTAAAACACATTTATTTGGATGTTTTGTCAGAGTATCACATTCTAAAATCTTTCTTTTTTTTTAAATTCTCGTCGAAATTAGATATTTTTCAACACATGGAACGGGACAACCGGTCAACCTCCTTACATAATACTTGTCATCGTTTTAAAATGGTGAATCTTTAGTGAAAGTGGCAATAAAAATTTGATTTTGGTGATAATATTTCGGGGTACTTCCAGTAGGGATTTCTAAGGCCATTGCTTCAGGAATATGGTGATATAGGACTGTATCTTTCTGGATTTTGGCCGCTAATTGTATGAAAAATTGGGTTTTTAGCATATGAACCTCTAGGGCTAACAATTTTTATTTGATTTTAAAAAACATTTATATATATATATCACCGTTACACACAAATTACAGTTGAGTTCAGATTTGGTCAAAATCGGACCAAAACTTCCCTTTACACAAATAGTGTTAAAGCATATAATACCAAGGTTTTATACAGTTTTGATCAAACTTAAAATGTATTTTTATATCTCAAAGATCTTGGCTCCTTTTGATATTGATGCATGTCGGACCGTTACATCCACAATTGTACTGAATTCGCTTTTTGTTTTTTAGTTTGTTCTCTGTCCATCTCTTGGAAAATGTGAACGTATCTTGCATGGCAACTGTTTGTTTTTGGAGTATTCACACCTCTAACAATATTTGTTTACATATTTTTAGTGTACATGTGATGTATTTATATATTTGTAGCTGATGTAATGAGAACCATGGGAGCTCAGACTATATTTGCTGTAGATGTTGGTAGCCATGATGAAGCACCGTTAACTAATTATGGAGATGAGTTATCAGGGTGGTGGTTGTTGTGGAAAAGATGGAATCCTTGGTCTCAACCTGTTAAGGTATGTTATAAGTTCAGTATGATCTGTGGGTCTTTGTTCAGTAATTGATGGAGGATCATCATCAGAGGTTTAATATTATTTAAAGATATATTATGGGAGCTTAGGTAACGAGTTGGCAGTTCTCACTATAATAGTTAAAAACTAGATAATGTAAAGGCAATTTGGTGAAAATTTCATTCAGATTGATCCACTATGAACCGAGAACTAAGCGACTGAAATTCCCATTACTAAAGTCAGTACGATAAACAGCATAGTCTCGATTATCGATATAATCGTTTAATCGAGAAGGAAAGTTATACAGTAAATCGGCTTACAATCCACTAAAGATCGCAGGCTAGCGCTGCCATCTAGAGTTGATTATGGCCTGGATAGGTTAATTAATGTCTAATTAATAATTTAGATAACATTTCAGGCCTAATGTATGTTTAATACTTCATATGGACAATCTTCAAACAATCAGCAGATATGATGAAGATACAGTATAGACTACCATATGTTTTATTTTAATAGGTACCAGATATGACAGAGATACAATCTAGATTAGCTTATGTATCATGTGTTAGACAGTTAGAAGTGGTTAAAAACAGTGATTATTGTGAATATATTCGACCACCTATAGATAAATATGGAACACTACAATTTGGTAGTTTTGATGATATAGCGGTAAGTCTTTGTTTATTTTGATCTAAAATTGTGAATAATGTGAAGTACATATAAAACGTGTAGACTTTGTTTGTTCTCTAATAAATTGATATTGTCCATAGGGACAGTCCATTGAGATAGATTCACTACGGAATTTGGTTACTGTAGAACAAAAAATCATTGCATCATGAAATTGATGTTATCATTAATGCAACCCATGAAACCTACTATTTTTTAAGACGAGAGCTGTGTGTGTATTGAAATTTCTTTAGATGAAATTAGCGCATCCCATCATACCCTACTTGTCTTTGTAGATGGTAGCCGAGTAGAAATCGGTAATTAATGCAACTGGTGCAAGGTCACATTTAACACATTTATTTCTTGATCACATTTATTTAATATCTTATATATCTATGTTGTGATTTATCAAATGTAACGATGGTAAAACAATTATGTTTATACAGGAAGTAGGATATAACCATGGTAGAACACTGTTTTCTGGCTGGATTAAAGGTGGTATTTTAGAAAAATTATTTCAGGAAAAAGAAAAATCAAAAGAAAAACAAACTCGTCATAAACCTAAAACAAAACATGCTGTAAGTATAGATTGCTTTGTTTTCTGTCTGAAAAAACAGCTCTAATATAGGTTTTTTAAGGTCACCATTATGTACTCTTAATGGAAATATTATACCTCAGCTTACAGCATGAGCATATGTTGTCACACCTGTCCGTCTGTTTGTCCATCTCTCCCTGTTCAGAATTTTTGTTGACAAGCAAACCGTAAGAAGTTTTTGATCAAATTGGTTTCACAGACGTTTATTCCATTCACAATTATTGTATTATGAAGTTTTAGACCAAATTGAATGAAATTTAATATGATTTTTTGTTACATCATAAAGTGTTTGTTATTTTTTAATTAAACAGTTATTTTAAATAAACAAAAACATAACATAAATCTGTGCACTATATGTAGGCTGATAATCTATCTGTTCATAATGTTATTATTTCATTATTTTGTTATTTCTTAGACTCATGTACCAGTGATGGCATATTTTACTGATTTAGCAGAACTTGTATCTAAAATAGATAAACCTAAATCACCTAGTCCTAAATTTGGTCTTGATTATAGTGATAGTGATGGTATGTACACACACACATCTGTTTATTTACTAGCGCTTTCTCAGGCCTGGCTGGCATACTCATATAGATAACAACAAATTCTCTTGTATTTTTGTATTTACCCTCGCTAATTTCGTGCAGTTTATTTGAGATTAGATATTATTTTTGCTCCGTTTATTTGGTTGTTCACTCCAATGACATCAAAAGACATGTTTAAGAAATCTACATTGAGGGCCTGGGATAATAGCGTAAAATAATACCCCTGACCAATCAAAGCCTTTCAAAAATTTCTAGAAATTATCTGTATGCATTACAGCATGGATTACTTGAATTTCAGATTTGCATATCAATATCAGTTTAATTGGTTGGTTTATAATAAAATGTACCCTATAAAGAAATGTATTTAGACCAAAGATGAAGTCGAGTCAGCAATGGAATGAAATGTTGATGATAATTTTGATTAGACTGTAATTGTATGTTCATCTTTACAGAAGATGAAGAGATTATTGGAGGTGATGAAAATTATCTAGGATTAGATGAATATGAGGATGTGTTAGAAGAAGATGATGATGAATATGAAGATGAAGATGAATATGAGGATGAGGAGGAGTTAGAAGAGAATACAGCTATTGAGTCAAATCCAATATATTCTCAAGGTTCAAGCTCAAATTCAGAACATTCTGAATCTAACCATAAAAAGGACAGTATGAATAAGGTAAGAATAAATGAAGGAATAGACAAGAATTTGCATAAATAAAAAGAGTGCTCGTGACTTTTATACCTTTCTATCTGAAAATATGATAAATAAAATGATAGACATAGTATATTTATTTAATCTGCAATGGCAGCCATTCAAATTAGAGACAGCCGTTGTCTATGAGGCAGAAATCCTACATTTTGTACTAATCAGGGTAATGAAGATAATATCATTGTTAATTTAAAGGAGCTAAACCGCTAATATTTGGTACCTAGAAATTGACACAAATGGGTCTCAATGCATATAATGATGTAATATGAATGAATATAAACTGATTTATATTCAATCGTTTCTGTTTTTATTGTAATTTCTAATCAGTTATGTTCGGCGAAATACAACAGAAGTCTAAATTGAATGGCAATTTTTAGCGTCTGGTTATTTCAGTCTACACCTATGGTAATTATTGCGCATGCTCTCCAGATAAGAATATAGTATCACCATTTGACATGACTTGTGGAATATGTCTAGCCCCATTCATTGAGTCCCTTGTTACAAATGGTACTGAAACGCATTATTTTACACGATTCGTGTACCAGTGTTTATTTTGTCTTGAATATTGGATATCAGAAGCCTGTCTTTTCCCTGTAAGATCACAAGACCAATGTTGATTTGAATTTGTGTATTCAATGTTGAAGATTTTTGATGATATTGAGTTAGAGACTTAGCTACTTTAAACATTTAATGTTCGTACTTTAGTCATATAAAACAGGTCTGGTCAACTGGTCAATTGTCCCCCTACTATTGAAGTTTTTAACTTGTTTTATTACAGGATAAAACAGATGCTAGACAAAGAAATAATATTAAGGACAGAACCGATTAAGAGTACATGTTTATGAATTGTAGCCTATACACAATACTTATATAATTTTTGGATCACCATTAAAAAGAACTTACTTAGAGCTTGAAGTCTATTAAACATAACAAAAATAAACAGGGCACAAATTCTCCATTCCAAAGTAGTAATTGTGAGGAGTTGTGATAACTTTTAATCAATTTTAGTCATTTTGACCTACATCATTTTAAATATTTAAAAAAATGAAAAACATATAGGAATCAAATCATATCCTTGACCCTACACTTATTATACTTACTGTTTATTAAGATTCTCTCAAGCGTTAGTCAAAATATTGCTGAGTATCATTGAAATCTAAATATAATGTATACTGTGTTCCATAGAATTGTGTCCTGTGTATTTACAGTTCATTTACTCAATGCAATGCCAATGAAACAATGTACCATGTAGCACAATTTTTGATAGCAAAAACATCAAATTTTACTTCTGATAACATTTATTTGAATGATTTAAAGGGGATGAGCATTTTTGTGGGTTTTTAGCTAGTCTGTATTTATTTTATTTATTTTTTCAGCCTGACATGGATTGACTATAAAGTTACATTAAGGATGTATAAATCACATTGCATGCAAAAAAAGTAGGGGATATTGAAATGCAAATACCTATGCAGGTTGCGATATGATAAATAGCCATGGACATTTGACATGCTTTGAGAGTCTGTTCACAAATGAAGAACTTATCGCCCCAACAGAACCACTGAGCTGCACATGTGACACGCAATAGCACCATACACGTGGGAGGGGTTCATTGTCAAATTTGACACTTCAAGGAAGGGTTGATGAAAACTGCTGCATGCTGGTTTATTTATCCATGTTTGCTTTCCTATCAGTTCTTGCATAAGATTTACTGTTTAGTGTATCTTTGCTTTAGTGTGTTACGTTTAATTTGATCGGGAGACGTGTTCGGCGACGTCAACGTCAACCGACAACACTGCAAGAGGAGTGGGTCAGATTGCCCCAAATCGTGATTGGGCGGTTGATTAGGAGCATGCCACAACGAATTGCTGAATGTCTGAGGATTGGTGGAGCAATTACTCATTATTAAGACAAAAATCAAAAACGTTCATTTTCCCTTTTGACAGTGTATATCTTTGCAAGTGAAATGTGGCCGTCAGATAAGCCGCCCATATGAACTGTTTATGTTCATGTGTAGGCAATTGGCCTGTTATTAACATACACTGGTTACCTCTAATAAAAACAGCAGTGCATTTCCACAGTTTTGTATTGTTTCTGAATATCCCCTACTTTTTTTGAAGAGTATATATGTTTATTAAAAATTTGTGAGGAGTCATACATGTTACATTGGGCTCAAATGCAATTCATGTGAATAGATTGTCCTATAGATATAAAACCTCAAGATCAACCCACTAGTGTGAGTTAGCCTTTACTTTAAAAAAGGTCATTGGTTGGATTTTCAATGAGTCTTAAGTTATTTTGAAAAGGCTATATACATTGAATTAATTAAATTTCCTTTCCTACTCTGGAGTGAGAATCCACTGTCAGAAAATGATGAGTTACTGTAAGATTAAAATGAAGAATACAAACCTGATATAAATGTGGATAAATTGTACATGTATTCGGAGTACATGTGTATTGCTTTTTATGATGTAAACTTTGATACTTCTCCATATAAATCAGACCAAAAAGATGTAAATACCCCAGTTTTGACATTCGGTCAGATATTCATTTTTTAATGCTATAGCATATAAGGTTTTTTTGTTGTTGGTCTTTGTTTTCTTTAGAATTATTGAATTACCCAATCATCTTCAAAACAGTAAAGTATTTGAAATTTTAATGTGCTTGGACCTTATTAAATTAATTTTTGTGAATTATTGTTATTTAAGACATCACCTCTTTGATTTGAGTGAATTGTTATTATTTAAGACATCACCTCTTTGATTTAAGTGAATTGTTATTACTTAAGACGTCACCTCTTTGATTTGAGTGAATTATTATTTAAGACATCACCTCTTTGATTTGAGTGAATTGTTATTATTTTTTTAAAAAGATATCACTTTTGATAAACCTACATTGAAATGTGGTCTATATTGTTGTCACCCTCATCTGTCCGGAGTCCAAAATTGCTTTTCAATGCTCTAGAGGTTAAAATTATCATCCAATCGTCTTGTCTTTAAATTTATACACAGTGTTCAAGGTCTTGAGACGAAAAATCCTATTGATTTGCGATAATTATTGCCAGAATCTTGGCCCATGATCATTTGTTGACCCTCTAAGAGACCAAAATTGAAAGCAAAAAAATCTTAATGATAATTACATAATGGGTTGTTACTCTTAATTAGTTTTAGTGCCTTGTAAATGCTTTCATTACCATCAAAATAAATAATATGCGACAACTCTTGTGGATTGCTCAGATGACTTACCTGTTGTAGGCATATGTTTCATTGCCTAGCCACCTATTTTTTGATTTGGACCGAATTCATGTTTTTTCTTTTCTTTTTTTTTTTATGTATTGTACATATTTTGTTAATGAGAGCCAGTGTAAGTCAGCTGCATATTTGCCAATTATCTACTATCCTCTTATCATAAGTAAAATAGGCTCTAGGACAATTCGTCCCCGGACAATTCACATCAGGACTATTAGTCCCATAGGAATATTCGTCCCCATGGACAATCTGTCCCCGGACTATTCGTCCCCTACGATAAATCGTCCCCTAGGATAATTCCCACCTAGGACAGTTTGTCCCTGAACAACAATCGGTAGTTCCATTATCAAAAACTGAATTAATCTTTACTTTTTATCCTAAATCCCAGTTTTGATGCTAGTTTTACATTGTTTTACATTTAGTATTAAATCTAGGCCAACTTTATGGTTCATGAAGTTTTTTTGGGCTAATTGATATGCATGTAGTAATCAGCTATGATCAGTGACACATTTTTATGAGTTAGAGAATCTATTTATCCCTTTACTATGGGTATTGTCCATTGTCAATACTGCACTTGACTTATAATCAATATGCATTATTATGTATGATAAATCGATGTAGACCAGACATCAGTTAGTTTCAATTTCTTTAGAATTCGCTGTTGATCATAATTAGGGGACGAATAGACCTAGGGGACGAATTGTCTTTGGGGACAAATTACCCAGGGACGAATAGTCCTAGGGGACTAATTATCCAGGGACAAATTGTCTGGGGATGAATAGTCCTAGGGGATGAATAGTCCTAGGGAACGAGTTGTCAGGGGACAAATTGTCCCGTACCTGTAAAATATAGCTTAAATGTTTACAATTTGAGGATAGATGTAAATATGATAATAATGGGAGCTCTTGTTTACATGCATGTATGATATTTTTTATTATTTTGTATTTTATATATATATCTGTGATGTTATTAAACAATGCAATTATTGTTGTCAGGGTTTTAAACCATTTCTTGGTTTATAAAGATGGGCATGTTATGTTTATGATTTAACCAAAGTGCTTGAATTTATAACTACTAATATAGTACATGTATATAGATCTGAAATACATTTAATGTTTCAAACTTCTTTATTTAGTACATTTCAAATTTTAACTTTGAACTGTGAAATGTATTTTAGTCAATTTTCTAGTGCTAAATGTCATTCAAAACAAATGCTATTTATGTATATAAATAAGAGTACACTTATGTAGTGTCTTCAAGTATATAATCTTCCCACAGCCAAACCATTCTCTCCTACCATGGCCCGTTTGAATACCATGACATACAGGGTTCTGCATTAAAGGGACATGAAACTCTATTGGTTCAGTTCCAACAAGTCTATAATTTTAATTGATTGAGAATTATCTGAGCCGAAAACATTTTTAGAAAATAGCTTTTTTAGCTGCACTCAGCGTACAGCTAGGCTATATGCAGGCAGTTAACACTGTGAAAAACCACATAACTGATAGCAGTATAAGTTCTGTGCATGAAAACATTCACCTCTACTAAGGTATAATTCTGATCAATTTGAAAAGTACATGCATGGGTACATTACTCAAGCATCTTCAAGGTACTACTAATTAGAATTCCCAACACTGGTTTTTTTTACTGTTGTTATTTATTAATGGGAAAACTCCCCAAATAATTACTTTACAAATATGCTCCATTATAGGCCTATGAGCAGTATTACATAATACAGCTTAGAAAAAGTTGAAAATGAATAGATAATTGTTACATGTTAAATATTTCATTCTATAACAAACAATCATGAAGAGTTAAAATAAAAAAATTATTGAATTCCTGAAGTAAGACCCCACCCATTTGGTAGACTTAGTAATGTATAATGCATGTACTATACTTTTTATAATGATATGAAACAGAGGCAATAAGAAAGTAGATAATTTATTGCATAGGAATTGTTTTTGTTGCCAATTTTCTTCCTTTTTTAAAATATTGTATATTATCAGTATTGAATTTGTTTGTAATCATTTTATCAGATAAAATATGCAAATTTTACAATGGAAATTTTATTGTGTGTAGAATGGGAGAGTCTCCTTGTGGGAACTGGCAGCTTCTCAACTTAATGTACAAAAATTAAAATGTCAGTGGCTCTAATGAAAAATGACCACTTAGAAATCTTAGAAATTTGCATCTACCAAGACCACAAATCAATAAATGTTAACACAAAGATCCAAAGTCTGTTGATCCACAGAAATGCTTACAATGAAAATAGGTCTAGATATTTGATCAGTGGCATGTCATCGAAATAACGTTGAACAAACATATGAAACATTGCTGCCATTTCAGACTCACTCTTTGGACTTCTAAAGATAGGGACACACAGTTATAAATATAAATCTGTCAATTATGTGGTTATAAAAGTGTAAATGTGATGATAATCCCGGAATTTTTTACTGGACTATCTGTCCATTTGTTTTGGTCACTACTTCAAAAGGTTCCTTCACACATAATAGAGAGAGAGAGAAATGGGGTTTAATGTCCACTCGATACAAACTAGGTCATTTCGGGACTAACATGGTTTAATTTTATTTCCATAATTCGCTTGCGCATAGGGGTCTTTAGCAGTGGGAGGAAACCGGAGGACCCAGAGAAAACCCACGAGGTTGGACAGGCGACCCTACTCCTTGTCACATACAACCAGGGAATCGAAACCACGCCAGTTGACTCAATGACAGACTTTATGGTACAGCGCGCACATGCTAACCATTTAGCTATCCAACTCCCCACACAATAGAGCTAATAATGGTGATCGGTTGAGCAAACACTAAATCTATCAAGTTCTGTTCAGACATTATAAACATTAGAATACTTCATGGGTTGTTACTCTTGATCAGTTTTTAATGTATTGTAAATTCTCCCATTATCTACGAAAGAATAAATATGCGAGAACCCTTGGTACTGCTCAGACAACTTAGCTGCTGTGAGCATCTTTTCATTGCTGGGCAATCTATCTTTTCATCTCATATCATTTATCGTGACAAGGAGTAGGATCGTCTGTCCAACCTCATGGGTTTTCTCCGGGTCCTCCAGTTTCCTCCCACTGCTAAAGACCCCTACACGCAAGCGAATTATTGAAATAAAAAAATTAAACCATATGTTAGTCCCGAAATGACCTAGTTTGTGTCGAGTGGATGTTAAACCCCATTTCTCTCTCTCATATCATTTATCCATCACAATGAATGAAACTGACACATTTTAATTAAACAGAACTGATCTTACAACTTTGTAAATTTTGTCTGCAAAACTTAAAAAATTTTGCTTTTAAAATATGTTAAACTTACCATACTCAGATAGCAGTGCAACAGGACAGCCTACTTTTCATATAAACATAAATTATAACAGATTAATTCAAACAAATAATAATAAATTCTTTATTTTATTGAGCAGTTACATTTAGGCTACATTTAATCCTGCATATAATTACTAATCATAGTACAAAAATACATTTGAGAACCTCAACCAACTGTTTTTAATTAATACTTTAATAAAATATATTTTAATCACATCATTATAAAATATTTACATCAAATAAAATTCTCAAACCCCTGGATGTACACCTTACAATTTATTAATACAAGATGCTAAACTGAAAAACAAATGGCTGTTCATTCTTGTATTTGTAAAATGGGTTTCACAACAGAAAACATTTGGTCCCGACTGCTACAGGATTTATCAACCTAAGAAAGTTGAAATCTGTTTTATTGTTTGTTTTGTCTACATAATGTATACTATCTCTAAAGTGTCATTTCCACTCTAGGTAATATAAAGTGATCAAATATGGCTACCTTTCAGGTTAGTTTCAACCAATCACAGCGTGTATATGTTATCCATCAAATATGGCTACCTTTCAGGTTAGTTTCAGCCAATCACAGGGTGTATATGTTATCCAGTCAGTAAAGCAGGGAATAAATCTGGCCAAAATTGTGCACTTTATAAACCAATGGACATTATAAATCAGTTGATTGTAGTAAGAAATATTACATCAACTACCTTGTTTTGTCATGATTTTTCACCACAGTTACATTTTCTGTTGATTTTTTTGTTGATTTTCATATTTAGAGCAATGATAATTTCAAAAATATATTCTTTCACAATCAACTATCTAATGCTTTCATTTTTAACCTAAACAGAAGTGTATACTTTTTACTTGAAAATTCTTTGTATTATTTTACCAAATTAGCTTAACTGGAAAATAGAGACAGCACAAAATATTTGAGGGCACTTTTAACAATTCAAAAAATAACATGATTCTTAAGACAATATATGTAAATTCTACAGGAAAATAAGATTATAAATGTAAATTCTGCAGTGTAAGCAAGACTATAATTATAAATGTCAATTCTATAATGTAAACAAGATTATAATGTAAAATTAGCTAAATGCCCCAGATATATTCTTGTGAATTAAACTGGTTAATGCAGTGTAAACAACTTTTACAAATCATTATACCTAGTACTGTTGTGCATTTGTCTCGAGCTCAATTGATACTTGCATCTTTTCACTTTCATGTGGAGTTGGTCATAAGTCCCCATATTTCACTGTGTGTAACTGCCTGGATAACCATGCCTACTTGTCAAAGTTACGGCAGTCCTCACAATTCGATGTCACTCATACAACAGAAGAAATATATTGATCTAATTTCAAATTTTAAGACAAGGCAAAAAAGCATTTGATTTTTAGCTTTTGATTTACATACCTAAACCCACCTTTTTTACTGTGTTCACTGCAATCTGGGACTCCCCCTTTAAGCAGTAGGCATAGCATATTAATCTAAAATGTTCCCACTGGCTCGATCAAACAAATAGCCAATGACATGTATTTTATCATTTCAATAGATTGAAAAATACAAATTTCAGATTAATTTCAACTGGTGTCATTTTTGACACATTGCATATCAAGATCTGATTTCCTCACCGTCTATTTGGTCTTTAGATAAAAAGACAAAAACATACCATTTATAATAATATGCTTCATAGGAAACAGTATAGTCCCCTCTAAACATAAGAACTACATATTATGGGTTTATTAAACAACGTAATGGGCCTTACAAGCCTTTATCAAATGTTTATGTAATAAACTGATTTAAATCAACCTAAAGTCTGGTTAAATTCTGTTTAGCAAGGACATTGCTGACTTCCCACTTATGTTTTTTTTTTCTCCATCTGTAACATTTTATGATACAGTAGTCAGACAGATCTAATGGTTTTGTCCAACATTTTAAACCCAATCAATAGAGTTTATCTAATGGATATTATGTAGATCATTTATTCTTTACACCATCAAACTAGAAATGGGGCTTTAAGTACTAAAATAATGTTTAAAAAAATAATCATGCATGCAACATATTTAATATAAGATGTTTAAAGATAGGTAAAGTGTATAACATTAATCTATATATTACCAGTGTAAATCAAAAACACAATGCTGTATACTAAAATATAATTATGGAATGTTTCTAAATTGGAAAACTGTCTGCTGGACAAGATAGTACAGTTGTGTATATTATGGTAACTGGTAGTACAGTGGACTCTGTCACATCCGATCTCTGATCACTCCGGATTGCTGTGACATCCGGTATGATTTTCATGTCCCGATTTATTTCCTTATTACTTCAGCCAAAAAATTGCTGGTAAATCCGAATTCTGTATGTTCCGGATTCCGAAATCAATCAGCCGCCCCGTCACATAATTTCCATTGAATCGACACCGTATAATCCGTACTTCAAACGGTGGGTGTGAAGCATCCAATTATCGGTGAGATTAAAACTCAATGGGTGTGAAGCCAGAAAAGATTAACAAGTAATCACCAATCAATTATCGATGAGATTAAAACTGTGTTGATTACTTTGATCGGTAAAGCAGTGAACTTGAGTTGTTTTAAGGGAGTGGACAAAATCTACCTGCCAGTCAATTGGTCGGCCAATCGCAAAGCTTGAATGACAGGTGCCGTTTACTTTGATTGGCTTGAAAAACTGGACATACAACGACAGATTATAAATGACAATTGACTGAAGACGGGGACGATGAAGAATATACATTAACGACAGACTTGACCTATTCAAATTTCCTACGCATGCCCAACGACAATAAACACTTCGCACAGATTAAGGACGAAAAGATGATCGCAACAATTCATTTGTTAGAAGATGTTGCCCAGGACTCCGCCTTACGATATGCTTCCGGTAATCTTAACTAAGCAAACTACTTTAAACGATAACATGCATTGATATTTATAAATATATTGTACGCATGCATTGATATTACATGTAAACGATTTTATGAATATATTGTAGCATGCATTGTTATTGTTAATTATTTAATATAATAAAATTTTGAAAGTACAGAAAAGTTTATCATTTATAAAGGGAATAGCATTCTGGTGATTCGAAGCTACAATATAAAAATACTTCCGGTTTTCGAAGTTACAGTATTTCCGGTTTTGGAGAAAGCTCGGTATTCCGAAACGCTGTGTGGTTCGAATTATTGTAACGATCCCACACGATGTCGGATGTGACAGAGTCCACTGTATATAGTTCATGCAATGACTTACAGGAAATGTGTCTGAATTAACTATTTAAAAATGCATTTTTGATACTTCTAATGCAAGTCAGAGGCCATTTTTCTTCTCAGAGATTATGTAAGATCATTGAAATTGTATACACAATTGACACTATTTTTTTTTAGACCAATACAGACAATGAAGGCTGGAGCATATTAAGACTGTACAAATATAACTTTAATATCTTTAACTAAAGTGTTTGGCAGTTACTTCTCCATGTCGCTTCAGCCTAAAAGCCAAAATCTATTGAGTTAGTTTTCAGTACATCTTAATTTCAAAGCTACACAGTTTTAGCATTACATTTATGCTCCCCATAATTTCCAACATATTGGAATTCTATATATACAGCAAAAAAATTAAAGTTGAACAAAATCTAAATTAAATTAATTGTTAATATTTTAAATATAACTAAAACAACACATGAAATATAAGTAAAACAACACTGTTATTTTTTACCCAAATCAAAGAAGCTGTATGTTTATAACATCTAATTAAAAAAAACAAACAAACATGTAAACAAAAACATTTTAGTGAAACAAATAAAAAAGTTATTCTATGTCAAAAGCTCTAACAATAAATTTTATCCTTGAAAAACATGTAAATTTGCGTAGTTCTAAAAATAAACAATTCATATTCCAAAAAATATTATCATAAGCCTTTTCAAGGATTATAAAAAAAAACAAAGTTGAAGAATTTTTCAAATCATGAACTATCAAGAGATTTAATCTCTGACTGACAGAAGATCTAAGCGGCAGGATTATTTACTTCGTGTAGAGTGTTGTAATTGTGGGAACGAAGTCGCCTGTATATTCGTGGAAGAAAGATCACACCAACAATACCCATCACAATTCCAAACAGCAGACATAGTGGTACCCAATAACTTGAAACTGAAACAAACGGTATGACGGTAAAGTAATCAGTATAAAAACAAAGGATGTACATGTTACTGTTAGGTTCTGCTA